AGTCAGACAGTGACATGCAATTTGCTTCATCCAAATTCAGGTTTCAACCCCATATATGCTAAACGCTAGAACCTTATACATTATGCAAATGCGGTAAATGTAAAATATTAGACTTTGAGCACTCTTCATCACATAAAAGAAGAATACCTTGTGATAAATCGTGCAGACATCCAGATGGCGACAGTAACGGCACATGTTTGGATTCTAGCATCAAAATTGTAAATCATATCAAGAGTGAGTATTCCCAGTAAAAATTGTCACCACAGGACATCAGAGCATACCCTTAACATTGGCGGCAGTTGTTGCGTTGTTAACGCCACGAGGATGTCATTTGCAAGCTCATTGCGACGAATAATCAGACCCACCATATCTGATCTTTGAACAGAAATTCCCTTTACAAGTGTGAATTGAAAGCTTAGTCAATTCCAATATCTTGAGACCAAATAAAGGCACACAACATCTTGACTTACCTGTGTCTGATCTGACTGTAGATAGTATAGAAGGCCATTGTCTATAGGCTTCAGGTACCTGCAAAGTGGAAATTTTCGATATAAATGAAAAATGCTAACTACTGTCCGTGTTCCAGGAAAAAAAGAAGGGAAGAGAGACAGTACATTAGTACCTCTCAGACATAAGGAGCGTGTACAAGATCACTTGTGCGCAATGTTCCATTGATGCCTGCATAAAATATTAAGCACTTAATTTTTCATAAGATTTTGGAATGTTAAAATTTCAACCGAATATATACGTAGATCTCCATACAGACCTGACCACTAGGAGCTTTTCCAGATTTAAACTCAAGGGGCATTATTTTTTCATTCACTGTGTGCGTGTCAGATTCAACTTTCACTCTGACTGAAGCATCAATCATCCCTTTCAGACCATATTTAGGGGCCCATGACATCTCCTCAATATCAACTACCTGACGTGATAAAAATTTGCTTATACATAATTGAAGTCTCTTAGAGGAGATGGCTCAAAATGAACAACTATTATTACGCAATTTTAGATGTATTTTGGGCTTGGTTCAAAGAGGATGTATCCTCTCGAAACAAAAAGGTCAAAAACTTTTAACCAACTTATTGGTTGAGTTCTTCACTGGAAAGAAATGAAATCCTAAGAAGACAAAAAGGAAGAGAGTATGAAGAGCTCTTTACCTCTGATATCTTAACTACTTTCTGCCCAATGGTAGAACCAAAATCAACATTTGACATCCTTGAATCCTGTTTACAATGACCATGCCATGAGTTTAAGATTTTTCTGTCGGTGAAAGGCAGCATAAGAGGAAATATGAGCAATATTCTATTATCAAACAAGCACATGCACGAGAAAACAAGTCCGACACACCAGAAAGAGCACTATAAAATGTACGCCTGACAACTATGAAAATATCTGAAGAATAGGCAAGCAGAAAAGCCAGGAAAACGTTCATCTAAGGAAGCAGTTATGTAATAGCCATGAGAAACACAAGAAAGAATCATAGATAGGAAAATACAGGTGCACCTTTGAATAGATGAAACGATGAATCCAGTTCAACATTTTCGGGATAGCTCCAAATAAGGTTGCTTTCACGTCTCCCTCATGCACTGTAGAGATTAGAGAACATATGACCGGATAAGAAAATGATTAAGTACATTTCCTTGGGTCACTTTCATCATTTTCGTAACAAAAACAGAACTACATTTCGAAGCAATGTAAATCTTCTAAGCACATTGAACAAAGAGGCCTCATAGCCCTATTAACTCGTATTCTAATATAAATAAGAGATAATCTAGCTGCATAAATTAGAATCATAATACAATAAGAGATATCCTAGCTTTATAATAAGTCTCATGAACCTTCAAATAATAAGAACACGTAATGAGTAATTAACCTCCACAAGCATATAAGCTCTCGATATTCTTTTTAATCACTATGCAGGCATATTCCTGCAAACCATCTACAGATGGGGACTCTTGCGTGAGACCAGCCTGGTAAACAAAGGAAATGGATAGTACAGATCAATACACTACAATTGCAAGAAATAAAACAAACCAAAATAAAATACTCATTGTCCAATAGAACAGTCTCATCAAAGATAGTAAACCTGAAAAACTTGGTGCAGCAAGGTTCCAAGTAAGGCTGCTGTAGCGTGTTCATTGGATCTTAGCCTCTCATCTAGCACAGTTCGCCTTGGGCAACTAAAACTGGATGCAACCTGAAAGGTATGACAGTTATTCAAAACAAAAGCAGCAAAATTATAAAAAGTGCATAGAAGAAAGTTGATATTTCCAATCGGAAACCCTAACGGGAAGAGAAAATACCTTAGTTCCAGCAAGAAGGGTATCAGGATGAACAATTAAGAAATTATTTTGGTGGTCCACGTCACACTTGCCATCCTCGTCAAAATCTCCGATGACAGTGATTGAATCTCCTGGTGATACAGTGCTGTAAAACCTGGGAACAATAAGCGTTCAGTATTCAGGAAGTACCATAAGCTAGTTAACCAAGTTTCAACCAACTGGGAACAGAATAGATGATATTTAGTTTCAACAAAATGTGTAGTCTGCTATCAGCCCACAGTTGGAAACTAAAAATGGCAAGAGCGTTTAAGACCAAGACATCAAAGAACAAGGAGTAGAACATAGAATGGGGGAGCAAAGACCACTTGCTATTTTTGCAGCAATTTGATATGAAAAACATAGATCTTTCTAATTTCTTGGAAAAAAAAGTACCATTCATCCCAGAGATACAAAGCGCATTCTTTTCCAGTGTGCTCATCTAGTAGGCGAAGAACCTGAGAGAAATTTGGTCAGCAAATATAAGCATGTATACGAAAGAAACCCCCTAATACATGACAAACCTTATAAGGACACTGAACCGTAGATGAGCCAGCCAAGCCACGTTTCTCAGATACCTGAAGAACAACTCGGGACGATGAGTAACTTTCACATTAAAACCACATAGCTACCACCAAGGATTACAAAGGGAAACTGTACCTCCAATACAAGGAAATAGCTATCTGGATTTATTGAAGTGTGCTTGTTTAGTAGAGTGGTTGGCCCTCCATCTACAGCGTTTTCAACGACGGAACATATGTTATCATCTTTAACTCGAACTTGGGGTGTCACAGTCCCCACATCATCAGCTGTTTTGTCATCAACTGAGATGACATCCTCAACTTGATCTAGAAGTTCAAGCAAGGCCTACAAAAAAGAGGCAATATGCAGAAAACAATATATCGATATGCTGTAGAAAACAAGTTTTACAGGAAATAATGCACGCAATCCTGACCGACCACAGTTGGAAGTGACCAAACGTACACTTTTTGATAAGCATTCGAAGCTGAATCAATTCTCAAATCATACCTTTTTATGTTGTCCAGTGGCCGTATATCCACAAGCTTCGCTGCATGTTACAGTACAAGGAAGCTAATATAAACAGAGCAAAGTTAGGAAAGTAGACAAAATGTGATCATTAATCTGTTTATCATGAAAGAAATTCACCTTGTTGTGAGAGCATGAGCGTGACGGTGGGGTCTGGAAAGGACTGTTTCCACTACTAGATGTGTTAATAATCTCGAACTCCGCATCTGCGGAAGGATTTACCCTTTCCGTGAGCCTATTTGCTGGTCTTTTGAAAGCTTTTTTGGAGGGTGAAGATAGCCACTGCTCAACCTTGGAGGTTATATCTGATGCAGGGCATTCTTTCTGCATTATTATCTGCTGTCAGTTTCAATGCGAGAAAGGAATTTAAAAAAGGTGCCAAATTTAGTGACAAAAACAGAAGAAAAACAAAACATGCCTTGTCAAGAGAGCAGGGACGAAGGATTGAAGATTTAACCCCTTCTGAATTTTCTGTCAAGTCCATCATCTTAGGAATCTGCTTAGCAGTTACCCGAAGTCTTTCATTCACAGGAGATATTTTCCAAGTTATCTCTTCACCACCATCAAACTGACTTTGTTGTATCAGCTATAAAGAAAAAAAGAAGACGCATGTAAGAATAACACGACCAGTAAGTCGAATCTTGCAATTACATTAGTCAGTAATCAAGGAACAAACTACAACCATAGAAATCAAGGAGATGTAAGAAAAGAAACTACCATTCCAGGAGAGAACTTGACGCGCTTGAGGTTCTGGGAGACCTCAGGAGATGCATCCGTGAGTTCCACATCTCTGGAGTCATCAGGTTTCTCACCAGGCGGGCTTGGAGGATTCTGAGGCGTTAAAACTCCAGTGTTAGAGGCAAGCCCATTCACATTCTTGGGATCAACCGGGTCAGCAGTGGAGGTATGAGAGTTGGAAGTTGACTGAGAGTTCTGAATATGTCGACGGAACAACTGCTGGATGCCAAAACTGGAAGGCTGTGAAGAAGGATTGGCTGAAGAGTGTTTGTTTGATTTCAAAGCTGAAGACTTTGGCTTCTTCCTTGGCGGCATTTCCACTGGCACCCTGAAATTCTGATACAAACTTAATCTAATCTTCATCGATGCAATTTGAAAACGACTTTACGGATTGAGATATAACTTTATCTGAAACTCTAAGCAACAGAGCATAACAGTCAATACCTTTCTCGGCGATCACGTTCGGAGAATCAAACGACAAGTCCAGAAAGTAGTTGACAGAGCAGCGCCGGCAATTCCGAAAGTCCGAAAAAAAATCCAAATTTAATCGAGCTTCCCACAAACCTAGATTAAACAGAAGCTTCCATAAACGAATTTCGGCAACCTCTGGAAATCGCAGTCGGGAATTTAGAACAGAATGGAGAAGCAGATGACCGGAGAAGAAAGTGCAATCATCTAAATGGAACTGTTGAGGAATTGAGAAACTAAAACCACATTTAGTAGACAATCCGGCTATGGAGAAGTAGAAAGCGACGGCGAGTGAGTGAGGAAGTGAAAAAAGCCGGCAAGTGAAGTTTCTGAACCTCCGGAAATCAAACCCGGTGGCTTATTAATTATTATTGCGCATAAACCGATAACCACCGGTTCAACCAGCTAAATCGGTCCGGGTTTCAATTAATGTACTTAACCAGATGTAAACCCACTAAAAACCTGATTTGCTTAGGTTTCTTTGAGATTCTAGCGAGTTGCGACTTCTTCTTCTCCGACTCGGCAAAATCAAATCCGTCGTGCCGTGGCCATCGATTTTCAGGTCGCCGGTTACTTTTCCCCGTCTCGCGACTCCTTCTCTCCTTTCTCCGGGGACATAGTCGCTTTTCAGGTTTTTTTCCGTCACTGTTTCTTTCTTCTCTCATTAAGTTCAGTTGGTAATCTATCAATTACAAATAATGGTTCTGTGTGCGTAAGCGTATGTCATCTTCTCCAAATTGAGCTTCTAGATACTTTTTCCATGGCATTCGCGTTGCAGACGAGTCAAATTTAAATATATTTTTTCCAGTAATTGGGTTTGATTGATGATCCTCAAATGATTGTTTGAGTTTGGAATTCCTCAAACTTTTCATCTTTTGCATTTCCATAACTCTTCTGTACATTTCTGTTTAGTAATGAAATTTCACATCTCTGAACTGTTATTGAGAGAAGTCAAGTTTGCCAAATGGTTTCATTTCCTGGGGAAATGAGAGAAGAAAGCTTACGTTTTTGATTCAAAGCTAGTTTCTTTCTTTTAATTTCAATTCTAACAATTTGATCGAATGTCTTCATCACGCGTCTTCCTAGAGTGTATCATGATTGAATTCTACTGAGGTCTTTTCTATGAAATTGAATGCAGATATAATGTTGAAGCAAGTGGTTGGCAAGTATTCTGCAGCTAAAGCGTTGATTTATGGAAGTAACAGAGAAAAGCTTAGACCTTTCTTGTTCCAAACCAGTTGTGGGTTCCACAATGGACGGGTACGCCACCATCCTTCCACTTTGATTACTTTACCGTATACTTTGACCTTTACGAAATGAAGTGAATTTGCTCGAATCATGTCTGAGTTTATCTTAAATGTATTTGACTAGATTGTTCCACTTCTTTAGTTTGGCCATTTGATTGAGTCGATATGGAAACATGGGTTATGATGAAAGTTTAAATGCATTTGACTAGTTTGTTTAGTTTGGCCATTTGATTGGAGCCAAGATGCAATCAATGGCTACATGGATTTTGATGAAAGTTTGTGTCTTTTGAGTGAAGCAGTTTACTGTTTTTGTATCTGCTTCTAATTGGCTTTGCCATTATTGACAGACTGTTTTGGCTCCGAGAAGCTTCTTTGGTGTAGAAGACTACATGGACGATGACACAAGCCGACCATACACATACCAAAAAGAGAAGAAATCAAAGAATCCAGACAAACACGTCTCCTTCAAGCAACGGACAGTGGCATACATGGAGCCCTTCACTCTCGACGTCTTCATCTCAAAACGTTTCGTCTCGGCATCCCTCACGCACCGTGTCACATGCAAGCAAGTTGCTGTTGCGGGGACAAACTCTAAAGACGTGAAAGCGGTATTAAGATCGAGATGCGATATCCCGGCGTGTATGTCCATAGGGAGGATCTTGTCAGAACGTGCGAAGGAGGCTGATGTTTACACTGCTTCTTATACGCCACGTGACCAAGACAAGTTCGAAGGCAAGATCAGAGCGGTTGTTCAGTCTCTTATTGATAACGGAATCGATGTTAAAATTTATCTCGACTAAGAAAACGAAGATGGTATTTTGTTTCTGTGCTGAAATTAAGGGTTTGAATTCGATTTTGATTCAACCAGAAGCAAAACGAAACCATCCCATTCATAGAAAACAATCATGTAAAGGAACATTCGCAGAAATGTGAGAGTTTGAATTGAAAGTTACAAACTTTTCCTGATAAAACTGTTTAATAATGAAGAAAAGTTTGCTCAACTAAAATTGAATCCGCGTTAAATCAAACAATTAGAGAGACACACCAACAGAATTCAAAGTTTCCTTTTTTGGAAAACCAGTTAATTTTCTGCCTCTTTTTCTAGGAAAGTCACCAATTTTCTTTTTCTTTTTTGGTTGAAGTTTCCTGAGATTATCTACTTTTCTTTTAAAGTTAAAAACTTTGGATTTTTGTCAAGTCTCTCTACGCGTATGCGTATATCTCTCTTTAGTCTTTACAATCTATATATATCGAGAACAAGTTGCATTGATCATATAATATGTTGCATTGTGGAAATTTGGGATTCTAGGGTTAATCAAATCTAGCGTAAGAGAGAATGGGAAATTGTTTAACTGGAGATGTGGCAGGAGGCAAACAAGCAATCGGAGGGGTCCAGCAGAGGCCCACATCAACGTCCAACAACAATGCGGCGCTCAACGACGCCGTCGATTTCTTCTTCCGATCTCGTGGTCAATATCCTCTCTTCTCCCAAATCGAGGTACAAAATCAAAGTTAGGGCCTTTGTGAGTTTGTGTGTAGTCTCGTGCTCAAATTTGTGTTTGTCTAGTTTATATACTTCGCAATAAGATCACACTTCGTTAAGTCAAGCAAGTTGCAAACTTTGAATAGAATATTGCCATAGTGGATAAGATATTCCACAATCATTATACTTTTCTAATGGAGCCAACCATTGACTTGTCTTCAGTCTTTGTCCATGTTATTGTTGTTCACATTCTCTCTCTCTTGTGGTGTGGGGTTAGTTTATAGAAGAGTATCTTCTTATGTCGAGAAAAAGTATCGTATGGCTTCTTTGTTCATAGTCAAAGTATTTGATTCTTGGCTACTATAAATTATTTTGCTTATTGCTGTTGAATTTACACTGTTTCTTTAGTCACGGTTATACCTTTAAGTTGTGTTTTAACATTATGCAAATGCCTTTTGCAGTTATCTTTGTCAGCTTCAAACTTGATTGACCGTGACATCACATCTAAGGTATATGCCCTGACCATTTATTAATCAACTTTCTGATAAAGAATATTCTTTCCATGCACTGGAGATTTCATACTACTACTAGTTTAAAGTTTAAACACTTTGGATATGGTCGTATGGGATCTAACGCCATTTATATCGTTTGAAGCTCTTGGTTCTGGTTTCAATAGAAAGCTGAAAAACTTATCTTGTTGGCGAATCTCTCATATAGTTATGCGCTTCACTAAATGCATTAAGAAGTGGTTTATGTGTCACAAGTGAAGTTGATGAATGTTTGATTTGTTGTAGAGTGACCCAATGGCTGTCATGTATTTGAGGAAAAAGGATGGGAAGCTTGAGGAAATTGGACGTACTGAAGTCATACTTAACAGCTTGGATCCAAATTGGATTGAGAAGATTACAGTCTCTTTTCAGTTTGAAGCTGTTCAGACATTAGTGTATGCTGCTACTCTTAACAATTATTCTCTGATGATTTACACATGTTTAACCACTGGAATATCTCAAACTTATATGAATCTTATTCTTTTCAGTTTTCACGTGTATGATGTCGATTCACAATATCATAATGTGCCAGTGAAGGTAATATTTTCATCGATAAAGAAGTTTGCAATTTGGTTATGAATGGTACACCTCAAAATATTGTATAACTCTGCAGACATTAAAGCTGAAGGATCAGGATTACTTGGGAGAAGCCACCTGTGTTCTATCCGAGGTAAATTTATTCAGTAAATGGACACTGCTACTTGATGGTTTTACTGTTGTTTGGTCATTAGTATCTGTTACTCTAGTAATTCCATTCTTCTTCTGATTGCCAGATTATGACAAAACCTAACCGCTCTCTGACGTTAAACCTTAATGGTAACTTTGGAGCTGGTGTGAGTAGACGTTTGGGAACACTCTCTGTTCAAGCTGAAGAAACCACTGCTTCTAAAACTGTCGTCGAGATGAATCTCCGCTGTATCAATTTGGATAACAAGGACTTGTTCTCTAAGAGTGTACGTGCAAACTTATGCATTCTTGTCTTGTTTGATAAACGATGTGAGATTTCTTTCATGATTTTTCAAGTTCTCTCATTCTATGTTCTCTCTTTTTCTAGGATCCCTTCTTGAGAATTTCAAGAATAGTTGAAAACAGTGTAGCAGTCCCGATATGTCGGACTGAGGTAGTGGACAACAACCTCAACCCCATGTGGAGGCCTGTGTGCTTGACTACGCAGCAATACGGAAGCAGAGTAAGCTTAGTGTGGTATTAATGTAATTCGATAATATTTGAAGTAATCATTCTGTTAACTCGTTTAATTTGGTCTAAGCAGGACAATCCATTGATTATCGAATGCCTTGATTTCAATACCAACGGGACTCATGACCTTATTGGGTAACCTTCAACCTTTTACTCTCTCCTATAAGGTCTCACCTTATATTTCATTTTGTTGTTACTGACATTTGTAACGATCCTTGCAGGAGGACACAGAAATCTGTAGCTGAATTGGAGAGACATTGTCTCCAAAAAGAGTCTGTAAACTTTGTCTATACATCCACAAGTCACGGTCGCAACAAGGTGCTTACACATATATACCACCTGGCCAAAATCTTACTTTTGCAACTGTTTTCTTGAATATCTTGTTGTGATTTTTATAGGTTCTGAAAGGCCAGCTCATCGTGGATCGTTTTGTGGAGAAAGTTCAATACAGTTTTCTTGACTACATATCCAGCGGCTTCGAACTTAATTTCATGGTTGCAGTTGACTTCACTGGTGATTCACCTTCTTCCTACTTTATATGTATATATATCTTATCATCTTAGAAAAAGCCTCTTGAGTTTTAAGATTCGATGGTCTGTCTTCCAGCTTCAAATGGTGATCCCCGAAATCCAGGTTCTTTGCACTACAATGATCCATCAGGCAAACCAAACTCGTATCAGCAGGTACTATACAAATTTTTGCATGGAATCTGATACATGTTTGTGATTTTCATTGATCTATTAAACATGGTTTTCTTTTCCAGGCTATTATGGAAGTAGGAGAGGTCATCCAGTTCTATGGTTCTGATAGGCGTTTTCCTGCTTGGGGTTTTGGAGGGAGAACATCGGATAACACTGTCTCCCATGCTTTTAACCTGAACGGAGCTCCACATGGCGACGAGGTAACTTACACAGACACGAATGCTTGCTTCACCGTAATTCACATGTTCAGTGTCACAGAGCTTCATATTCCCATTTTTCCATGTCAGGTTGTTGGAGTGGAAGGAATCATGTCAGCTTATGCGAGTGCCCTTCACAACGTTGCTCTAGCTGGACCAACTCTGTTTAGCCACGTGGTCGACAAGGCTGCTAATATTGCTTCACAGTCACTCTCACAAAACATTCCCAAGTACTTTGTTCTGCTCATCATTACGGTAAGAGACTGAAAAAAAACAAGGAGATACGTAATGACTCTGACCCGATTCAGATCAAATATCCATGATCTGTTTACAAGTCGATGACAAAATGTTTGGTTGTGTGAATGAACAGGATGGAGTTCTAACGGACATGGCTGGTACACTAGACGCATTGGTGAGAGCTTCTGATCTCCCCTTGTCAGTTCTTATCGTCGGCGTGGGAAACGCAGACTTCAGCCAAATGGAGGTAAGACATATTTTTTGTTTTGTTTAGTAAGAAGAAGACTTTATCTTTTGTCTCTTCTGTGGTTTTAGTGAAAATGATATATGGCTTGGCCTTGTTAATAAATCCAGATCCTTGATGCTGATAATGGTCGCCGGTTGGAGAGTTCTACTGGTCGGGTAGCGACACGGGACACCGTTCAGTTCGTCCCTATGACAGCAGTCCACAGTGAGTCATTAGATTTTATTCATCTACACAATACAAAGGCAACGCTTTTATAAGGATAGTGTGAATATTGGTAGTAAATGTTGAATTTTTGTGGGTGCAGGTGGACAAGTGTCAGTGGTGCAGGCACTTCTAGAAGAACTTCCCGGTCAGTTTCTGAGCTATGTTCGCTCCCGGAATATTAATCCGGTGGGCGCCCCAGCGATTTGAATGGCCACCATAGTCTCTCTAGATTCTCAACTTAGTTGGGATGCAAAAGAACAAAAACTTATATAAGGATTTGCTAGAACAAAAACATCAGAATTTACTAAATGTACAGTATATGTTTTGCTCAATATAATTGGCTTCGATGACTTTTCATAATTTCAACTCATGGATTAGGCTATGATTACTCTACTAGAGTCCTAATGCAGTCGCTCTCTATAAATCTGAATTCAACCTTAGAGCATCAATTTCATGAATCCAGGAAATATATGGAGTATACCAAAAATTCTCTCGTGTGTCATTGTGAAAGTTATAAAGAGTTCAATAATTGAACACCGTAACGGATTGTAAAAGAAAATGGAGATGCGGGGGATCGAACCCCGTGCCTCTCGCATGCAAAGCGAGCGCTCTACCATTTGAGCTACATCCCCATATTGATATACTATCATGCTTTTGTAAAGATAACGATTTCTAAACAAGTTGCGTTAAAACTTAAAACTAGTCTCACACCGAAGACTAAAATCGTCTTCGACAGAACTTTCACACTCTCGTCCACCAACCGAAGGACAAATATGCCCAAGGAGGCAAGGACTTCTCCGTTTTGATGTGATTCTGTGAATTGACCTCCCCTTGTTACTTAGTACGAAACAGGAATAAAATTTGATACATAGAAGCATTGGTTCTGCAATTGAGGGAAATCTGTTAATCACATAGGTTATTTGTCATTACTCATTAGCAATTGAGCCAATGGGGGCATTGCAATTGATTCAATACTGAACCAAAGCATAGGAAAATTTGAATAAAACCCATTGATTCAATCCGAACAGCATATCATTTCGTCATTCAAAATAGTCTACAAAATCCATATAATTTGCTTAAAACCAAGTTTGATCCCAGAAAGGATCTATTTTACATGAGAGGCTAAGAAGTTGCATAAGACGGAATCCAACAGAAAACGATCTAAGACTATAAAGGTAAATCAGAACTCCTGAGAGGCAGATCCAATTTCTCCCTTGTTCTTCCCAGCCTTTGAAGGTAGAAGCGTCGAATGAATGTTTGGCAACACTCCTCCATTGGCAATCGTCACGCTTCCCAGAAGCTTACTCAGCTCCTCATCGTTCCTCACTGCGAGCTGAATGTGTCTCGGTACAATACGAGTCTTCTTGTTATCCCTCGCCGCGTTCCCAGCAAGCTCCAACACCTAAACCAAATTACCACCAAATCGAATCAATTACAATATACGAACAGACTAAAAATTGAAATCAAACTAACAATCGATTTGAAATTAATCAGATTAGAAATCGAAATTAGACATGCAGGAGACAGGGATTATACCTCAGCGGCGAGGTATTCGAGAACGGCAGAGAGATAGACCGGAGCTCCGGCACCGACACGCTCGGCGTACTTTCCGGCTTTCAGGAATCTGGCGATTCTTCCGACGGGGAATTGAAGACCGGCTTTAGAGGAGCGAGAGACGGATTTGGTGGCCTTGGCCTTTCCTCTCCCACCTTTGGTCGTACCGGTTGCTGCGCCTGTGCTCATCGTTCTCTTTCGAAGCGAAACTAAAAAAAAAAATGAATAATTTTTTTTGCAGAAATCGAAGAGAAATGAGTGATGTCTGGGAGCGAATGAGTGCGTTTAGGGTTGTGATGTTCTCAATATATAGGCTTGAAAGATTGACGCTGATTGGTCATCTTAATATCACGCGGATCGTCAACGTGGCACATCATCTAGCCTTTCAAACTGTGTGATTAATTATTGTCCGTACATCTCTGCTCATAGTACTTTTTGAAAAATGGAAAAGTAACTAAATATTTTTTTTAACTGTTTAGTAAACAAACAAAAGAGTTTCATTTGACTTACTTCTTAAGGAAAAAGGGCATAAAATACTGGATTCTATAACAGAAAAGAATTAATACTCTTACTAAATTTAAAATATCAAAGTATTCTTAAACATTTGTCAGATCGAAAGAAAAACAAATTGAACTATTTATCAAACGTTATACAATCACCGTTTTTCCCATAGGCCCGGATGAATGCTAACAGCTGTTGTGTTCACATGTGACAACGACCAAACCAATGGACCAATGCCAAATAACAAAGTTTGAAGACTATAGACTATACTAGTATATTATTCAATGTGAAGAGAAATAGAAAGAACAAACAAAAAAAGCTGAGAACAAGGAGCAAGGAAGATGGAATCTGGAAGTCTGAAAATCCCTCTGCAAGAAGCAAGAATCCCTTCTTCCTTCACTTCCGGTGTTCTCCTCAGCACCTCCGTCGCTGTCTGCGGATCCTTCTGTTATGGCTGCGCTGTGAGATCTCATCATCTCTTCCTTTTCTCCATTTTTTTCTGATGATTTTGGATTTTCCAGTTTGAATATTATATGTGTCCCTCATGGATTTGAAATCGGGATCAATTAACATGTTTAAGTTCACTTATTTTCCCTGATCATAATTTTTATTTTTGCTTTCTCGTGATGCTAATAATTATTGTTCTTGTTCTAATTTTGTGAATTACTTTGGGAACAATGTCATACTTGGAAGATGTCGTATTCATCGCCAGCTCAATCCAAAATCATGGAAGAACTCGGACTTTCTGTGGCAGATGTAAGTCCATGTATGCGCATATCAATTATTAATTCTAAAAACCGGTTCGATAAACCGGACCAACGTACCAGGATTTGAATACCATACTGAATTAGCGCCATTTTTTAACTTCTGTAATTTTGGGCAGTATTCGTTTTTCACTTCTGTAATGACATTGGGAGGGTTGATTACGGCCGCGTTTAGTGGCAAACTCGCTGCGGTCATTGGTCGTCGACGAGTAATTAATTTCCTACCTTCTTTTTAATTTATTGAACCAGTTCATCTATTGATCTTATAAGATGATGTCATAATGCGTTTGATTTTGTTCATCTATTGATATTCAGACAATGTGGATCTCAGATGTTTGCTGCATCTTTGGTTGGCTCGCTGTAGCGTTTGCACATGTTTGTTTCTCCATCTCTCCATTTTTAATTATTAAAAATCAAATCTATATATAATCTACGCATGGGTGGATACAAAAATAAAAAGAAAATATGAAATGAGCAGACGAATTTATTTTGAATGATTAATATTTGATTTGTTGTGATTTGAAGGATACTATGCTGTTAAATATTGGAAGACTCTTCTTAGGATTTGGGGTTGGTCTCATTAGTTATGTGGTAATTGATTTTAACAAGCTTTCTAGTTATTTATTGAAGTAGAATTAATGTCATACTACACCATTTTGTTTGATCGACTAGTCAATTGATACAGGTTCCTGTGTATATAGCAGAAATTACACCTAAAACATTTCGCGGAGGATTCACTTTTTCCAATCAGGTAAACAAGTACTACATATTAGAAAAAGAATTGTAATTTTAAAGTTACAATATTAGTTACTAACTTTATTACTGTGTGTTTAAATTTCCAGCTTCTACAATGTTTTGGGGTTTCGCTCATCTTCTTTACCGGAAACTTTTTTCATTGGCGAACACTAGCTATTTTAAGTAACTATATCTTATTATCTTCCTCCGGTGAACTATCTCAAATCATTACAAATTAATGAATTATCATTAAATCATATTACTAAACTCGTTCTTGAATTTCCAATCCATGACTACTTGACTAGGTGCAATCCCATGTACTATCCAAGTGATAGGTTTATTCTTTATTCCCGAATCTCCAAGATGGCTGGTATTTAAATACTTTTAGTTGTTTTCTCAATCATTTTTTCAGTCTGTTTATTAGTAACAATATATGCAACTAAGCACGGTCTTCGTCAATGTTTCTTTTAGGCTATGTATGGTCAAGATCGAGAACTTGAAGTTACTTTGATGAGACTAAGGGGAGAAAGCATTGACATTCTCGAAGAAGCAGCTGACATCAGAGTAATAATTTACTTATATTTTTTCTTAACAACGTTTTTAAATCATACTTCATATAAAACTACCAATATGAAAATTTGGAATATGTATGAAGTAAGTGCGCATATGTAACCAAAAACCATAAAGTATATTTGAACCTTTTTGATTTTTCTTTCCGGTTTTCAAATGTACAATCTAATGTGAAACAGGAAACAGTGGAAATATCCAGAAGAGAATCTCAAAGTGGAGTAAAAGATTTGTTCCATATGAGAAACGCACATCCATTGGTCGTAAGTCTCATGTAACACTAGTCATTTACTTCTATGACCGTAACCAAACAGTGAAAAGATAGTAGCAATCAGTTAACACCGTCCATTTGGTTTCACTTCACGATATCGTCGAACCGGCCGGTTATGTCTTTATAACCATATACTAGACAATGTCACATATGTTTAGCATTAATACGTAGTCACATACTTTATGCCTATCTAGTAGTTTATGTGAAAAAGATACTCCAGACGGAAAATATGTGTAACATATATTTAACTTGTCGTTTGTTGGGTTGATTAATTTCGTTGGAAACGGTTAGATTGGATTGGGACTAATGCTTTTGCAACAATTTTGTGGGAGCTCGGCAATAACTGCTTATGCTTCTAGTATTTTCGACAAAGCAGGTAAACGAAAAGTTTCAGGGGCTGGTCACTGGTTTAATATTGGATCAAGAATTTTAAACATGTATTTGTCTTGTGTTATTTAGGCTTTCCAAGCGACATTGGAACGACCATCCTCGCAACTGTCCTGGTAAAAAAAATCAAAACATAGTTTACTCCATACTACTTTGTTCTATCTTTGATTATTTCATCTTTTTAATTGAAATACAACTTATTATTTTGAAGGTACCACAATCTATAGTTGTCATATTAACCGTAGACCGATGGGGACGCCGACCACTTCTTATGGTTAACATTTTCTTATCTCCGATATGTAAATTTCACATATGATTTCTTTGGATTAAAATTATTTTACTGATCTGAACATTTTTTATTGGCCAGATATCTGCTGTTGGTTTGTGCATATGCTCATTTTTAATTGGCCTCTCTTACTATCTCCAGGTTTAGAATTCTTAACGTAGTTCAAATTCCAAATTTTGTAGATTTAATTAGTTAAATTTGTGTTTTTTCTTCTCCTGAGCAGAAGCATGGTGAACTTCAGCAGTTTTGTTCTGTTCTGTTAATTGTCGGCATAATTGTACGTACATATATGCCAAACTTACACTTCAGCCAATTAATACAAGATAATTTGATGAAACAAATTGCAACGCTAATCAACCGAATTACATATTTACCAGGGCTATATCTCATCCTTTTGCATTGGTCTAGGTGGATTACCATGGGTAATAATGTCTGAGGTATTTGTTTACTTTTCTCCTAAACTAATTTAGTTATTTTCGACATGTTATAAAATCTCATTATTGATTCGTTAACGATGGCAGGTATTTCCGGTGAATGTGAAAATTACTGCCGGAAGCCTTGTAACGGTATCAAACTGGTTCTTTAGTTGGATTATCATTTATAGTTTCAATTTCATGATGCAATGGAGCGCTTCAGGTGATTTTTACTCATTAGCTTGACGTATACATTCTAAAAGAATTGACCAAAATATTATTGATCTAACACAAAAATCTCAACTTTATTTATATTTTTTTGGCAACTAATATCGATCTTGTTATATATAATATAATACTTGTGTCATTTATAAACTTTATAAAATGATCATATAATTTTTTGTTTTCAGGAACATATTTCATATTTTCTGGAGTTTCTCTTGTAACGATCATATTCGTATGGATGTTGGTGCCTGAGACAAAAGGTCGAACACTCGAAGAGATTCAAACATCACTAGTCCAACTTTCGTAATTTCTAAGTTTGATATGTTACACAGCTTTTAACAATGCTATGATTATGTTTTTTAACGTACTTTCATATGCTTCAAAGAAAAACATTGTTTAAGCTGAGTACTATAGTTTGACTCTATAATTATTATTGACAAAATGATAGATTACATATGTATTTTGGTCAATTAAGATTTATTTTAATGATAGAAAAAGAGATAAGTATGCCTTTTTGGATATTTTTCCAATATTTTTCAGTTTTTATGAAATGCTTACTCATAAACATGTAAAAAATAATATGGTTGCTTGTTTTAAACTTTGATTATTATTTTTTTTTCTTTTCGATATTTTGACCGTAATAACTTTGACTATTTAAGAAAAAAAATCACACGAAGAACAAATAATTCTTTTAGTATTGAAATTTCTAAAGATAAATTTTAGAGCTTTAAAGACATTAAAGTATTTTGGTCAATAATTTTTAATCAACGTTCATGTTTGTTAATGATAAAAAAAGAGATAAATACAAATTTATTTAAATGTTTTAGTCAAAATGATCTTGATTTCTACAAATTATAAATGTTATAAAGTGCTTACGCATAAACACAAACACGTAAAATAATAATAGCATTGCTTGTTTTAGACTTTGACTGTTAATTTTGATTTGGAAAAATCTCATTATAAATATTGAAGCGGCAAAAATTAGCATTTTAACTCTTAATTTTGATTGTCATAACTTTGACTATGTTAAAAAAATAATTACACAGAGAACAAAAATAGTTATTTTAGCATAGAGATTATTAAGAAGAAATTTTTGGGCTTTAGAAACATTAATGTCTGTTTTGACTTGAAAAACTATATAAGATCAAATTAAAGTTCCCCCCACACCCATAAAATTCTAACACCAATATAAGTAGAAGGCGGTTCAGTAACAGCTATCAGAAGTTTACGGACCCACTGAGAAACTCTAAAACACCGAGGGGCTAAACTGCAAACTATAAAAGGCCCGAAGCTAGTGCCTAGCGGCTGTGTCGTGTCGGTTTTGGAATAAAATTCTCCACTTCCCCGAAACTTCTCCGCGAAGACTAAAGAAGAAGAACCACCAAGATTCACCAATGGTGACTCCGCCGGAGAATTCTGGGTATTTTCTATTCTCACATGTGTACTCTAATTTTTCTCTGTCGTTCTGATTTTTTAATTTTTGTTATTTTGTGTGCTTTGGTTCGAAGTGTCAAGTATCAAAGTATTATTGTTTAATACTTTCTATTAAAAATGATAAGAAGAACATTCTTGTAATTACCTTTAGGTTGGGCTTTCTCGCTGAGGTCGACAGCAATGAGTTCCACGCAAGCTGCATCGCTCTCGCCAAGTAAAATCTCACTTTCACTCCATTTGTTTCATCATCTCTTAAAGTTAACCTAAATCTCCATTTCTGGGTCTCCGCTTTCACTAAAAAAGTTCTCTTTTTTTTTGTTTGGGGTGAATTTCAGTAAAATCGATTCCGCTATTGGGAATAATGCAGTTCTACCGGATGTTCAAGACCTGGCTAAAATCCTCAAGCATGTTTGCGTAATTTCGTCTTTCCCCTTTGAATGTGGCTTCTGTAATTTCAAATTTTGCTAAAAAGTTTCTTCCTTTGCGTTTAGTATACTCACAGTGCTGCTATACTCATACTCAAAGTTTCTTCCTTTGTGCAGGCTTGCCAACGTAGAGGTAACAATCAAACGAAGGCGATGATAATGATGCTGATGATCTCAGCCAAGGTAACAAAAGAGAGAGTTTTACACTTACTACAATTCAGATTCATTATAAAGTTTGCTGATTTAGATATTGGGGCTTGTGTGTTTCTTGCTCAGAATGCTTGTGAGCTTGGATGGTTCCCGCAGAGAGAGACTCAAGAATTGCTGGCTTTTGTTGAAATGGTATGTGTTGTTCCAGACGAATTTCTGACTAGAGAACAATCATGATTTTGTGAAAAGTGATGTTTTTTTCTTCATGTACAGATGTGGAAAAGTTTCAGCAGTCCTGAAAATGCCATCCCTGCTAGTCTAAGTAGTCCCTGCAGTCAAATGCCGCTGGTCATGAAGAGGTAAGGCTTCGATTCTCATGTTTGTTCATTCATTGATCTCAAACTTGGTCACTATAATCTAAAACGTTGGTCTGTTCTGTGTATAGGTTCTATCCGTTTACGAAGCTGGGGCATGTTCTTATTTCTTTTGAGGCTAAGGTGACTTTTTTTTTTTATCATTCCGTTCTGAGTAGCTTTTGTAATGTGTGCTTTAATAGCTTTTGTTTCTTCTGGCAGCCAGAATCAAACGTATCGGCGAAGGTCAAGGACTTCCATATTTCGAAGAATATGCCCTTTTCTCGCAAAAGACAAGTAGTATGTACTGTAACTTGAGTTATTGGATTCCTTATTATTACTCTTGGTACTAGATTTTGTGTATTCAGATGAATTTGTTTGGTTGTCTTGTCACTTCAGCATTTTATAAATTGGATCTTGGTTTATGTACATGCTTTTTATGCTTAATGGTTTTATCACGAGAATCTTGCTTGCTTTTAGGGATTGTTTGTTGTCCAGACAGATGACATAAGCAAATCTAGTTGTCTTGTACATCCCCAAAAAGTCAGGTGGGGTTGGATTGCTTTCCTTTTTCCATTGACTGTTTTTGCAGCAGTTTTTGTATTTTAACCACATTCATTTTTCATATGAATGTTACAGCTTTTTGTTGAATGGAATGGACGTTCAGAATAGAGTTATCGCTGCAATGGTTTGTGCATTTTTTTGGTTTCACAAATATTTTTTTGTTTTTGAAGTAGTTACTATGATACAAGTGATTGTGTATTATAATTTCTTTTGCAGGATACTGGGCCACAGCGTCCGACGAATGTTTCTCCCCTGGTCAACCCTGGTGTAAACCTTCTGCAAACAATAGGCTGTTTTGAAGGTTTCTCTTCAATTAAGATTTTATTCATCATCTTTATTTCTTCTCCTCCTCTTCAGTAACAATGGACAAATATCTATTTTGCTATAGGTAGTTACTTCGTTGTTATTGCCTTCGTGGATGACATACCACTGCCTGACCAACCACCGATGCTGAAAAATTATGTTCATTCTGAAGTCACTCAATCAAATTCAGGTATATTTACGGATACTTTTAAGTCACTAGGAGAAGAAATTATCTGCTTAATGCTTATTGCATTCTCCACATATCTAGTCTTATACAATTGTATTCCGAGAACTCTTTTCTGAATCAACCATTGTTTGTCTTTTCAATTTTTGTCTGTAGACTGTGACGTAATTGAGGGGCCGTCAAGGATATCTCTCAATTGTCCTATCAGGTATTTGGGATGTTATTCATATTTAGCTTTATATCATAAGATGTTGCCTTAACCTTTGAAATTTTAATCATTATCATTACGACAGCAAAACGCGTATCAAACTTCCTGTGAAGGGTCATGTCTGTAGACATCTTCAGGTGATTCATTTTCTTTCCAGCATAAGAAATTATTAAGTATCATTACATAGTATTCAAGGCTGTGATTTGCTTTGCTGTTGTCCTCTTAAAAGATTTCCATTATCTCTGTTGTGATATGTTTACTTTCTGCTGCAGTCTTTTGATTTCTGGAACTATGTCGGCATAAACAAGAGAAGACCATCATGGCGCTGCCCGCACTGCAATCAGTCTGTCTGCTACACTGACATCCGTGTAGATCAAAACATGTTAAAGGTAAAGTAGCTTACTGCTGTTGCTTAGTGGTACATCTTTACACATCCTACATCGAAATAAACAACCTTGTCTGATCATCCACAGATTCTACAAGAGGTGGGATGTAATGTTCCTGACGTGGTTATCTCTGCCGATGGATCATGGAGGGTTGTAACGGAAAACGATGAGAACGTGCCGGAAACCACTCATAACCATGGAGTCCAAAACTTGGGGCCAGCTGTTATGGACCTGACCAGAGATGAGAATGAAATGGAGACATCCGGTGGCACCCGAGGCGCTGAACATAAGCCTTGTGTACCTGAGTTTCAGGCTCCGTCAACTAACACACACAACCTTGCTACAGATTATCCTATGCTGCTTAACCTGCCATCTTCTTCAGTGAACGCACTGCCACAGCTGCCACAAACTTTGAATGTTTTTGATGGACAACAACAAGGATTCATGAACTTAAACACCTGGGGTTCAGCAGCAAGACAGTCCTTCCCCATGGAATACTTACCAACCTCATCTCAACAAGATAGATTAGCTACTAATCCGGCGAGCTTTCTTCGCACATCAATGCCTGCTGCTCAGTCTTCTCAGTTTCAAGCGTCACATGTTCCGCCCCTTGGACAATGCCTAGGAAGAACCCCTGAGTTGTTGGAAAGGTGGAGCCACATCCATGGAATTGGCACGAATCAAACTCAACCACCCATGTCCCCTCCGTTGCAGCATCTTTATGGGATGCAGGTTTGTTATCCATTTCCCTATCGTTGTTGTTTTACTTGTTTGCATAAATGTCTGGCCAAATTTCATCTGTTTCAGATTTGCATTGTCTAGGAAATTGGACTGATGATTTTTGTTTCTTCATCTGTTTGCAGAACCAGAACCAGAACCAGATGCTTCCGATCAGGAGCATGTCCCCTGCACAGCAAAGACCGATGGCATCTTCCATTACACATCCCCAAACTTTCACTACCAACTATGGAGGGACCTCTAACCAAAGACCCATTCAAAGATCCATGCAAAGACCAAATCCTGGTCGTGCAGCTGAACAGTTCTCATCAACTCAACTTGGTCCTGGCCCGGCCCTGCGTGACTTCGTGAATACGACATCTGCTAACACTGGAAATTGGCGGCCACTGACCCGGATGCGAGGCAGCCTAACGCCCGGTACCATCACAGGGTATGAGCACATGATCATTCGACCTACCAGGCCGGTTCAGGCACAAGCTCAGACACTTCCTCCGCCTCAGCCAGCAGCTTATAGTAGTAACAATTATATAGCTGATGAAATTCAAGCGTTTTTGGCGCATCCAAGCTATCCGGTTGGAATGAATGAAACGCAAGATGGGCAGCTCGGTTCTACGCCCGTTGCCGAGGGTTTGGGGGCATCGGGGTCGTTTTGGTCAATGCCTCCTGAGGCATGGTGATGATATCTGATGGCCTTTAGATATATGTAGCACACAGTAGCATGCATCACTAACACATTCAGTAAGTAGTATGCATATATGTCGGTTTTTTGGGTATTAACCGGTTTAGGCTTCCCGGTATGTATATGGGGCAAGTTGTTTGAGTTTCACTTGATGTGAAACTTTAGGCTACTGTTTTGATATATGATATGCGGTTGATTTTATATTAAAAGAATGCTTAAGAAGAAAGCAACTCTTGAACCACAAAAACAGAGTTTAGTACAAAAAAATGATACTGCGAAATTGCATTGAGAAAATCATGTCGATCGACGTTTCTTGTTATACTAGATCATCATCATCAGGACATTAGATTTTTAATACAGAAGAATATTTTTTACAAATCAAACTTTAGAACTTGAGACCAAGTCTATATACAGTATTTAATTATAAACAAAACAGCATTATAATTGCTAATTTAACGTATAACAATCAAACAGCTATGGCAAGAGGGGATCATATTAATAGAAAACCATATTAAGAGAGATGTGTATAGGAAAATATTTAAAACATAAATTTTGCTCGTTTTTTGCTAAACTATGTCTAAATTAACGCTAAATTTTTGTAAAATATTATATAATAAAATTAACTCTAAATTATTGTCATTGAAGCTACTTTCTAGCTGTGTGTTTTGCTTTTTAAACGTTAACCTAGTTGATTTTCATAAGCTTTTGTTCTAAATAGAGTTTAAATAGAGTTGCAAACCAAGAGATTTAGCTACTGAACTACTGAAGTAAGCTACTTCTTTTTTTTTGGATATAAAAATGAAATTGAGCTAGTTTTTTATGAATCAATGCGTGTGACACCCAAGCATTTTATGTTGGAAGGACTAGGACACTATATCATTATCTTTTGTTTTGTTGTCGTTGATTTTTTACAGGTGTAAGATTAGAGGAGTAGATATAGAAGACAAGGTCGTCCCTCTCCGCAAGCTGGTTATTTTCGCCTGCTGCAGCTTTGCTCGCCTTCATGCTCGCACCGGCAGTTCTCTACTATGCTTCTGAGCTACTCCATGATGTCTTCGTAGAGATGAACCTCGGCGTCATCTTCTTTCTTCTCTGCCTAGGCGCAGCGGGATGGTTTCTCTTTCCGTCCAAGGAGGAGAGTCTGGAGAGAGAGCATGCCGAGCTGCAGCGTTTTGGACATGTGGTTCCCACGACTCCAGCTGATTCCTTTTTCTTACGCGTCTCCGCCATGGTGTTCCCACAAGGTGTTTCCGTATGGAGTAAAATTTAGAGAGTATATTTGTTTTTTCTTTGGTTTAGTTATGAAACATGTATTGGAAAATATTTAAAACATAAATTTTGCTCGTCTTTTGCTCAATTATTTCTAAATTAACGTTAAGAAAATTTAAACATGTTTTATCATATAATATTTTGTTTCTTTTTCTTGTAAACTTTTTTCTTCATCTCTCTCATTCTCATTTTCGTAATATTAACCTTTACAAATCACATAAATCACATAGATAATCAACAATCTTTCCATTTGACCAAATATAATCTACAATTTTCTTTGATCTTTTGATGAAAATACAAAAATATAGTTCTATTTCACAGCTACTTCTCAGCTACTCCATGCAGTTTTTGTTGAGAAGCAATTGAGCGTCATCCTCTTGGTTATTAGTCATCATCATCTTCACCAAGACTGAGTATATAAGCTCGTTGTCGATCTAAAAGGGATCGAAAATGGGTTCCGGGCATAGGCTCTCCATCTCCTTGTATGCTCTTCCAATACCATGCCACGTAAACAGCTGGAATGTTGACTTGTTCTGGTTCAACATCCTCCGGCACTACTAATAAGACATTAAAAACTCTATTGCTCAAGTTTCCAAGGAAACCGACGAAATCGGTTTTCTCCTTGCGGTTTATGGCAAGGACCATCACGTTTGCCGGGTTGCGATAAGGAGGAAAGGGGTTGTTCACCGCCCACAGAGCAATATCCAATAGCATATCGTTCATTCTCCAATATTTGTCACCTGAAACATTGATATATAAGGTTAGAGAGGAAATCAACTATGAAAGTAGGGTTTTAGACAAAATCATATATACAATGATTAAAGAAAAGAGAGGACATCATATCGACACACAGGCGAAAAGAATAACTTAAACCAAGCGATGACTTCATCTATAAGATTAGGGTTTTATTTAAAATCAATCTTACTTCTGTGTACGAATGTGAATCGACCCTTGGCGGTTTCTTCAGGCGAGAAGGGATCCTTATCGCCATAAACCGTGATCGATACCTGACCACTATAACCATTTTTCCTAAGAACAAAAAATCGACAATCTCACGTATCCCGCGACCCTCCGGGACTGGGAAATCATTCACGTCCCAGAACACGCCTGTTTTGCCACTGGAGAAATCTGTAAGTAAGGGAGCGGACATATCTACGCTAGAGAAATCTACAACGGACATGGTGAGAAATTGAGAATGAACAAAAATTAGGGTTCTGATCTATTTGGTCAAGATATGATATGTTTATCGCGGTCTTTATCAAGAAATTATATATTTTTCGAATTTATAAAAAAAATTAACTGCATTGCGGTGCAAAGACCTTATAACTACGTTTTAGGTTTTAGTTTTGCGTTTCCTAAACTAAAAAAAAAAAACTTCATTGAAAGGCACAACCGCACAAGACAATACTATAGGCTGTTGTCTAAAGATGAGAGTAAGAGAAAAGACAGAATATATGTATCAGTTTCAGTGGTCCTAGTTGGTCCATATCAAAACATTCATTAGATCACCGTTCCTAGTTGGTCCTAGTTGGTCCATATCATATCTTGTCTTCAATAGTTCATAATGCATTTACGCTATTCCCAACTACATGATCATATGTGCCCCATTGCCCAAATAGACCAATTAAACTCTTCCACAACCAGTTGTTAGACCGGTTTTTAATACGAAAACCAGAGTATGTTATCTAAATGTCCATCCACACTCGATTTCACGACCTTGAAAGTCCTTCACCGTTAAAAAGTTTGTAATAACACAAAACTCACTATCAGCATAAGTTATGTCTTCAATATATTTATCGTTTTCTGATAAGTATCATCTAGGTCATTCGAATCATACACTTTTCGAAACTATCGAATCTTGGTCTTCACTTGTCTACCGATTAATATATCGGATCAGTACCATATTTAGCTTCATCAACCAAATTAAAAATATTAAACGAACTTAAACAGGTAGGCATAGTCGACAATTGTTAGGTACGCTCTGTTCAACATGATAAAAACGTGAACTACGTACTGAAATAGAGAAAAATAACGAACTCATTCAATTATTATTCTTTTTGAGACAACAAAACTCGTTTATTTATTCTATCTTCTAGTATTATAAGGAAAGGCAATTATTTTGGGACACTCAATATACGAAAAACGACAAGCGAAACAGCAATACATCATAGATATGAATGAGAGTGTATGATAGACAAACTGAAGCGGAGAGAGAGAATGGATCCAATGTACCACGTTATGATTCTGATTAAACAAATATGTACTATACACTCGCTTTTTGTATCTTTTTCAAATTTAACTATTATATTCTCCACCTCCACCTCCACCTCCAACTCCACCTCCATCTCCACTTGTCTGTAGCAATTTACATAACTGTACAAATCTCCCATGCTTAAAGTTATTTGTATTTTTTTTATTTTAGAATCAAGTCACATTCGAAGAAATCCATGATTCCACCGAAATCGCATTTCATATCTGGTTAACTCCCTTTTAGGACTGTGTCATTCTTTGTAGAGCAAAAATTCACATTAAGAATGTCTAAAGAATCATTATAAAATAATGGTTTATCTTTTTAATATTGAATGTTAATTAAAAGTTGAACCTTAGTTTTCGATTATAAAGAATCTTGAAAACAACCACAATACAGGCTAATATAAGTATGGACATGGTCAAATTGCACTTCACTTAGTACTGTGAGTCTGTGACTACGGATTAAACTGGACGACAAAAACAAAATATGGGATTTTATTTTTTGAGAAAGGATTAAAATAATATGGGGATTTGGAAGCTACCAAATGTGCTGGTATAGTTGTAAAAGATTTGTTCCAAAGAAGTTTGATTCTCTCACGTTCCTTAGAAATCACTCGATTCTTCAGTTAACATCATATTGACACGTAAAATTTGTAGTTTACCACCACTGATGTGGCTCTTTGATTTATTAAAATTTGTTGTCCCCAATGAGATTAAGTACGGTAGGGCCGTAGCGTAAAGGGTTCACGTTCTGCTCAATGTTCAAAATTTTAGTTTCGTTTTTTTTTCTCCAAATGTAACTATCAGTAGTATCAGTTTTCCATTTATCAGTACTTGACTTTCCTTTTTGGGCAAAGATTTCATTTTTCCCATATTGATTTCATGTTTCTTTCTCTGTCTTTTTTTTTCAGAATAAATTTCAAGATGGTGGTCAAGAAACCTTTAAAAAATTATCTGGATCCACACCCTATCCATCTCGGTACAAACGAACAGCCAAATCTCTTCCAACTGTCGAGACATATTCTGTGCGCTCTTCGTTCCAACTTGAACTTCATAGAATCTAGAGAAGAAACAACTCTTTTATTGAAGTGCATGCAATACATGCCTGTCGCTTGCCACTTGCCACCCAATATTTGGATCTTTTATTTTAAAGGGGAATTTAAAAAATTTCTTTATGTACTTTAGGTTGGTATAGTTTTGATACAATATATGTTTCTTTTGCATTCATTTTCTCGTCACATGGAACTAATGCGCCAAAAAATTTAGATCTTAAAATGAGGTCAGTAAAAGGAGGCCGAACATTAAAGAACACTAAAGATACTTAATGATGAGTCACTAACCTTTTCTTTGTCGCATTATCCCGGAAGAATCACATTCTCATATTTTTTTGCTGCTACTGTTCTTTGTTTGCCTCTCATATTTTAAACCCGAAGAGAAAACCAAAATACAAGTCAGTATACATCAAAGCATGTGTTCATTTGATTATCAAACACATGGTATTTGGGTATTGGTCATGTAATTTCTGTAAAAAACTTTGCAAAAAAAAAATATTGGCACACCACGTTCTACGATGGACCACACTGACCTCATCCATCATCAAATTGTCGCTGACATTCTCTACGAGCCCATGACTAGTCATCGACTCATGGCTGCCATTTTGTCTCGACTTAAATCAACCAAAGCGTTCCATAACCATTTAATCTTTGATTGAATTCATGCAAGTCAAATTTTTTTTTGACAGTCCGCTTAATCAGGATTTTTATTGAAACACTGCCAAATAATTTGGTAAATGGTACAAGGCTTGTATGGTTCGTATAAAAAACGTTTCTCAGCAAAAAATATAAAAGTGCATTTGTATAAAACAATGTTCGGCCACAGAAAATGTGATTTTGACAAAATGACACATAACGTTGATTACTTTGTGTCTACTGATTTTGGTGAATACTTGTGTTTCTTCAAGTCGTTCTCTCGAGCCCGGAGCGTGATAACTTGGTACCGTATAAGACTACAAAATCAACATTCCTCCTAAAATTTTCTTGATTTCTTTATTTTTTTTTTCTTTTCAAGATTTCTTATTCTGTTAAATGCCTGAAATTTGCTTATATATATATATATATATATATATATTTTTTTTTTTTTTTTAATTTGTCCAAAAACAAATTTTTTAAATAGACTAAGATAGGACAATAAATACCTTTTTAGCAGAAGATTCAAAGGTTGGTGATGATTTCCTTAATAAGTTCCAATATTAGAAACCAAAGTCTTGTTTCGCCCAGAAAAGAAAGAAAAAAAAGGTCTTGTCGATATCAAATTAGATATGACAATGTCATTAAGTGTGAGGAGAAACCGGTGAAGAGCGCGTACAAGACATATGAAGTTTCTAATTATGCAGTTTCTACATTTTTGCTTACAAGTTATTATATGTCGACTTGTGTCATTACTCTAACGCAATAGCTAACGTGCACGGCGCCTCTTTCATGTAATTACCTTCAAACCTCTATCAACGCGTGTACTAATTGCATGAAACTTTCAATGTGACAACTCATGTCAATTTTATGATAATTTGATAACCCACGTAGAAACACCCTATTTTATTTCTAAATGGATCAACAACTCTCTTATTTTTCTTTTTTGTCAACAGTTATATTCTGCTATTATCCAGATTTTTTAAAGACTTATCGAGCTATTTTTGTTTTAATATAAGGCAAGTCTTTGTTTTGACTTTTTTTACGCAAATGAAGAAATAAGACAGGTACAGCTAAATATCTCTACAAAATTAGTGATGTTTTCCTTGCAATTGTTAATTCTGACTACGTCAATCATGTATTTATGACAGAAGTTTACAGTGACAAATGTATTGAAACAAAGTAAATATATATCGGAAGTTTATGACAGAAGTTTACAGTGACAAATGTATTGAAACAAAGTTTACAGAAGTTTATAGTATATGGTCTAAGAGAATAAGACGGATCAACATATCGGAAAAGGATATTATATATTTATCGATAGTTTAGTTCAGTCGAGAAAAAGACAACTATATAGTATACTGGCTTATGCGAAACGGATTAACAAGTGAATCTAGACGCTAATCATATATATAATTCATCCAAAAAATTACACTTGTTATTACCGTTTTGATTTGTGGTAGGGACCAGCTTCGAAGTTACCCAAAAAAGGATAACAAAGTAACCATCCACTAAGTCAGAAACAGAAGAAAACAAAATTGATAAACATTATGAATCATACACTTTTAATATTAGACGCAAGACGGCCAACCAAAAAGTCCAAGTTACAAATTATAATCCCAACTGAGAACAAAAAACGTATATAAAACGAAGTATATAATTATATAATAAAAAATAAAAAATAATTGAAGTAATAAAAAAATCAATGGAAAACCATAAGAAACGTGACACAAACGAAAAAAAATTGGAAGCTGGCCTCTGGCTTTCCTCCTCCATTACTCAAGGAATATAAATAAGCTTTTCTTCGACTCAGTTCTTCAAATTGCAAGCCAAGAAAGCAATCATAAACATCATATTCGCAAAATACTCCAAAAAGCCTTTAATCAAAAGAAACCTTGTCTGCCCTTTTTCTTTCCTTGGAGAAATTTTAAAGATGACGATTTCTGAAAACCAAAGAGATGTGGAAGCTCCGTTGCTTCTTACAAGGAAGAACCAAAACGACATCAACGAGTGTCGTATCACTGCTGTTGTCCTCTTCAGTACTTTCGTCTCTGTCTGTGGCTCTTTCTGCTACGGTGTTGCGGTTAGTCAACTCATTCATCTTCACTTCTTGGATTCAAAATAACAACCAAGATTCTGTGATTTATGTGTTTTATGGGGTTTGGTTTTTTACAGGCAGGTTATTCATCTGTTGCTCAAGCAGGGATCACAACAGATTTAGGCCTCTCTGTTGCACAAGTAAGTAACAAACTAACCATTTCATGATTTGATTATTCACTCGATGTTTTGCTTAATTTCTCAAAAGCTGCTCTGTCTTTTTTTGTTTTACAACTTCAGTACTCGATGTTTGGGTCAATCATGACTTTCGGAGGTATGTTTGGAGCCCTCTTCAGCGGGAAGGTCTCAGATATCATTGGTCGAAAAGGGGTAATAAAAACATACCATCTCTGTTTCTAAACCACTAAAATTTTGATACACATACTCATATTCTGATCATCTCTCTGTTTTCTTGAAACAGACTATGTGGTTTGCTCAAATTTTCTGCATCGCCGGTTGGCTTGCAATAGCATTTGCACAAGACGCCATGTGGCTTGATGTTGGTAGATTCTCCACCGGATTTGCCGTTGGTTTATTCAGCTACGTGGTAATTAATCTTTTTACTTTTTTTCTCTTTCCTTTAAAATGAAAAGAGAAAAGAATATTACTTTTTTACTGACTGTATGTTGACTCTGTTGCAACCAGATACCAGTTTACATCGCAGAAATAACACCAAAACATGTTCGAGGAGCTTTTGTATTTTCCAATCAGGTAATTATCTATAATCAGGGGATAACATATTTTATTTAGCCACTAAAGATATATTACTAATATATAATCTTAAAATTTGTTACAGCTGATGCAAAGTTGTGGGGTATCATTATACTACGTCATTGGAAACTTTATTCACTGGCGTAAACTAGCACTAATCGGTAAGCTTTAGCTACTTACTTTCTGGTCTTTTTTCTTTAAATTTTAGTTATGGAAAGAGTGGTTCTAAGTTTTTTTGGTTTATGTCACAGGCCTTATTCCATGTCTTTTGCAAGTTGTGTGTTTGTTCTTCATTCCAGAGTCTCCTAGATTGCTGGTATGGTCTTTTTAACCTTGATGGACTTTTTGAAATTTATGATCTCTTAAGAAAAATCTTGAAGTAATTGGTTTGTAATGGTATGTAGGGAAAATGGGGACTTGATAAAGAATGTAGAGCTTCATTGCAGCTTCTCCGTGGAGAAGATGCTGATGTAACTCAAGAAGCCAACACTATCAAAGTATTGCAACTTTTTTCCAGAAATCTCTGTTTTCAAAATTTTCTTGTTTCAACTCAAAACGCTTGAATAATACTGACCAATCCAATCCAACTGTAGGAAACTATGATTTTGTTTGATCAAGGACCAAAATCGCGGGTTCTGGATTTGTTTAGGAGAAGATATGCTCCATCTCTTGTTGTAAGTTATTCTGAAACGTTTTGTAGCAAAAATGTGGATTCTTTTCTTTAACCATTTACTGAAGTTTGTGACATTTTTTTTTTCAGATTGGTGTGGGGCTAATGCTTCTACAACAGCTCTCTGGAAGCTCAGGGATTATGTTCTATGTCGGTAGTGTATTTGACAAAGGAGGTAAATAGAAAAACAAACTCTGTTTCTCATGTAAACCATAACTGATCTTGTCTTCGTTTGTAGTAACAAATCGTTATTCTTCTTTTAATTCTTGACAGGATTTCCAAGCAGCATTGGCACAATGATTCTTGCTGTGATCATGGTATGTATTTGCACATGTAGTTTCCTTTTTTTTTCTAAAAAATCTTGCAAAGGACTACACTTATTCTCGTGTGTTCTTGTTTGTAGGTACCAAAATCTATATTGGGTCTTATTTTGGTTGAGAAAATGGGACGAAGGCCGCTTCTATTGGTAAGTTTTTTTGCGTATTTTTTTGTCAAATGTGAAGTGAAGCAAATGAATCTTTTTTTTTTATTTTGGACAACAAAAAGCAAATGAATCTATTATCTTGTTAACACATGAAAGATCTTTACTTACAGGCTTCTTGTGGTGGAATGAGCTTTTTCAGCTTGCTTCTCGCTTTTTCCTTCTCCTTTAGGGTAATATTAACAATTCGCCTTATACCAGATGATATACACAAACATTATTATTCACTCTGTTATATTTATCATTGTTTATTTTTTCTTCTTGGACAGTCATATGGCATGCTCGATGAGCTCACTCCCATTTTTACATGTATCGGCGTAGTGGTACGTATAAGATCATTTTCTTCGACAATAAATAAAAATAAGCATTTAAAAGCAAATGCTCTTGTCTAAAAACTGATATCATTTTAACATCAAATTTCTTTCACAAAAACAGGGTTTCATCTCTGCATTTGCCGTGGGCATGGGAGGCTTACCATGGATCATTATGTCTGAGGTATATCAATCAACATCAACGTCTTTAGAAGCTCCTCAAAGTCAATATGACTTTTTTTCTTTATTTGGTATGAATATGACTTTTTGTTAGCTCTAAAAAATGTCTACATTTTGATTATGCAGATTTTCCCAATGAATGTTAAAGTTTCTGCTGGGACTTTGGTTACCATGGCAAACTGGTCCTTTGGTTGGATTGTAGCTTTCGCCTACAACTTCATGATACAATGGAATGCATCAGGTATATTCATATATTATATTGTCACTAATTTTCAAAAATGAGTTAAACTTTATTAGAACCCTTCTCATTTATTTAAGTATAATGTTTTTTCAGGAACGTTCTTGATCTTCTCTAGTATATGTGGCGGGGGTATAGTCTTTATTTATGCTATGGTACCTGAAACCAAAGGAAGAACACTGGAAGAGATACAAGCTTCTCTTACAGATTTTCTACGATGAGACTGAGTCTTATCTGTTCGTAGTTATTATTTTTTGGGTTCAAGTGGGAAAGATTAATCGTTTTTGTTTGTAATTGTTTCCTCATTTGAAACAATATAGAGAAGAGATCACTTGACAAACAAATAAGTTTAGATCTCTCCTTCTCTCTGTATCTGTATCTGTTACTCATCAGCCACTCCCATTTATGTAAAGTATAGCCCCACTTTATGTTGTACAGTTTTGTTGCTTTCGTTGTAATTTTGTTACAGCAATAAAGTGTTCCAGACCATACTCTCCGCATACAGTTCAAATGTTTTGTATATTTTGTGCCATCTTTACGGCCTTATTCTGTTTTTCATAATGAATTATTGACTGTGAGATCTTTTATTTTAACAAGTTATTGATTTCCTTTCAAGGCTTCGAAAATAAGATTTTCTAACTATGCAGTTTGCACAGAATTTAGTTATCGCTGTGCCAACCACACCTGTGCCACGTTTAGTGCATCTGATTTACATAAAAAAAAATCGAAAAGGTCAATCCCTTTAAAGTTTAACTACCATGATGACATTTAATTATGAGAAATTTTGGAAATATACTCTTTGATGAGTTTTTAATTTGAAAACTACCCTTGTTTTTTTTAGTTTTGAAAAATACACTTTTTAATATATGAAATGACTTAATTATCCTAATTTGAGGTTTTCAACTAATTTAATAAAAACGAAATTCAAATAAAAAATCTAAAATATTAAGATTTGATTATGATTTTATTCATTTTAAAATACTAAACAATACTAATTATCTGTTTAATTTTATTAAGAGGGTGAGATTAAATTGTTTATATAATGTTTCAAAAATATTTAAATATGTATAAAGGTAAACATTAAAAATGGAAGATAAAATTATCCACTATTAAAATTTCAATTAGTTTATAAAGTGTAAAGTTTATATTTATAAATTTTCATTTGGTTGGAATGGGGATGAGATTAAAGTTGTTTATATAAAGTTATAAAAAATTAAAATTTGTTTACAGAAAACATTAAAAATGGAATATAGATTTATCCACTTTTTAATTTTTAAAATTTATATTTATCTGAAAAAAATCTTATTGATTCTATTATTTTTGAATTTCGTTTTTAATTTTTAGCTGTAATGATTTTTTAATGTTTTGTTTAAATTAGGTCAAAACAGTCTTTTTACATTCAAAAAGTGTATTTTTCAAAGCAGAAATAAATTAGGGTATTTTTCAAAATTTTAAACACAAAGAGGGTATTTTTCAAAGAATCCCTTTAATTATCTTGACTTGCAAGTTTGTTGTTAGTTACAAAACTCTTGAACTCTTAAATTCTTTAATTTAATAATTTCTTACAAGTGGTGCACATCAAAATCATCTTACTCTATTTTATATACTATTTTTTATTTTATTGTAATTTTATATACTAGTAGTTGACAACTTGCTGGTATCAGCATTATTTGTAGAACGGATTCAATTTAGAATTTTCTTTTATAAATTTATTAATCCAACTTGCAGGTAGCAGCATTGTTTGTAGAAATGATTCAATTTTGATTTTTTTTTTTATAAATTTATTAATCCGAAAGGATTAAAGAGAGCATATGGGAATGATCTCAGATTCTCATGAGCCGATGACTCTTTTCATTTAGTATGAAGATTTTTCAGTAGATGATAGAAATAAGTACAAACCTTAACTCCATTACTTTTACTTTTTTCTTTCGTTCTTTCCATCATGTTTACTTATATGCCCGAACTTTTTATAGGAGAAGTTAGAAGAATCAACCAAGTTGAAGATGGACTAACTCAAGGCATTTATAAAAATGTTAAAACAAATCTATTTGAAAATACCCACTAAGAGACAAACTAGTCAATTAGTCAGTCCACATTACCTGGCATAATCACGCATCAATTACGCAAAAAACTGCATAGTTTGCTCTTGCTAGAAAAAAAGTACCACTAAAAAAAAGAGAGTTGTGATTAGGTTTCGATTCAGTGACTTGACAAAAGTAAATGGTTGGGCTTGGAAGTCCAACTCATTTTAGAAGAAATTTGTTAAGAAAATTGGGCAAACAGAAGGCTACGATTGGGACATTACAGGCCTTCTTCGATAAACAATAAGTAGATTGGTCTTATTGTTTACATGCCTACATTTATTAGAAGAAGAACAAAAGTAATGGTATGGACATTCAAATAACAGACGACTGAGAGACATTAGACATAGTCCATAGTCCATACTCCATACTCCATACTCCCATACCATTCAATAAGAACATAGACCACCTGATCTCGGGACCCAAGTCACGTAACTATTCATCATGTGCAAGTATTTCATGATTCGATATATCATACATTCATACATGTATGCATTGCCATTTTTCCTAGTAAAACATATTGTCTACTTCTCTCTTTTATCTCTATCCTTAGTAGAATATGAATACCCTAGGACAAAGCTTTTCGCTAACATTTTCTCTTTAACGAAAAAGGATGAAAAAGGACACCAATACGAACCTTCCATCCAACTTGTTCACTTGATTGTGTATTGCATTCCTGCCAAATAGAAGAAGCCACAAGGGAGAGGGACCCATAGAACAACTGTGATTGTTAGTATTAAAAAAGAGTCAAATTTGTCGAGATTTTGATCAATTTAAAATTCATAAATAAATGGATCAACTTCATAGATTGTGGCTCCCTTGGCTGTATACGTTGAGAGAATAGTCAAATATTTGAATTCAAAAAGAAACAAAGTGTGGGTCTACCAGGAAAACAATTGGTTGCAACGACTTTTCATATCTTCAATAATTCATAATTGATAAGGACGGGCAATTTTCTTTCTTCATCTTGCGCACAAATGATACCATTCGAACCAAAAACATTTGCAATTTCCCTCAACTCCTATATATAAAAATTACAAATACAAATAAACATATATCGTTTCATATTTGGACATGCAGATCAGCAGATGTAATCATATTATTTTCATATTTTGGATATAAATCAGAACTATCAGTGTACAAACATTCTTAGCAGTATACGCAAAACACTAAACAATCATAGAAAATAAAATCAAACCAAGGTCAAGTTCAATGAAGATGACTGAATCTGAACAAAACAAAACAAAGTTTCGATCTCATAAAGTAATAAAAATAAAGAGGCCTACATTTTTGAGCCGCCGCCTTCCCGTATATAAATACTCTAAAATGCCACTGCACAAAAATAACAAAAGGATGTAACCAAGCGAACAAAGATTTGATCGCCCAAGACACGACCAAGTCCACTGAATATTAAAAGTTAAGCGTAAAAAAAAATATCATAAAATTTATATATATATATATATATATATATATATATATATATAGTGACATTTTATAAAAGTATCCAACTGCCCAAGCTGACAAATATCCAATCTTCAATTTGCATAAGAACCTCTCAAGAAACTTCATAGTGTGCTCTTCACAAATCACAACTCTACTCTTCTTGTATTCCTTTTTCCTTCTTATATCCTTTTCTTGTTCCAAAGAACAAAGCAAAAGAGTAAAGAAGAAGGATTTTGGAATGGAGAGACAAAAGAGCATGGAGAAAGGGTTACTGAGGAAGAGCTTAAGCATAAGAGAGAGAAAGCACCCTAACGAAGAGGTTTTTCTAGAAGCCGGATTATCAAGGAAATCCCCGAGAGAAGTTAAGAAACCCCAAAACGACGACGGTGAATGTCGTGTTACCGCCTCTGTTTTTCTCAGCACCTTTGTTGCTGTCTCTGGCTCCTTCTGCACCGGTTGTGGCGTGAGTTCTTTTTACTGATTCGATCACGGTTCATACCCGGTTTAGCTATAAACCATCCGGGTTTCAGTTTTGCACTGAATCTGAAATTTAGTGTTTAACTGACTAAACCGGCTTAATTGTATCGGTTTTGTAGGCGGGTTTTTCATCCGGTGCGCAATCAGGGATTACCAAAGATTTATCTCTCTCGGTTGCTGAGGTAACCAATTTTAACCAATAAAACATTTACTACTACTATTTTTTTTGTGTGTGCAAATGCTACTATTTTTCTTCGCTAGTTTTTAGTTTGACTACTAATGGGAACCTATTTACTGATCATGCAGTACTCGATGTTCGGGTCGATTTTGACACTAGGAGGCTTGATTGGTGCAATATTCAGCGGTAAAGTCGCCGATGTCTTGGGAAGAAAACGGGTAAAGATTGATACACATTTCGGTTTGGCCGGTTATTAATAATTTTTTTCTATCAAACCGATTTTTTACTTTCCTTTTTTCTACTCTTTAACTAAAAACAGACAATGTTGTTCTGCGAAGTCTTCTGCGTGATAGGCTGGCTTGCGGTAGCATTGGCTCAGGTTTATATATCTTTCTACTTGTACTTTGTCTTGTTTATTTAGAAAATTATGTTTCTTTTAGTATCTTTCTTTAATTAAAAAAATAGTAAAAAATGATTAGTTTAGGGTTCATTAACTTATTTTATAAGAATGTTCTGTAGGACGCATTGTGGCTGGACTGTGGAAGATTGTTACTTGGAGTCGGCATTGGTTTATTTAGCTACGTGGTAATTCCTATTATTCTAAATTCATTTTCATCACACTAATTTTAATACTAGAATAAGAAATCACTAATACGAAATTGTTGTGTTTTTTTTTTCATGTATAGATTCCGGTCTATATAGCCGAAATTGCGCCAAAACATGTCCGTGGTTCGTTTGTGTTCGCCAATCAAGTATGTGGAGTTTCTTGTAACAGTTTAAGTTCTAACCAATTCAATGATACTGGTGATTTAGTCCAGCGACGTTATATTTGAAACCATAACACAATTTTCTTACATAATGTGTACAGCTGATGCAAAATTGTGGTATTGCACTATTCTTCATCATTGGCAATTTCGTTCCATGGCGATTATTAGCCGTAGTCGGTATGATAATATCTATAATATTCAAATTAAAGAACACTAATACAATTCAAGCTGCTCAATTTAACATTATGTTTGTATGTTTTCCAGGCTTAGTGCCATGTGTGTTCCACGTTTTTTGTTTGTTTTTCATTCCCGAGTCTCCAAGATGGCTGGTAAGTCTATTTATATTTGCTTATGGTTTTTATAATCCAGTTTTGAAATGTTGCTTTTATGTATTTTAAATATCATGTTATATATATATGTGACAGGCGAAGAAAGGTCGTGATAAAGAATGCCGATCTGCTTTGCAACGCCTCAGGGGATCTGACGTCGACATTTCTCGTGAAGCAAACACAATTAAAGTATGAAATTTTCATTTTAAAAAAAAAAAATTAAAAAAAAATACAGTTAAATAATATACCGGTTTCAAAATGAAATTTTCTTATTTTCCAGGATACCATAGAAATGTCAGAAATCGATGGGGAAACTCGGATATCTGAATTGTTTCAGAGACGATATGCACATCCGTTACTTGTAAGTATCCAAGGCTCTGAGCTAAGAAAAATTATACAGTTTCTAAATAATTAAATGTGACTGTCTCTAACCCAATTGCATTTGATTGAGTAATTAACTTTTATTATGTAATGCTGATGCAATATATTTGTATTCAGATTGGAGTCGGTTTAATGTTCTTGCAACAATTGAGCGGTAGCTCGGGTATGACCTATTATGCCAGTAGCCTCTTCCAAAAAGGAGGTAACTTCCTTTTGCATACACTTAAATAAAGTATGAATATTTCACGTGTGAATAGTTCGATCGAATTAATACAAATGAACTCATGTTATTTTCAGGATTTCCAAGTGCTGTTGGCACGTCTATTATAGCCACGATCATGGTAAATTGTCAAGAATGAAACAAAAAGCATTTACTTTAGTCTTTAAAATTCCAGAGATATCCCAATATGAAAAAAATGAATTAATTATCCTAATTATTCTGTTTAGGTTCCGAAAGCAATGTTGGGAACAATTATAGTCGATAAAATGGGGAGGAGGACGCTCCTAATGGTTAGATCTACTCTTACATAACTTATTTTCATCCAAGTATTAATATGTATGAAGTAACTGTTTTTTTTAATATAAATTTTAACAGGCTTCTTGTGCTGCGATGGGTTTAAGTGCTTTACTCTTAAGTGTTTCGTACGGTTTCCAGGTGATTATAGCCTACTGTCTACCATAACCATATAAATACGTACATATATAATAATTATGCAACCTTTTAGCTAATTATCTGTCTTCAAATTTTTGTTAAATGTGGAACAGTCCTTTGGAATTCTCCCAGATCTCACTCCCACCTTCACTTGCATCGGCGTATTGGTAATAACTTTAAAATTTGATATTACCGTAACAGAAAGAAAAAAACATGACAATTCTTTTTATTTCAACTTTAATTTGTTTGGATTAACTTCGTTCGTTGCTGATCAGTTTAAGTTGGTGACTCATGAAATGTATAGGGTCACATTGTGTCGTTTGCGATGGGAATGGGAGGACTACCATGGATTATAATGGCTGAGGTATATATTCCAACATTTTTATGTCATGTTTTTATTATATATACTTCTATGAATGGTGAGTGAGCTAAGTATATATACATATATGACCAAGACTCAAAGATCTTGTCTTCACCAAAAAAAAAGACTCAAAGATCTTGTAATTTTATTATGTTTGCAGATATTTCCCATGAATGTGAAAATGTCAGCGGGAACTTTAGTTACCGTGACAAATTGGTTATTTGGTTGGATTGTCACTTATACTTTCAACTTCATGCTCCAATGGAATGCATCAGGTAAGTATATATGTAGATGTTATTCCTTATAACTAATTACCGTTATCACTTTTATGGTTATTTTGCTGATATGAGTAAATTTTTTTTTTCAAGGGATGTTCTTCATATTCTCAATGGTCTCAGCCAGTTCAATTGTATTTATATACTTTTTGGTACCGGAGACGAAAGGCCGATCACTCGAAGAAATACAAACACTGCTCTCCAACTCTGTACAATAAATTATCGTTTTGTGTAAAATGATCATATCATTTGATTACTGTAATTGACAAAAAAAAAAAAAAAAAAAATCTATTGCTGTAATTGGTATGAGTTTTGAATGAGATTTGTGTATGAATCGAATTTCGGATGGAAAAAAAATGGCGACAATTATTTGTATTTTTCCTGTTTTGGATATGGTCTTCAAATCAACTTTACCTGATCACGAAAAAAGTAACGTAGTTGTCGTACACATTTAAAAGTTAAAACATTCCGTTTCACTTCAACCACTTGAAAATAAATTTCACACCAATTGTCCATTGCACCTACAAATTACCAACCAAAGAAACTAGTAAATAATTAATGAAATGGGTTAAGTTTAACCTAAAACTAAAAACCATTTTCTCAACTAGGATTAGTTTTAAATGAAATGGGAAACAGAGTGGGATCATAAACACAAAAGTAGTCGGTCTTGTTGAGATCGTGGTCTCATATGGTTGGCTCTCAATTTTGACAAAGCGTAATTTTATTAATCACCATCATCTCTCCACTATAAAATCAAATCCTATAATATAAAACCGCAAATAACGAGAGAAAATGGTGAGCGACAAGAAGATGCTTCCAAAACGCATCATACTAATGCGCCACGGTGAGTCCGCCGGCAACATCGACCAAGGTGCTTACGCGACCACGCCCGACCACAAGATCCCACTGACGGAAGAAGGACGAGCGCAGGCGCGTGAAGCCGGGAGGAAGATGAGAGCCCAGATCTCAACCCACAGCAGCGTCGGCGCGTGCGCAGAGAACTGGCGCGTGTACTTCTACGTGTCGCCGTACGAGAGAACGAGGACGACTTTGAGGGAGGTCGGGAAAGGGTTCTCGAGGCGGCGAGTGATAGGGGTGAGGGAAGAGTGTAGGATCAGAGAACAAGATTTCGGGAATTTTCAAGTGGAAGAGAGGATGAGAGTTGTCAAGGAGACGAGGGAGAGATTCGGAAGATTCTTTTATCGGTTCCCGGAGGGTGAATCTGCCTCCGACGTCTACGATCGGGTTTCGAGTAAGTTCTCTCTCCCTTGCTCTTTAAGGTTCAGAAATCTGAATGACAACGGTGCGGTCATATTCCGCCGCGTGTCCCACACGTCTCCATTTAAAACGTATAATAGTCGAACTATACATACAATAATCAGAAAGCTCTATTATTCGAAGATGTATATACGTAAATAATCCAAATCCTTTCTAAAAAAAGAAATGTATAGTAGGTGGGATATTTCCGGTATCTAGCGGTAGTTAAAGACTTAAATATCTTTAATCAGTACGTAAAGATACCTCTATTAAATTCAGGTTTTGGAAATTTTCAGGTAATTAGGATAATTTGTCGATTAGTTTAGTAATGGTAAGAATTTATAAATTGATAGTTTGGTCATTGGTGTGGTTATATTTTCAAGACTTTTGACTTATCTTGAGAAAAGAAGACTTAGCTTGACTGGTTTTCGAGTTTGTTGACTTTTTTTGTTTATGGGGAAACGTTTTCCGAAATATAGTTACTAGCTAGTTTACTATAGCGAAAACAAAAATATTAAAATTTTAATTCTGTAAGTGTCAATTTTGCTTCATTCGTTACGAGATTGTTATATAACATCGTTAATAATCTCCAAGTTTTTCACCTTGTTTGAAAGGTTTCCTGGAGTCATTATGGAGAGACGTGGACATGAACAGGCATCAAGTGGAGCTATCAAGCGAACTAAACCTAGTGATCGTGTCTCACGGGCTGACCTCACGGGTGTTTCTAATGAAATGGTTCAAGTGGACGGTGCAAGAGTTCGAGCGGTTGAACAACTTTGGGAACTGCGAGTTTAGAGTGATGGAGTTAGGTGCGAGTGGAGAGTACACTTTCGGGATACACCACACCGAAGAAGAGATGTTGGCTTGGGGGATGTCTAAAAATATGATCGATGATCAAATGGGCCGCGTTGATGGTTCTCGTGAAACATCGAACGATTGTTGTTCATTGCATCTCGATGAGTATTTTGATTTGTTAGATAATACTGATGATGAAGAATGATGCATAATATTGCTATTCTTTTGCGTCTGGAAAACTAATATTTAATCTCATTGGTTGGTTGGGTTTGTTTAAAATCGAGTTTACTGATCAAATTTGAATTCATGTTTAGTCTTTGACTCTTTGTTCACACATGTGATAATTGATAAAGCCACACAGGATATCATATCTAACGTGAACAAATAAGAAAATTTACAAGGAAACGGTTGTCAACAATGGGCATTTGGTCTAGTGGTATGATTCTCGCTTAGGGTGCGAGAGGTCCGGAGTTCAATTCTCCGAATGCCCCCTTTTAATGTATTTTTATAATTTAACAAAATTAGTATATTTTACGGAAGAAATGGATTCGTCACTACGTGGAGTCTGTCAACACAGAATATTGTCAACTTTAGTCCTTTTTACATGAAAAAGAAAAACTTTTTTAATTGGGCAATCAGATCTCATCGAAAATCACTCGAATGCTCTCCATTGCTGATTTTGATAAAAGTGGCAATATCTCCCGATTGGATGCTAAATCTCTCTGATTTCAAATTCCGTTTGTGTGTCTTCCATTTCATTCATCATCATACCTGAATGGCATGGAATTGATTTCTTCTTCAACCATTGGAAAATCAGCTTTGTGTTTAACCCTAATCTCCATTATCATCTTCTTCTTCCTCACTGCAACCACTCCCAGCTTCCCGGATCACCCTTCTTCGCGTTTCCCCGTTACTCCGAATCGTTCTCTTCTCGACGACTCTAATGCCACAACCACTCTCAACAGCTCGAGCTCGAGCGCGAACTCCGAATCATCTTGTTTCTCCGCGAGATCCCACGACTATGGCGTCATCAACTATTTCTCCCTCCATTTCTGCATCTTCAGCGAAAACCGATTCCTCTCGATCCCCGTTTTGTCTCTCCTCATTCTTCTACACTTCTACATACTCATCAAAACCGCCCAGACTCACTTCTCCACCGTCACGACTAAGCTCGCCGATCGCCTCAATCTCTCTCCGAGTATGGCCGCCGTGACTCTATTGGCCTTGGGTAACGGCGCACCGGACGTATTTGCCTCCGTCGCCGCGTTACGCGGTGGCCAGTACCGAACCGGATTCGGAGCGATCTTATCAGCCGGAACTTTCGTATCGGCCTTCGTCGTCGGGTTTGTGGCGATCTACGCAGCGCCGTTTCCGGTTGACGCCGCGTCTTTCGTCAGGGATGTGCTTTTCTACCTGATCGCTGCCTCCTTCTTGTTCTATGTGTACTTGAGTGGCGAGATCTTCGTGTGGCAAGCGATAGGGTTCGTTGGGTTCTACATTTTCTTCGTCGGATTCGTGTTTTGGATGGATTTTGGTACCAATGTTGAGAAAGGGAGAATCATCAGCGAGGAAGAGAAGGACTTGTTGAGAGTTAAGGATTGCGAGATTGGAGATCCTCTTGAGAGTTATAAAGCAGAGAAAGAACATTTATTTTCCGGAATTTTTCGGCTTTATGGGATGGTAACAAGTCTCTTTCACTCTCCTCTGAGCTTCGTTTGTTGATCATACGTCATTTTCAGCACCAACTGTGGAATCTGATATTTGCTGAATTAGATTATGTGTTTAAAGGGTTCGATGTTATGATAAAGCTGTCTTTGTTAGTCTAGTGAATGAGCATTGTAAGTAGCTTAGGCAGTTTTAACTGGATTGTAGCTGTGTTGACAACTTGGGAACAATCTAGAGAGCTAACATGTTAAACAGAAGTTAGGCAAAGTGAGTTTGGGGTATTGTATAGGGTTTTGGGATTGGGAAATTGGTCGAGACTCTTTAATCAAAACTCTCTATGATGTCTATTTCTTTGGTGAATTCGATTAGAAGGAGTTAACCGGTTTTGATCTTATCAGGTTACTGTAACTTACTCTGTTACACTGCATATGTATATGTTTATGCTGATAGGTTTGAGCCTTACTGCGACTGGTTGGATTTGACTGATTTTGCTTTCGCTGCTGTGATTGCAGATCTCAAGGATGTGGGAAACTCCAGTATCAGTTCTTTTGAAGCTTACAATCCCAAAAACTTCTCCTTCTGAATGGTCTCGGTTTTACCGATCTGCCAACATTGTTTTCTGCCCTCTAGCCCTTTTGTACACTTGCAACTCATTCGTTCCACTAAACCACCCAATCTCGTTCCTCTTTCCAAACACACATCTCCCACTTTGGCTTGTCGTCCTCTTCATGACGTCTTCCCTTGCTTTCCTTCACTTCACAGTCGAAAAACAACCTCCAAAAACAGAGCAAATGCCTGTCATCGTTGTAGCTTTCATAATGAGCGTCTTCTGGATATCGACGATCGCTGGTGAGCTACTTAACTGCTTGGCTGCACTTGGAACCCTCCTTAAACTGCCTCCGGCGCTCCTAGGCTTAACCGTTCTTGCTTGGGGAAACTCGGTCGGTGACCTTGTTGCTGACGTCGCAGTTGCAAAGGCGGGGAGACCAGCAATGGCTATGGCCGGTTGCTTTGCCGGTCCAATGTTTAACATGCTTGTTGGACTTGGATCAGCATTGGTGATCCAAACAGCTAATGTGTACCCAAACGCTTATGAACTTGGATTCCACGTAGGTATTGTGATTGCTTTCGTCTTCTTGTTGCTTAGTCTTATGGGATCTCTGTTAGTTATAACCTGGTCTAGATTCCGAGTACCGAGATTCTGGGGGATCTGTCTTGTTGGACTATATGTTGTATTCACGTTTGTTAGCCTTATCATCGCCAGATTTTCAACCTGATCATATGCTAAATGCTAATACTCCTGCGCATTGAATAGTCTTGGGTCAACCAGAGTTCTAGTGTTGAGGAACATTTGTTGTTACTAAGAGAATTGGCAAAATTTTGAGTTGAACAAACGGTCACCGGCAATCTCACAACAAGCTCTTGTGAAGCGTCTTTTAGGCAGATTAGGATATACATTCGAAGAGTAAAGGATATGCAGATTTCGTTCTAGGGAGAAGATTTTGAATTCCCTGGAATTTCCATATCAAACTTATGATACTACACCCGATTTTGAGATATATGTATAAACCACACATTTGTATTCTTTTGATATTAGTGAGAAATACTTTTCTTTCATGATTATATAGTTTCTTCTCCATTCTGCAATGTGGTATTAAACTTGCCTATGATACTTTGAAATTTTCAGATTGCATATGCAGATACGCTATATGCAACTTCAAATCACAATCTGCAATAATTCCAGCCTAGTCGATTTATTGTGAACAACCCAACATTTTCGTCACTTCCATTTTTTTGTTTGGTGTTCTTTATTACAGTTTGTAACTCCTGAATCATAATTGACTGGTTGACAAAAAAAAGGTCATAGTTAACTGTGTAAGAAATTAAATAATGATTTTTTTTTTAATAAAAAGAAACCATCATCTGACAACAGTACAAGAATCTGGACATAAGCCCAGCGTTTGACACGACAGCAGATTTAAAAGGTTCCACTTTCTCCCTTTTGTCTTCTATTTCTTCATTGTTAAAGTCGAAAAAAGAGGAAAGCAAAAGCCCTAATAAAATCACTAGAGATTAAGATAAAACCAGATCTTAAAGCTCTACCCACCAAGAGGATCCATTAGTGTCTTCTTCGGCATCAACTTCAGATTCTCCCCTCGAAGCTTCCTCAGAGGTCACTCTCCTTTGCCTAATTTTCGGTCTACTTTGCCTAATTCACTCTTTATTCATGTTTCATGTCCTGTTCTTACATATATTGAAATTCTTTTAATTTGTAAGCTCAATTGTCATACTAATTGCTGTTTAGATCTTTTGGTGAATTTAGATTATTGATTAAACCTGTTTCCTCATCTCTGTTAATTGTTAGTCAGATGTTTGTTGAAAAAGCTTTGATTCAATCCTAACTTTATGTCTTTGTGTTGGCAGAGAATGGATCAACAAGAGCATGGACAGTCCGGAGCCATGAACTACGGCACAAACCCATACCAAACCAATGCCATGACCACCACCGTAGCCGGAAGCGTGGGCCCAGCGGCACCACCGGGACAGCTGGCGTTCCACCAGATCCATCAGCAGCAGCAGCAGCAACAGCTGGCGCAGCAGCTTCAAGTATTCTGGGAGAACCAATTCAAAGAGATCGAGAAAACAACCGATTTCAAGAACCACAGCCTTCCCCTCGCGAGGATCAAGAAGATCATGAAAGCCGACGAGGACGTCCGTATGATCTCCGCCGAGGCGCCAGTCGTGTTTGCAAGAGCATGCGAGATGTTCATATTGGAGCTGACGCTCAGGTCGTGGAACCACACGGAGGAGAACAAGAGGCGGACGCTGCAGAAGAACGATATAGCCGCGGCTGTGACGAGGACCGACATTTTCGATTTCCTGGTGGATATTGTTCCCCGGGAGGATCTCAGAGACGAGGTCTTGGGAAGCATTCCGAGAGGGAGTGTCCCTGAGGCTGCTGCTGCTGCTGGTTACCCGTATGGATACTTGGCTACGGGAGCAGCTCCGATTGGGAACCCGGGAATGGTTATGGGTAACCCGGGTGGTGCGTACCCGCCTAACCCGTACATGGGTCAGCCCATGTGGCAACAACAGGGTCCTGACCAACCTGACCCGGAAAATTAGCTGTGCCTAACATAAGAAACTGTGAGTTTTCCAGCTCTTTTAAGCCAAATGAAGACTTGTTGTTTTGGTTTACATTTGATTGAAGTAAAATATGATGGTCTTTTCGTTTTTTTTTGTTTCGTATAGCAGAGTTCTAGTCTCGTCCAAGTGGAGTTAAGAAAGGAGGAGACTTTAGAGAAGGAAATGAAAAGGACATATCAGAGTTTCAAATCGGTGTTGTAGAAGAATCCAAGTGTTAATGTGTATTTGATCCTTTCTTAAGGAATTTAGGGAGGAGCCAGAAAAATGTATAAACTGGAAGGAACCAAGTGTGCTTGGCAAGTTTTTTTTTGTTTTAATTTGAAAGTTTAATGTCTTTATCTTTATCGTCTCTCGTCACATCAAATATAAAATCGAAAAAGTATTTCATTTGTAGCATTTCGTCGAAAATGTTGGATGTTTGAGACAATTTTGAGTTGTGATCATCCGAGAATCATGTTCTTGCAGATTAATGGTAAACACATGACACAGAAAAAAGAAGAAGAATATAGAAATGCTCGAGTGTTTCCAGAAAGCAGCAGACGTTTTGGGAGAGAAGAACAAGAAACGTGAGTTTAGTCTGTCAAGTTTTAAACGCCCGTTTGTACTTTTGCGTCGTTTCTGAAACAGAGGGTTTAAATGTATAGCTTTACAGAAGATAAGGGGTTTATAAGAAAATACCGGACACGCGTTACTTTCATTAACGGAGATTATTAACAGCAAAATATATTTTTCCTCAAACCTTAACGCTGACATCTCTATGCTTATTGGACCACGTGGCGTTTCTTTTACGGTATTCCTTATAAGAAACAAATTAGCCTAAAATTAAAAGACTCGTCGGAAATTTTTGGTGGCAGAAACAGCCGGTGACTCCTTGACGGCGTCTTCGATGAGGTATGGTGATGGGTTATGTTAATCGTTTTACTCTTTTAGTCGCTCCTCATATCACAGCGTCGATTCAGAGTTTGTGTGCTTCTTCCTTCCGCTTACTGATACAAAATTAATCTCTTATATTCCTGCTTTGATGAATTCAAAATCCTCAATAACAGTGTCATCAACGATTCGGAGGAAATTTCCTTGCTTGATTAGAATTTCCAGAAAAAGGTTTAAGCTTTAGATGAATTAGGTGTCTAGGAGCTTCTGTGGGTTTGTTGGTTCGGAAAATATCAATCCGAGCAAATAAGAAGGGTTTGATTTCAAAAGCCTTGGTATTAGCCGTTTATGGTTTCAAGATGCAGCTATGTATTGAGCTTAAAGACGGCCCTTTTTTTTTATAAATATTTTCAGGTCTTCAAGTGATCAGAGCGAGAAGATAGGCAACAATGGTTTCCACGAAAACGGAGAGAGCCGGCCAGTTATTTCAGTGACTCCATTAAACAGTGTGCCTTACATCGGTCCAACAAACGGTTACACATCATCAATGTCAGCCAACAGATCAAATGGCAATGCAGAGAAAGTAGGGCCTGCTATAATACTTCTGCCTAACGAAACAAGTCAAGAGTTTAATGACCTACTCGCTCAAACCAAAACCGGAGTTGTCCTCACTGGAAGTGCAGCTCTGGGAAAAATTGGATACACCGTTGGTTTGATAGATGTCGCTCAGTCTGATGACTCCTACTATTTCCGTGTCTCGCTGCCTGGTGTTTCAAGAGATGAAAGTAAGTCTCCTAATCATTCATTTCCATGTCTATGTTATTGTTTTGGTGAAGATTACTTTAAAGACTTGTGTTTTTTTGGTTGTCTAACTATAAACAAACAGAGGACTTTACATGCGACATTGAACCGGATGGGAGGATTATGATAAAAGGAGTAACAACGACGGGAGAGAAGACAGTGTGCAGACACTCGCAGGTCTTCACGATGCTGACACAGAACATGTGCCCTCCAGGTCATTTCACCATCTCATTCCAGCTTCCAGGTCCGGTCAGCAACAAGGATTTCAATGGTAATTTTGGGTCAGACGGTGTTCTTGAGGGCGTAGTGAAGAAGCTGTTTGAGAACTGAATCTGAGCTCTATCTAACTCGAGGACACAGAAGAAGAAGTAGTGTCGTCTCTCCAACATCTCTGTTAGTTGATAGGATCGTTTTGTTTCATTCTTCCATACCGGTTTACTATTGCTTTTGTGAATGCCAGTTAGACACAAGGCTTATGAGTTAACTAAATAATAATATGGAGGCATAGAGTTTGGAGATTGAAAATTATACACATTATGAAAGAATACGGCAGAGAGTAATATAAAGTACATAATATTAAAAAAATAAGATATGTGTCGAAAACTCTAAAAGAAGAAGACAAAAGATAGAAGATAAATGCTGTCTGTGTATTATTACTCGGCCCCGGCCCTTTTTATCCGGATTGAATAATGTAGCTTTATCTTCAAGAAGCTTACTTGCCTTGTCCACACAACTGACTACCAGAGAAGCTGCAGCAATGGCGATGAATAACGATTTCGGAGCTTTCATTGAGAAATCTACAATCTCTCCAAGGCCTTCTTCCTCGTCTCCTCCTCTTCAGGGTCTTTCTTTAGCCATTAAAGACATGTAGGATGTCGCGATTTACAACTGTTCTGTTCATCTCTCTCTCAAGTCTGAACCATTTTAGTTTCCTGCTGATTTATTAACTAGAGCTTGTTTCAATTTGATCAGTTTTGATGTGGAAGGGCGTGTAACCGGTTTTGGTAACCCGGATTGGTTAAGGACACATTCGGCAGCTACTTCCACAGCTCCAGCTGTTTCATCTCTCTTAGAAGCTGGTGCCACCTCATTGGGTTTTACCATTATGGATGAAATGGCATACAGGTCTTGCTAAATTTTCAATTCCATGTTATTAAGTTCGAGGATCTCATCAAAACCTAGTGGCTTTGTATGTTTCTTGAGCATGAATGCTACTTTTAATTTGCAGCATAAACGGAGAAAATGTACACTACGGGACTCCGATAAACCCAATTGCTTCCGGTAGAGTCCCTGGTGGATCTTCAAGTGGCTCTGCCGTAGCTGTAGCCGCCGGTCTTGTGGATTTCTCTCTTGGTTAGTTAAGGTTATAATGTTTCACACTAACTGCTAAACTTGGCGCCAAAAACCGTTACATTCTCTGAAATGCTCTGTTTTTTTTATTTTTTGTTCCCTGATCAAATAGGAACTGATACCGGAGGGAGTGTGCGAGTTCCGTCATCTTACTGTGGAATATTCGGTTTCCGGCCATCCCACGGAGTTGTTTCTACTGCCGGAGTTACTCCACTGGCTCAGAGCTTCGACACAGTTGGTAATGAGCCTAATGAATACAAAAAACAGAAACATGTTACTGGTTGAAAACCCAATCTTGATACTGATGGTTCTCCCAAAATTGTCTTTAGGATGGTTTGCTCGGGACGCAGCCACTTTGAAACGTGTAGGCTCTGTTCTCCTGCAGCAGCCTCACTTAAACCTCATAGAACCAGCTCAGCTAGTTGTCGCGGAAGACTGCTTCAAGCTGTCTAGTGTACCACGTGATCTGTTGGTGGAGCCTCTGGTTCGATCCGTGGAGAAATCGTTTGGAGGTAAGAACTAAGAAGCATCATAAGAAACCCTGTAGCCTTTTGTCATTTTTTATGATTTTGTTCATGTCTCAAGGCAACACTGTAACAAAGAAGGTGAACCTTGGAGAGTACGTTGAAGAAAAGGTTCCGAGTCTGAAGCATTTCATGACAAGTGAACATGTCACGACACAGAAAGAGTTCTGCATTCCGTCTCTGATGGCTCTGTCGAATTCAATGAGATTGTTACAGAGGTAAGTATTAGCATCTTTCTCGTTTATATGGCGGCGAATAGGTTTCTAACCGAATGAAGGCATAACCAAAGTTTAGGTACGAATTCAATAAGAACCACGGTGAATGGGTTTCGTCGGTGAAGCCAAAGTTTGGTCCTGGAATATCAGAACGGGTTGAGGAAGCTATCCAGACGTCTGACGAACATACAGACCTTTGCCGGTCCGTGAAATCGGAACTTGTAACGTCTCTTTCAAGTTTGCTCGGGGTACAATCTAATTCCTATTAAAAACGAGACCGGTTTAATGTGAATCAGACTAAGGCGTACTCTCATCTAAGTATGTAAAAATGCTTTTGTAGGAGAATGGTGTGTTGGTGATTCCGACGGTGCCAGGTCCTCCACCGCATCTCCAAGCTGACGTGGTTGCACTAGAATCTTTCCGCCAAAGAGCCTTCAGCATGTTATCCATCGCCGGCTTTTCTGGTTTCTGTCAGGTAACAACAGCGTGCAGCTTGTATTTCTTTCTTGTGGAGCCGGTTAAGAACCGGTCTGATTTCCGGTTTTTTTTTTTTAATCCCTTGGCAGGTGAGCATACCATTGGGGCTACACGAAAATCTTCCGGTATCCGTATCCTTGGTAGCTAAGCATGGCTCAGACGGTTTTCTTCTGAGTCTTGTGGATTCCCTTTACAAATCCATTTGATTTCACATGATCTAATGCATGTTTGAGCATATCTTGTTTGGTTTCTGTTTGTTGGAATCTTCCATTGCAACGCATGCATTATCGTTAAGTGTCACCGTATCATTCGAAAGTTGTTTCATCTTAACCCCAACAATACATTACAATAATTTATGTAAATATATATACACTATCTAGATGTGGGCAATTGTAATTGTGTTTTCTGCAAACTAATCATTCTTTACTTAAACTAACAATATAAATATAGGTACGTGACGACCCGTACCTAATTAGCAACGTTACACAACGTACAGCGATTGATTTAGATTTATCAACCGATTAACAATAAATAATAAAAAAATGGGATTATAATGATTCGGTATACTTAACGACAATATACACGAACCCAACAAAAACTAGATATTAAAACACACTGACGACCAATGTTTTATTTTCTGCTTGATTACTATTTACTAATTAAAAAACAAGAATGTCGCTAAATTAAGGACGGATACAGGCTACAGCCACAAGCTTTGTCAGTTGTCACCAATTTTATTTAAACTAGTTTTAAATTATAACACACGCGCCTAACTTACGCATGGAAGTTAATTACATTCGTAGATGCACCTAACCAATTGACTTCTATGCCAACGTGCGTCCATGCATCTCAAGCTTTGTGCGGACGAATTCGCACATATACGTCTATAGTCCTATGGGATAATGAATATACATTTACATTATTGTATCCATGTATATAGATGCAGAAATCGGCTGAGAAGCTAATAAGAGAGCATAGAGAGACCGAGAGAGTTGGAGAAAAATGGGGGCAAAACATAATAGTTCGAGCACGAGATTTTTCATGTTTTACCTAATAGTAATCTCAGTGTCCTTTTCGGGTTTGGTCTTAACGTTTAAACCTCTGTTCTTACTCAATCCCATGATCAGCTCTTCTTCGATAGTTGAGATTCGTTATTCTTTACCGTCGCCGGTTAACCGGAATCCGAGATGGCTCCGACTCATCAGAAACTATCTTCCGGAGCAGAAAAAGATCCGAGTGGGTCTTGTCAACATCGCAGAGAACGAGCGAGAGAGCTACGAGGCAAGCGGGACGTCGATCATGGAGAATGTCCACGTATCGCTCGATCCTCTCCCGGAGAATCTGACGTGGAAGAGCTTATTCCCAGTGTGGATCGACGAGGATCACATGTGGCACACGCCTTTATGTCCAGAGGTCCCTCTCCCTCGAGTGGAGGGTACTGATGCTGACGTGGACGTGGTCGTAGTGAAAATGCCATGCGATGGTTTTTCCGAGAATAAAGGGCTGAGAGACGTTTTCCGGCTACAGGTGAACCTGGCGGCAGCGCATCTGGCGGTGGAGAGCGAGAGGAGGAGCGTTGATCGGACGGTTTACGTTATATTCATCGGTTCGTGTGGGCCCATGCATGAGATCTTTAGGTGTGACGAGCGCGTGAGGCGCGTTGGAGAATATTGGGTGTATCGGCCTGATCTGAGCAGGTTGAAGCAAAAGCTTCTCATGCCTTTTGGTTCTTGTCAGATTGCACCGCCGCTTGCTCAACCAGGTAAAACAATCATCTGATCTTAATCTTTTTTAAATTAGTTTTTTATTATTATTTGGGTGATTCTTCTTTCTCTGAATCCACATGAAATATTCTAATTGATCATTCTTTCACGTAAACACGTTTCCAGCTTGTTTCATGACATAATGCATGATGAAAATCGTAATCAAGCATAAAATATAATTTGTTGCGATTTTGCCACCACACATTATCTTTGCATATTAAATATTTAATAGGCTATATAATGCAGTATAATCTTACGATCTTAGATGGCTAAAGTGGTAAAAACTCCATTCTAAAATTTACCACAAATCCTACCAAATGACACAATTTTTCCTCTCCTTGCTTTTGAACTCTTATGTATACCATACATTTTCCTAACTAGTTTTCTCATTGATTGCTAAAGGTCAAGAAGGATTGAGGCCACACAAGAACAAAAGTCTCACATCAACAACCACATTATCACCATTCCGTGTCCAACGTGTAGCGTACGTGACGTTACTACATTCATCGGAGGTCTACGTATGCGGGGCAATAGCCTTAGCACAAAGCATAAGACAAACTGGCTCGACGAAGGACATGATACTCCTCCACGACGACTCCATAAAGAACAGTTCTCGAATTGGCCTAAGCCTTGCCGGCTGGAAACTACGGCGAGTAGAGAGAATCCGTAGCCCTTTCTCCAAGAAAGGTTCTTACAACGAGTGGAACTACAGCAAGTTACGCGTGTGGCAAGTAACGGACTACGACAAGCTAGTGTTCATAGACGCAGACTTCATCATCGCCAAGAATATTGATTATCTTTTCTTCTATCCTCAACTTTCCGCCGCTGGCAACAACAAAGTCTTGTTCAACTCCGGAGTCATGGTACGTAATGCTAATGCAATTTGCTAGGTCATACTTTTTGTGGACTATTTGTTTCTGTAAAATTTCATTTTAAACCCTGATCAAACGATTTGTTCTCTGTAGGTGCTGGAGCCATCAGCTTGTCTGTTCGAGGATCTGATGCTCAAATCGTTCAAGATAGAGTCATACAATGGAGGAGACCAAGGATTTCTGAACGAGTACTTTGTGTGGTGGCATAGATTATCGAAACGTGTGAACACGATGAAGTATTTCGGTGCCGAAAGCGAACATGACAAAACACGTCAACTTCCAGACAATTTAGAGGGGATACACTACTTGGGGCTAAAACCATGGCGATGTTACAGAGACTACGATTGTAACTGGGACTTGAAAACACGGCGTGAGTATGCAAGCGAGTCGGTGCACAAGAGATGGTGGAAAGTGTACGACAAGATGCCAAAGAAGTTGAGAGGTTATTGCGGTTTGAATCGTAGGATGGAGAAGGACATTGAGAAGTGGAGGAAAATCGCTAAGCTCAAGGGTTTTCCTGAAAAGCATTGGAGAATTGAAATAAGAGATCCAAGGAAGAAGAACCTTCTTAATTAGTCACTATATATAGAGAGCGTTTTTGAAATGATTTAGTTTGAGAGCCATGAGGCATTGAGGCTATGAAAAGAGTAAATAGAAACTCGCTTTTTCAACAACAAAGGAATTTGGATGCCATTGGTGATAAAAAAAACTTTTTTTGAAAGGCAGAAAATAGTAATACAAAATTATATATGGACTATGGTACATTTGTAGCTCTAATTATCCATGGTTGATATATTGTATATACACAAAATACCAAGCGTAGAAAGTAGAGGTTTTTAATGTTTGAACGAAATAAACATGGTGGCCAAAGTTCAAGAGGAAAAAAAATCGTCCTTAAATGGCAAACATACTTAAATTTTTATCAACCAAAAAAATCTTAATTAGAAACTGTAAAGATTAGTATGATTTTGGCTCAAAATCGAGGTAGAAACAAAAAAAACAAAATGTCATTTTTTAGTTTCAAAAGTATAATTTGGATGCTTTTTTCCCTCTCACTCGTTTATACTTTTTTTTGTCGACCGATGAAACAACAGTGACAGTGAAACCCGTCTTCCCCAATCGTTGAAATGCAAGATTTTTTCGGCTCGGTTCGCCGATCGCTTGTTTTCCGTGGTACCGCCGACGAAGATTACCAGGAGAACCAGCCACCATTTCCCGGTGTTCTCGCCGATAAGATCAATTCCTGCATCCGCAAATCGAGGGCTCTTATCAGACCCTCCTCCTCGCCTCCTCCTACTACCACCGTAGAAATGGCACCTCCGATTTCGTGGAGGAAAGGTCAATTAATTGGTCGCGGCGCGTTCGGTACGGTGTACATGGGTATGAATCTCGACTCCGGGGAGCTTCTCGCCGTGAAACAGGTACACTAGGGTTTGATTTTCTGATTCCGGAGTTTTGGGTTTGAAGCTAATTGGGGCTTAATCTGAAAACGTAATCCTCTCGGCGCTAATTTTGTTTTTCCTTTGGTTGGGAAACTTGAATCTCGGATCCGCGATTAAACTACATCGGGATTGAGAGAAATCTTCGCACCAATTGCATCTGCTCTTAATCTGTACTGAAATTCAAAAGCTTTGTGCGCTTTATCTGATTGTTCGTTGGTTTCATTTGTTTCTGCTCAGGTTCTGATTGCAGCCAATTGTGCTTCCAAGGAAAAAACTCAGGTTCGTTTGAGGTTTTCTTTTCAACTTCGAATATATTTCTGCACAATTGAGTTATTAATGACTTTATTTTCTATCTTGGTGCTACGAAGTCTCATATTCAGGAGCTTGAGGAAGAAGTCAAGCTTCTAAAAAATCTCTCCCATCCAAATATAGTTGTAAGTAACTGTGTTTTACTGTCGTCTTCTCAATGCATTTGGATACATCACTTCCTAGTGTTATCTAACTTAGGTGTTCTCTTCTTGACCTTAGAGATATTTGGGCACAGTGAGGGAAGATGACACCTTGAATATCCTTCTCGAGTTTGTTCCCGGTGGATCTATATCATCGCTCTTGGAGAAATTCGGACCTTTCCCTGAATCTGTAAGTCATGCTTCAATTTTTAGGTTTTCGAATTTTTAGAATGTTTGTCGTGCTTTAAGTGTTGAGAGGGATTTGAATTAGGTTGTGCGGAGATACACGAGGCAGCTGCTTTTTGGGTTGGAGTACCTTCACAGTCATGCAATTATGCACAGAGACATTAAGGTAGTAATCTTTCTTCATGCTTTGAAAGTGCTGACAAACTCGAGTCCTTTCACATGATGTGTTACTCTGTTCTCAGGGGGCTAATATCCTTGTGGATAACAAAGGATGCATTAAACTTGCTGATTTTGGTGCATCGAAACAAGTAGCTGAATTGGTAAGTCAATTCTTTTTTTCTTCAACTTATATTGTGTGAAGCATTCTGTTCTCTGTACTTTTATTTCTTAAGTCGCCCTCATATAATATATTCTTCATAGTGAGTCAATGCGATTGACATGTTTAATCTCTAGGCTACGATTTCTGGTGCAAAATCTATGAAAGGGACACCCTATTGGATGGCTCCGGAAGTTATTCTTCAAACTGGACATAGCTTGTAAGCACTCGAGCATTCTCGTAAATGCGGAATCACATGTTTTGTGGCTATTATTTGTATTTCTGGTGACGCAAGTTCCGTGTTTTTGATTTATCACACACCTCTGGATATTATTTTTAGCTCTGCTGATATATGGAGCGTCGGCTGTACAGTAATTGAAATGGTGACTGGGAAGGCTCCTTGGAGTCAGCAGTATAAAGAGGTATTTTGTTATCTTCTTACTGGTTACAGTTGTTGTAAAGAATTTTACTTGATTACAGGTGGACATACTCTCTTTTCAGGTTGCTGCTATCTTCTTCATTGGAACAACAAAATCACATCCTCCAATACCTGATATTCTCTCCTCTGATGCAAAAGACTTTCTGCTCAAGTGTCTGCAGGAGTAAACTACTTGTTTCGAAAACATTAAATTAGAATTCAAAAGTAAATTCCATCACTACTATTGTGTCTTGTCTTTTGCTGAATCATTGATTCGTCTTGGCAGGGAGCCAAATCTGCGGCCAACCGCATCTGAGCTACTCAAGGTGAACCATAAACAGTTCAAGTGAAATATCAAATTTGAACTTTTTTGAGTAAAAGTGTTATTGATTTTGTTCTATCTGCAGCATCCTTTTGTCACGGAAAAACACAAGGAATCTGCTTCTACTGATCTTGATTCTGTCATGGTGGGGGCATGTTGACCATCTTATGAATATCATATAAGTTGTTTTTGAAGCAATCTTGATCATTTTTGTTATTTTCCAGAAAAATGCTAGTACACCTCAACCGTCACAGTTACTTAACACTAAGAGCTCGTAAGTTCCGAAAATGTGGCTGAAACCAAAAGTATGAAAACGCATTTTTGGGGAAAATGAAAGATACTGACTGTTTATTGTCTGCTTCCTTTGTTTCAGTCCAGATTCTACACGCAACGATGTAGAAGACATGTGTAACTTGGGCAGTCTGAATTATTCACTTGCTCATCCTGTAAAATCAATCCAAAACAACAATTTTTGGCAACAAAATGATAATGGAGGTGATGAAGACGATATGTGTTTGATTGGTGATGAGAATTTCTTGACATTTGACGGAGAAACAAGGCTTACCCCTGATATTAATAGTGATCTGAAGAAGGTTAGCACACGCTTGTTAATATTTAGTTTCAATTTGTTCTGTAAGCATCATTTCTAAAATCTATGTTGACAGAGTTGTGATGCCAAAAGTGATACGTCCAATGCTTTGAAGTCCAAATTTGACGAGAGTCCTGGTAATGGAGAGAAAGAGACTATAATGAGCATGGAAGTTGACCAACCTTCATACTCAGAGGATGATGAGGAGCTGACCGAGTCAAAAATCAAATCTTTCTTAGACGAGAAGGTGTTTCATGCACATTATACTACACTTATAATTTCACTCACTGCATTTTACGTAAATCACTTTTTCATCAATCACTAACATGACAGTGAATATATTAATCTTAGGCTGCAGACCTAAAGAAGTTACAGACGCCTCTATATGAAGAATACTACAACAATATGATCACATGCTCTCCCGGTGGTATGGAGAGTAGTTTACGTAACAGTAAAAGAGAGGACACAGCTCGTGGATTCCTGAAACTGCCTCCAAAAAGCAGGTCACCGAGTCGTGGTCCTCCTGGCGGTTCACCCTCTAGAGCCACAGACACAGCTAATTGTTCCAAGAGCCCAGGAAGTGGTAGTAGTCGTGAATTGAATGTTAGCAATGGAGGTGATGAAGCTTCGCAGGATGGTGTATCAGCCCGGGTCACTGACTGGAGGGGTCTTATTGTTGATACTGAACAGGAACCAAGCAGCCAGAGGTTAGTCGCGTAAGAGAAATTTCGGTTTGGGATAATATGTTGTAAGCTTTTAGAATTTTCAGTTTTTCACTTCGCCTAGGGTTCTTGACTCATTTCCTGCATCTGCTGGTTGTGGCTTTGCAGTGTTGCTTTGTCAGAGATAGAGAAGAAGTGGAAGGAAGAGCTTGATCAAGAACTGGAAAGAAAGCGACAAGGTAAGTCCATTTTCTGAATTTCAAGATCGCACACCGCACGCTTTGTTGTGTACCTTTTAGAATGGTGGCTTTACATTTACCATGTTAACATGCAATGATGTAATATTGAGCAACATGTCATTGACTTGTAGTATATGGTCTTGCAGAGATCATGCGGCAAGCAGGGTCGGGATCATCCCCAAGAGACAGAAGCTTGAGCCGACAGAGAGAGAAGTCAAGGTTTGCATCTCCAGGAAAATGACATGTACAAAAATCTCCTTTTGTCTCTCAAGCTGTGTCTACGAGCAAGATAGGCCAGAAACAGGTAGAGATGTCTTACTCCTCGGCTTTTGACCTTTTGATTGCTCGACTAGTAGTATTAGTATATATGTGTAACTCTTATTTTTGAAGGGCATAATGTGTGTAATTGGAGAGTGAAGTGCACTTATAAATGGCAAAAAACTGTGCCAATTTTATTTATTAAAAGGTTTGAGTTTGCACGTAGTTTTGTTACAAACATGAAACGTAACTTGTCTCAACCAAAAACAGTAAACCCTTCAGGGTAGTTCCAGCCCCGAAGCATAACACGAGGAGACTTCTTTATGCCTGTAGGAGCTGCAAATGAGATCTTAAAAGACATTGATTCACCTGGAACTAGTGAGAAATAGTTGTCTGAGTAGTGTACAGGCAGAATCCTCGTGTCTTGTTTCTCTGTCTCTGCATTGTGGACTGAGAAACGAAGGAAGAAAGCTACTCCTGTATCAGATCCCGCCATTTCCACCACTTTCAAACCGCGGTTGCTATCTGCAGACACAACACATCTACTAAAGAGCCTCTGGAGCAAACCCGGATCCCCTTTTTCTTCATCTCGAAAAACCTTCTCAGCTAAGTCAGTTCTAGATGTGTTGTGGACATTGATATCCAGCTCGTACTTTGGACCGATCAGAACTGAATTGCAAGTGATCTTAAGAGGTACTTGCTTCTTTCTGTAGGGCTCCAAGAGCGTGTAATCTTTCCCAGGCAGATGTAGCCAGTAGAAGTTCCGCGATATAACTGATTTGTCTGAGACGTGGTACAGTTTGAGAAGAAGGAAATACACAGGCTTTGGGTTCTCTGACTTTGGGTACTTGAATTCAGATATTTGCACAACTCTCTTTGCCGGCGCGGAGATTCTTTTGAACACTTTGTAGTATGGGCTGTTGCCGTCTAGGTCCCATACCGATGCCTCTATCGCCACTTCTGATAGCTCCTTAGAAGTAGTGTTTACAACCTGTGGCGCACATCATTTCATGCATTCACTTCTTCGTTAGATCAAGACTCTTATACTATTGTCAGAGTTCTAGGGAATCAGACTTGCCTCAATATAGTAACTTGCTAGGTTCAATTGGACGTGGACTGGCTCTGCAGCGGAACGGCAGCCATAGAAACTGGCAGTTTGGTCGAGAAGATGGTCGTAGAACTGACCTCTAAGACCAGTCCATGGATTTTGGTTCTTCCAGATCAAGACACCTGTGTATTTTGTCCACATTCTCGAACTCCACCCCTCGAATAGAGCTCTGTACTGAATGTAGTTCACCAGTTGAGCCTGTTACAGAGATAAAAACATATAAGTCAAAGTATGTCACTTACCAGCAAAACATTATTTGTTCAACCAAACTTAGAGATTAGAAAGATCAAGATCCCAAATGTACCTTCAAGCAGAAGTCATCGAGAGTCTCAGGAGTACCATACATGAGAATCTGGTCATGAACTTTTCCAGGCTTAGAATATGGAATGTACTTGTGGTAGTCCCACATCCGATTCGGGACTTCTTCGACAAACCCGTCCAAACCCTTCTTAAATAGAGGAATCTCCCAGCCTTCTCGAGGCATTGTGGCTCTGATCGTCTCTGCAACAGGCATTCCAACTGAACCGACCTCTGGATTAAACCCAAACTTATAATACGTGTCTTTAAAGAAATCTTCAGGGTTTTGAATCTCATAAGGGCCGTCACTGAAGTTTCCTTTCCCATCTGCAAACCCATCCCACATAGATCCTTGAACGTAAACTCTAGCACCATCAAGATAAACACTAGGATCTGGATCCTTGTCTGACAACAATTCGGTTTCGAAATAAGGGTGAAGCCTCAAATCTTGCTTTAGAGCGTCGTTGATGTCTTTTGGAGGAACTTGTTCGTTCCCACCAACCCAAAGAGCTAGGCTTGGATGGTTTCTCAGAAGTTTGACAGTATCACGAGCACATAAAAGGAACAAGTCATGGTCTAGTGGTCCGTTTGGATTTGATACTGGAACACCTCTTCCATCAACATCTCCAGTGATCCAAAACTCTTGCCATACCTTGAGAAATAAATTAAGATAAACTTCAGAAAATGACATTAAATTTTAAAGACAGATGATAACACACAACCATACTTAATGATTCATTACCAACAAACCATAGATATCACAAAAGTGATAGAAATCAGGCCTTTCAGCCAAAGCACCACCCCAGCAACGGATCATGTTCATGTTCATATCTGCATGGAACTTTATGTCGGTTCTGTAACGTTCTTTCGAGAGGCGTAACAGCCCATCTGATAGTATCCAGTTGCCACCGCGGATGAAGATTTTCTCTCCGTTGATCTTGAACAGCCTGCAAAAATTTCAAAAAACAAAGATGCAGAGCCTCCACAGAATCATTGAACTTGAATAACTTTCAATATAAAAGCTTTACCTTCCACCAGTGACACTATCAATATCACTCTCAATCTTCCTGAATCCAAATGGCTGCATCCACGAATCAGATTCCCCGAACTCTTTCACAACGACAGTGATCAAGACGTTATAAAGGTGTTGCTTTCCCATCCCGTTGGGCCACCACAGTTCAGGTTTATAGAAAAAGAGCTGTAATTCACTATAATCATTAGCTTATAAAATAATCATCATAGATTCTAGTGATCTAATAGAGTGTTTACTAGTAATATACGCCATAAAAGTACCACTCACCGGGTTAAAAGTGTGCTGAATCTGTCCCTGAGCAGGGATCAAAACATTCTCTGTCTGAAGATGCTCCACTAGGCAGAAACCGTTTTCGAGTTCGGATGTTATTTGAATATTTAGAGAACAATCAGCACTCCATTTGCTTTTGTTTTCCAGCTCGGCAGTCACGTGCAAGTAAGCCCTTTTGTAACCGTCAAAGAAGGTTGAGACCAAATGGGGATCAATGATCCTTACAGGCTGCAATCAAATGGGAATCAATTATTCAGGCTTGATATTACTGATATTAAGACAATGTAAAGCAACGAGAACTAACCCCGGTAACAGATATTGACACTTCATCCCATATGCCAGTATTCCGATCCCTACAAGAACAAAGGTTATCAGAGAGAATATCTGATAAGCTCAAACTTCAAAGAAAAGCCAAGTAAGAAACATTACCTTATTGGACAAATCCAGTCCCAACCTTGCACATACTGCGCAGCTACATCTTTCCCAATCTATCATGGACATTCAGCAAGATTGTGTATGTTAATTGTTTGCTAGAATCGGATGATGCAAAGAAAGAACAATGCCATGAGCTTCTCATAGAGAGAGAGAGAGAGGTGTACCTCGTGATCACCACCTTGCCCTCCCTCGGGAGGGATAGTGCCAGGATGATCAGGGGGATGAACAATAACAGCAAGCAAATTGTTCTCAGGATGCAGAATATCAGTAACGTCGAGCGTATGTCTGCGAAACATCCCTTTGGGAAGCACTGTCTTGTGTCCATTCACATACACTTCCGCAGAGTAGTTGATGGCACGAAAATTCAGATGCACGTATTGATTCAACAACTGCCAAAAAACGTCAAACAAGAATGTAAAAGGTAGACAGAAGATAGTGAAACAGCAATTTGTTAATCATGATTAACAGAGTTCAGAGAAGTGGCTCACCCTTTTGCACTGAAATTCTGTGAAGAACCAAAAAGTGTAGTAGGCCCTACCGGAGTCGGCAATATCCGTGATAGTTTCATTTTCTAGTCCATAGAAAGGATCTGGAATAGACTTGTTTTTCACTAACGTCCCCAAGACACTGTCCAGCGAGGAACACCAAGAACTCATATCAGCGATTTTTTTTTATTCTTGCATGAGACAAGAAGAGTCAATTCAGTCTAAACTGCTAAATTCAATGTTTTGAAAGCAAAATCAAAACGTGTTTCAGACCTGACAGACATTCGAGCACAAATTAATCAGCAGAACCATTACTGCATGTTTTAGTTTCTTAGAATTTGAGAAAGAGGAAAGTGAACATTACGTTCCGGGTACGACGGCTTCCATCCACCGAGATTTGGAACCGAGGGACGGTGGATTGGTGGTAGTGAGTTGGACGCCGTCGTCATCGACTTCCGTGGATCTCGCCGCTAGCCAGCCGGAATCTAAAAGTGTCTTCCCGATCTCCGCCATTTTCTAGCTTCTGAAGTTGAAATTGCTATTTCAACACTTCGAAAGCTGAAAACTAGTTGAAGTGGAGAGACTGGAGAACACACTCGCTTCGAAGTCAACTCTGTCTTTGGTAAAAGGAAAAAGTATTTTGGTGGATAAGGCCAAGTAGGATTTAATAGAACATTTACTTATTACGCCATCGCACATTCCAAAGTCGTCATTAACATCTTTTAAAACAATAGATCGTATTCACAGTAATAATGCCGTGGCAGAAGATTAGCAGTTTCGCTTGAAATAAAAGGACAAAGAGCTCCATGAATGTCTTAATGGAGATTATTGCCGTGGCACAAGATTATGACTCGATCAAACGCATAAGAAAATAACCACACTTTCTAGTGCCATTTAGTCTCTGTTAACCAGTTATATCTATATGGTGTCCTATGGCCTTTTCATGCTGTTACGAGCGCATAAAGTTGATATTTTTTAAGCTTTAAAGCGAAAACTCAAAACATAAAGAGGCAAATAAAAAGAAGAGGCAAGCTACGAGTAAGATTCCGGTAGCCAATATCTTCACAAGAATGGAAACCCGTTCAACTAAAAACAACAAAAATAAGAAGAAATAACAATGAAGAGGTTCGTAGCAAATTTACAAATTCCTTGCAAAGACCAAAAAACACAATAAGAACGGGGAAAAAAGGAAAATAAGAAGAGAAGCAAATTGTTGGGTAGTTTTGATTTGAGGAAATGAGAAGAGAGCTTTTTGAGGAGGCTGTGTTTGTTGTTGGGAGTCAAAGACCGAGCAGGAATTGGAAAACATCGCTCAGTGAAATGATACCTTCAACACGTTTGCTCCCTGCTTCCACTATCACCAGCCTCCTTACACCTATTTGTTTTCACACAGCCAAAACCAAAACATCTCATCCGATCACGTTCGTCTGTGTGTGTATTTAAAAGGAAACAAAACTCAAGATTGTATGGGAGATGGTACCTGGATTCGCCAACCGCTCCATCACTTTTAGAAGAGAGTCCGAGCGCAAGCACATGTGACATCTCTGCCCGTTGAACATTCCATAAGGCGGACTCGCATCTTGCCCCAACTGCAGCGCCTGCAACCACATACATACACACCATTCTCCACATTATTATAACATTTTATCACCGGGAAACATTAGAAAAGGAGACAGCTTCTGATGATAGTAGCTTATGGATATAAGCTCGTAAAAAGAAAACTTTGTTGAGACGCGGGATGGTTCTTGGCTTTTGATGAGAAGTTTACCTGGTGCACCGTCATGTCATCAAGATGAATCTGTGCATATGCCTTATCTTTAGCCAGAGCAGTTATGTCACTGGCCAATAAAAGTTATCTGATCAGATTCAAAAACGGATTGCAGAAGACATATCATGTCGATTGTATGGACAGAGGTTTACCTTCGGGAGTATATGTCAATAAGCGAGTCATTGTCATCCACTACGGGAATTGAACTAACTTCAGCTATAAAAACAAAAACAAAAAAACAAAAAAATATTAGGGACATAGATGAAGCAAGGCCAATTCATTCATTTCCATCTCTTATGAATCAGGGAAAGGTACTCGAATGCAATGCATTATGTGATACACTGAAATCTATTCGCTTTGGATTCAAACTTGGTTTCCACTTCTCCAAACCTCGTTAGTTTACTGTAAATCTGAACCTGAACTGTTGCAACGACTACATCTGTACTACAATTATAAAAGTGGCTTAGCATCTAATCCATTATTTGGTGGGTATTGAAAGATTTGAACTTGATCTGATGCTTTGTATTACAACTTTTATAAGACAAGTCGAAAAGGCCATGTGTTCAGCTACTTGCTGATATAATCCATCTATGATGAAAAATTAATATATTTGATGAAACAGGAGCAAAAAGGAATTACCTTGAACTAATAACGAGAGAGCAGAACCCAAAGAGGCGTGTGGTCTCAATGTAGCGAGAGGTTTGCTACTTGATTCTCCAATTCTAGGGACCCAAGTACCCAATGGAATTGAACAAATGGGCTGCTGAAGGATTGGCAAAGAGCTAGACGAATGTCTAAAGTATCTGCATATACCTGGAAGATTATGCTTAATTTAGAGCTTAAGTGTCTGATAAGAAGCATAAAGTTTCGGAAAAAATTATATACAACAGAAAGAACTGTGACTAAAGTGTGGGACATGCTACTCCAACTATAAAATCTCTAGTTTCCCTCCCTTGTATAGATCCCATCCCTTCACAGAATATTTGGAGAAACAAAGAAAACGGAAAATTTTGGAAATGGCAGAATCACATGCACATCATGAATTGAAAAGTGTGTATGGCCAAGTTGGTGTACTTATCAGTGTCTTAAGGTCTTATATACAAATGAAGGACCTTACATTTTAATATGCCTGATAGCGAAGCAAGATGCAGTAACTGCGGGTATGAACCATCTTGCAACGAAGAATATATAACTGGAACGGCTGCCACCTTGTTTTGCAAAATTTTCAGGGCAACATCTTTCAGATTATCATATGGCCCGACCTGATAGCAACACATGAAAACATTATTTGCAGGAGAGAAAATCTTCTAGGTCTTTTTACTGTATCATTCAACAGAAGCTTCTAGGAAAAGGCTATGTTCAGAGAATGCAAACAGAAGCGGACAAAAATCGTTTTATTTTTATGAAGTAAACATGTAGACAAGTAGACAAACTTCATTTACATTCCTAGATAATTATGCCTCCCAATCCAAAATGCGGATCAGTCATGCTTATTCATTTCACTTTGAATCTATATTTTGGATCAGCTAAACAAATAACCTGAGTACAAAGTTTGTAGATAGAGATAACACGAATTTTTTTTTTCAAAAGTAAGAGAAAAGAGATTGTCTTTCAGGAAGTTACACGAAAAGATCAGTGGTGATAGCGGTAGAAAGCAACTGAGAAAATCTCACCTGAACAAGTGGCCTAGGATATGGTCTCCCACTTCCATCATATTGTCTGCTAATATGAGCCTTCCCTTCTTTCCAGGCTGCTATTGTGTGCGTCTCAAGCTCTTCCTCTGTCAAGTTTGATCCATGAGTTCCAAGCTGCAATTTTACAGAGTTTATATTACCACGCAAGTGAAAAACTTCATACTGAGATAGCAAGAAAACATCTACCGAAAACATCATGTAGGCAGGTAGTGTACTTGAAAACTAGGTAAATCTATTATAATCCATCAAATCAAATCCCAAGTTTAGACTATACAGCAGATGAATCTTTGTGAACCCATACTAGTATCGTTGTTCCACAGGTTGGCAGCCAATATCAGGATTTATAATATATATATAAAATGATACATCAGTAACCAGAAGAAATGCTCTAACAATGAAAAAAATTTTAGAGAAGCCAACCTCTCTTAGTATTAGAATGAAGTCCAGTGGACCAAGAACTCCAACAAATTGGCCTTTACCGAAGTCCCAGAGAGGAGCCAAAGGGATTCCCTGAAAGCGTCCTGAATTAGCAAGATCGAGAAAACCAGACAATCTAGAATTGAATTTAGCGAATGTAGTTCTTTTAAGTTTCACTTCCTTCCCTTCACGGGTCTGGATGCCATTAAATGTCATACATAACTGTGAAGGACAGAGAGAGGAACATCCCAACAAGAACAGAAACTGAGACACTTGAAAATAGAGAAAAACCTGTTCATAGAGTATATGGAATGCTTGCTTCACTGGTAAGTTAACATCCAATGCAATAACCTGTACACGTTTGCATCACCTTAGACAATCGCCGACTAAGAAGCCAGAAGCTATTCTTATCGATTATCTATAGAACATCAAGACAAAAGTTATAAACAATAAGTAAAGAAGAACCAGACCTTGCCCGACTCTGGGAGCAGCTCATATGCGGTACGGCTTGACAATAAAACAGAAATACGATGACGAGACACCTCCAAATCAACCCCTGACATCCTAGGGATAGTTTCCTGGGATGAATCAGTCTACAATATAATCACCATGTAAAAGCAGTCAGAAACTCAATTTAATGGAATATTCCCAGACACTTTATGAAACTAAAGAATTTCTGCTTTATGCATCAAATAAATTGGTGTAAAATCAATAACAGCACAAATTATTATTTTTCCCTTATGTAAGAGACTTAACATCGTTCCTTTTTCAGAGAAATCGTTATCTCATTTATGACTTCAGATTCGCAATAAAGAAAAAAAAGAGCTGGATTTATATAGGTCTTGCATTCCATACACAAAGCAACTAAGATACTAATGAGTAAAACAGGCATATCAAAACACTGCATTTTTATAAAAGGAAGGGTCAGAATTTCTAACCATTCGCACAATGACATCATCCACATCCATATTCGATCTGTCATGTGCTGCTGGGCTAAAACCACTGTGAAGCATATCTGGTCCAGTTATAAATATTGTATTCATTACTCCACCATTTCCGCTTACAAATGGTTGGTGTTCATCATGCCGCCATTCCCCATCAACAAAAAACTTGTACTGCATGAAGATAAAAACAACTGAATGTAACATCAACGGTTTCTTAAGCACCTCATGTCATAACTGTTCGATGAAGGCACTATCTGTTGAAAATGTAATCAATTATGACAGAGGTATATACGATCCTCATGGATATTGAATTGGTTAAGCATCCAGAGACTAAATGCATCAGTATAATGGACATTGCAGAGTCACTATTAGGACAAAAATGCTCCGAAAGGGATTAATTCACAAAGAATTTGTAATGAAACAGGTCTACTGCAAAATTATTAACCTGATGATACCCCGGCGTCAAGTTGCAAATGACTTGAAAAACAGTCGGGCACCCCTCAAGTGGTGACATTGGCACATGTTCTGTCCACCTGTTCACATGCCCATTTCAGAAATCAGTCTACCGACTACAGAATCCCAGTATATACTATGCAGAGCACATACATAATCTATCCGATACACCACAAGCAACCTTAAATTTCTTTCCAGAAATCAGAAAACGAGAAGGACTGTATTATAACTACTTTTAGCTCAGCCATCTCACCTGGTGAAAGATCCGCTTAGGAAGACCCTTCTACCTCCGTAAGGCCACACGAAGCGTGTTGGAGTAAGAAGCTGCCCTGAGGCAGCACTGTTTTCACGGCTGCTACCCAATGTAGAACCAAACATCCCCTCCCAGTGTTTGTCTAGTTACAGGCTACAGCAATCCACAGGAACTAATTCCCACAAACTTCCGAATCGATTCTCAGTGCGTAAATATCTCGACTCTTCAGCAGAAAACAGCTCTTTGAAGAACGAAATCGGGGAAAACTTCCGACTTTAAGGCTTACACATGCAGAGATTCCGAATTGGATAAAGCTATCATAAATCCCAGCCACCAGTAACCGAAACCCTAAAAGCCCAAATCACGATCTACAACGAGAAATGAAATTACTGAACTCCCGGACCTAGGAAGAAATCCGTCAGCACCAAAACATGTAAAGAGCCCTAACTCGACCACGAACGATCAGGCTATAAAAGCAAAGGTCAACTGATGATAACACACCACTGGAGACCTAGCTGGAGGATTCGAGGAAAGTTCCCAGCAATTCGCGGCTCTGATCTTAATTCGGCAGCCGGAAGAGGAATACAGACCTCGATGATCGCAAAAAGTCGGGAGGAAATCAAATGAGACTGATGCAAGGCCAAGAATTAGGGATTTGAAAAGTTGGAGAGAACCCTAATTTCAGAGAGTGGAGATGGCATTGTTTGGATCTGGAAATAATGCTATTGGTCTTTGAAGGTGAAGAATCTGAGGGCGAAGAAGCGCAGCGAAATGTAATGTGGTTTTTTAATCCATGGAGATATGATTTTTTCCCTTTTTTTATTTACTATATAAAAAAAAAAACTCTAATTTCCCCAAATAAAAAAACAATATTTATATCATTTTAAAATCATTTTATATACTTACCTTTGTTAAAAAAACGCTAGGCGCTAATCAAAATTAGTCAGAGAGTAAATGCGATTAATCACGATAATCACAAAGTTCACCATTTGCCTCGTAGTGTAGTGGTTGAGAAACGTTTTAGTGTCAAAGGATTCAGGTTCGAACCCTGTTTTATGAGTGAGTTTGTGTATTTTTTTATTCACATTTTTTTATTAAAACAATGTGACACATAATAAAAGTTGAACAAGATTAGCATCGCCAAAGCAAATGCTCATATGATTAGTATTAGCCTTGTGATCTTACCAAATGCACAACTTCAAGATTTCAGACTTGTGCTGCCTAATTTGTTGCATACCATTGTAGTATTGCTGGTGAATTTCACTGAAATGTATATGAGCTCATAAGTACAAAATAGTGGATTTTTTCAAACGTCAATTGTCTTCCATCATATATATATATATATATATATATATATATATCCACAACTATGATGATAAAATGCGATGATTCTAACCGAAGTCAATGGTACGTAACTTCATTTTCTAAGAACATGTATATTGTTTATTTGAATGTTCTTTTAATCCTTAGTTATGTGACTCTTATTTTTATTTGTATATGTTGTGTTAATCTTCAGGGAGCTAGAGCCAGAGTCTTCGTGTACCCAACCCAAGCAACATATGAGGTAATTGCCAAACATCAATACACGTTTTACTTCTCTTCTCTGAGGAGTTATCATTATCTTGTGTGTTTTTTTTTATATTTTCATCAGAAATGTCAACAGAATCTTGTGTTATATTTCAAGGGTTGGATATTGTATAGTTCAGAGCCATTGGACACATCTGTGATCTTGTTTTTACATATTCTGTGAGTCAACATGGATCCTGATTCGATTTCCTTGTGATGCTGCAGGAGGGTAAATTCAAGATCTGAGTTTCATTGTCACAACTATCAGAAGGAAACTCCATTTTAACGAAGTAAAATATGATCCTGATGATCAGTTCCAGTTTGGTAAACGACTGTTCAGTTACGCCGTTACTAAGGTATGAGCCTTCTTTCTGTGTATAGAGTCGACACTCTTGTAAACACCCTTTGGAAATTCGATTAGCTAAGATCTACTACTACTAGACACACACACAATCAAATAGACGGTTCTCAAATAACATAAACAAATTTAGGGCAAAGGAAAGGGGAGAAAGAAAATATGTCGGTCAGACCTAAAAATCAAACGTTCAATTATGTTATGTTAAAGAGGTTTTATCATTGAAAATCTAATCGATCCCAAGAGATTTTGATTCATACTGTATAATATAACTGTTCCTTATACAGAAAAATAACATACGTATGTTCAAAAAGTATAGTATACTAAACCTTCAAAAAAGGAAACTCTGAATGGTGATCAAGGATGGAAACTCTGAATAGTTTCCTTTTTTGAAGGTTTAGTACAGTATGTTTTTTGAACAAAAGCCTAACTCTACTGCATTTGTTTTTTACGTAATCCGATCCATCCACCAAGCTTTGAAACTTCTTTACAAGAATGAGTTCTTCCCTAATTGTGTAAAACCAATGGCTGTATGTAAAATTATCATAATATGTAAGGAGCTAGTGTATTTCTTTTTCTCTTTGGCCTTCTCAATGGATACATCAGATGTGGTGTGTACTTGTGGATACCTTAAAATATTTGCGCTCATGGTTCCCGAGGCATTGTTGCCTGCCTGTGCAGGAGCTCAATCCCGCGATTCCATGGTTTGAGCCAATGGAAACAAACATTCATCCTCGAATCATTCAGTGCTTAGATGTCAGTTATAATTAACATTGTTAAGGTTTTAGAACATAGCAAAACATGGCGTGTTACCACATTGGTATACTAATAGTTTAAGTGTACTATGGAATGTTACCATCTTCGTATAGTTATATTGATAAATAAAGATCTTGACAATTGTGATTTCAGCTTTTGTCTCTTTGAACTAATCTCTTGTATATGTTACTTGTTCAGTCTTAGTTGATTTTAGAGCAGAACATTAGATAGTTGACAAGTGGTCCCAAGAAAGCTCTACATAAACTATGGGCTGCATCTTTAATTAAGGTCTTAAATCTGACGAATTGTTTCTAACTTCCTTTTATTAGTATTTGATGATTTAAAATCATCCATTTCGCAGATAACCATAAAGCGAGCATGTCACAAGATCTAGAAATCTTGAGAATTCAAATCTTAAGGATTATAATTTCGGGTTTAGGGTTGTGGTCCTTATATTCTTGGGGTTATTTTTTGAATTCTGAACCTACGACTCCCTCTACTCAAACCCTAGACCCATTTTGATTCAGCTTTGCGACAAACAAACCGAAAAACCTATCGCCCTATTGGTTGTTCTTAGTTCGGTTGGCTACTTTATTACAAAGAAGACTTTAACTTATTAGAAATTTATTTGCTTGTTCTACAGTTGTCTAGAGACTAATCTACTTAACTATATGTGAACTAAGAAAATCTGGAAAGTGGCAATTTTATAAGCTTCTTTCCATTAATGTGAATTAGCTATGTTCTGACTTCTTCAGAATTTCACCAAGAATCTTATTCCTTGTTAAAGGAGTTGCATTTTAAATATTAACACTAGCCTCAGGCTCCAACAGGCATCTAGGGACTAAAATTCTCAACGATCAAGCCACTGATACAGATCCATCATATCTCCTACTTATGGTTATGATTTATGAATGAAGCCTTAATTACGATTAATCTAAGTGGTGAGATACAATTAAACCGAGTTTTCTCTAACTAACTTACTACTTGGCATTCCTAAGAAAATAAAAAAACAAGATCATCTTGCTCTGGCCTTGCTTTTGCTATCTTCCATATCCATGAGTTCCTCCGCTGGTCCAAACCAACTAATATCGTAAGAAACACCTTAATAATTTGCATTAAATAAGAAATTCATAGCTCTATGTGTAGAAAATTACAATTATAAAGCAGGTACAATCATTTACATTGTAATAAAGATTGAACATTAATATCATATAATGCTCTTCTTTCTCTCTACAAATTTTCTTGGCCTCACAGTAAATGATTTAAGATTTTATTGTTAACGAGCAGAGGAGCTGCTTCCCTTCTCCACGACTCGAATAAACTTTCTCGGGTGGTTCTGAAGATCACTTCTGTTGTTGGGTTCTCTCTCATTCCCACTATCATTGCTACTTTTGTTGCTTTCAGCTCTTTCTCGCTCGGCTTCACGGTACTTGTGTAGATGCCTCCCAACGGCGTCAGCATAGTTATCGAGGCCGAGAGTGCTTAGAGCCCACCAGATGTCGTCTCCATTCACCGTCTTTCGATTCTCCCTGTGGCACTTGTCCGAGGCTTCGCAGGTAACAAAGCTTATGAACTCTGTCGCACACTCTTGAACTGTTTGTTTTGCTTCTTTTGAGATCTTTGCATTTGATGGTAGGATTTGCTTCATAAGTCTCCCTACGTTAGCTATTGGTAGCAATCTATCTTCATCCGTCATTTTCCTCTTCTTGTTCTATTGAGTGACTTGAGTTTATCAACTCTAGTTTCTCTTATCACCTTTTTTATACAAGTTATCCTATATGACCCTCCCAATATATGTAGATGCGAAGGTGTATGTGTGTATGCGTAAAATGTAGATGTGCTATGATGTCCTTGCAGTTGACCCTACCCTTTCATTGATTTATTACATGCTATCTAAGATTTTGTCCCTCTATGGATGTGTGTATATGTATGTGAAGCCTTTTATAGGCATGATATAGTATGTTGTGAATGGAGTTCTTTATCACCATCGTCATTTTTATCACTAATTTCGCTTTCTCTAATACTAATTTCTAAATGATATAAATCAATCCATTCATTATTATTTAATTGAAAACTCGTGATCTCTAAAATAATATCAAAGTCCTGTCGACTCAATTTGGGACTTTACACATCATCATCACCATCACAAATATTGATATCCCGGATATATATGCCACGTAGTTGTACGAAAATGATATCAAATATTGAAATGTGGCATAATGTTGTAAGGCAGTTATGCGATTTTGCTTTAGCTTTTGAAGCCTTTCTCTTAGACTCAGATTTATGTAAATGCTACGAGCATATATTATAATCTAATCAACTAGCTTGTAGATATCCGTATGTTTATGACGGATTGAACGATGGCCAAGTCACGATCACTATATTCAAACGATATAAACGTACAAACGACGATTTATTACTACATCTTGTTTCATAATAGTATCTTGGAAATATTTTTATTTTTTTATTTGAAAAAACGTATGAGGTGCTCTAAATGGAAACTGAGATTAAAAGCCATAGTGAAAAATGAAGTGGAACTATAAGATCCCTACCCCCCCGTAAACAAAATGAAATCGACCTAATTTTGATTAGAGCCAAGCTACTTTTGTAAAAGAAATTATTCTTGATGAAGCAATGGATGGCTTATGGAATGTCAAAACCTTAATATTATAAAACATATTAAATTTGGAGCACGTATCCGCATAATATCCGGTACGGATCATATCCCACTCGCATGCGTTTGACCTTTAACTTATGGTATGTTAAAAACAATACAAATTCTTCATATAAGCATACTGCGCAAGAATTTCATCTAGTAATATTATAAACAACATGAGCTTATAAGGCCAAATAGTATAGGGAAAAGTCGTCGTTCGAGTATTACAGCAGTTTAAGCCAAAAGAGACATTATTAACGTCAAACGATATCATGGTTCTGTATATTGGATGTTTCATTATATTTATACATATTTACATAAAGAATAATCATTTTTGTATAATCAAAAATTACTTAATGGATGTGTAATTGTAGGTGAATTATGTATTTTATTTATGTAAAGATGGGAAGTTTCGAGCATATCCTTTTGTCACAACTAAAACCATGGTATAGAGATCGCAGAACGCTCACATTCACGTTACAACTTATACGTACTTTATAAAAGAGAACTTAGAATGCGTCTTTAAATTAAGTTAACAAAAGAAAAAGAAGCTAGAATACGTCATTTAAAACCGGAATATGCGTTTATGAATACGTTCTACATACTTCGAAACGGGGTTGACTTAAAATATTATAATTGCATTGTCTGATGTAACTTCATTTGAAACCGATCGGATTGGATTATAGCTTTTGAGATAATATATATATTGTGCTTTATATGGTTTAAACTTTAAACGGACTATGCCCAACCAATAGAAAATAAACTTGTCTACAAAGCTAGACTGTTCATCTCTTATAGTGAAAAGCATTTCACTTTTCACTTAATCTATCAATAAAAGGATTTTAATTGAAAAGTTGTTAACGGTCTCCTACGCTAATTGTATGCTTAGATATATAATAGAGAATTCGCTAATGCTGTCTTTTTTTAGCCCATGTGTAGTTTTATATTGTTCTCACTCTTCACTAATATGTGTATTAGTAATTTAAGTATGCTTATCTTTTCCAACCCAGCGAATGTGACACAACCCTCATTTCAACTTTAGGGATCAATGCTCTTTATAAGTCCACTAGAAAACTATTGACCCAAACAAACTCTTACCGTTACAAACACATGGAAACAAATGTTTCCCAAAACATTCTCACTTCTCCTCTACGACTACCTTATCGTCTTATTTTAGTTCTCGCCAAATCTGTGTTACCTTGTCCTTCTTCTCTGTGTATGCGGCCCTTGGTTATTTGAAAACTAGTTTTCACTTTTGGTAAACATGATATACTTCTAAGTGTATTTGTACACTTCTGTCATTAGTCATTTTAAGTTAATGACATTAACCTTTTAAGAAAAAAATATTGAGAAAAAAGAAAGAAAATCTTCCAAACTCCTCATCCATCTAGTTGTCTTCTCACTGTTGCCTCACTGTTGCAACAAAACAACAACGTTTTGTCGGTTAAAGACAGAAGTGCCCCTGATTTGATGACTCTCTGGGCTTTTCGTTTTCGATATAAGTTTGTTTTACTTTGGCCCAATGTTAATTAAGCCACAAAGTCCATCGACTATTTTACCTTGTCTCAGTGAACTTCGAATTTCCTTTGTTTTGGCTCTTGTCTGAATCTCATATATCTTTTCGCCGACCAAAGACCAAAACATGTAAACTAATCTCTTCGTTCATAATCAAGACAAGAAACGCAAGAGTTAGCAAGTATTAAGGAAAACCTCGTCAACATGACATTCGAGATACTCTCTAATTTTAAGCCTATCAAACTTTTGCTATTTTCTTTTACGGACTCAAACATGTTTTAACCATCGTAATAATAATATAACCATCATTTATTCTATGCATTGAATGACTGACTATACATATATCAAATATTTTTTGAAAAGTTAATAACATTTCAATATCTCAATCCATAAAGGTTTTGCCTTTACTATATAGTTCCTTACCAAAACATTTTTGTAGAAAATACAATTATATCAGTATTACTGATTTTAAAATTAACATCAAACGATAATTCAACTAGTAAGCCGATCCGGAATACCAATAGACAGAACACAAAACACGTCAACAACTTTTTACTATATTAAAACTTTTAGACACTTTTATAACTGAAAACACTAAAAATAAACCCTTGAAAAAAAAAAAGGCAATGGAAATCCCCAAAAACGCATATAAACAAAAAAAATCTTGTATGATTATTATTCTCGACTTTGTATTTCCTCACCGTATGTGCTTCATTCTTCTCTCGAAGACTTCGTGTTGAAAGAGCGACCAGTGCTCTTTTCTCTCTCCAAAAACACGATACTTTGTTCGATCCTCTTCGTTTTACATTGCCCACTCCACAATCTCACACTGCCCACAATCTCCAACATTGCAAAGCTGAGACATCATCTCTTCCAAACTACAACTCACTCAGGTTATCAAATCTATCTCCTCCTTCCTTGTCCATATGCCGTGTTTGGCAATTCACGTTTCGCGTCTCTGCTTGCTCTCTCGTGTCGCAACGCTACTGTTTGACGCCTGTAAATCAGAGCAGACGAACAATCGGTGATAGATTGATGTCGAATCCTATCTAGTACCTCCCCACTTGCGTAGAATTCGTTGTTTCCACGTTTTTTTGTCTCTGCGTGAAGATTTAGACTTGTGCTGCTTTTGTTGCAATACCATTGTTGTATGTTCGTCTCGTTCGTGGGTTAATCCGTAACGAGATCGTTGAGAATTTCACATGGCTATGCTCCCAAGTTGTTCATGTTCGGGATCGGTTGTGCTTGCTTTGGGTTTTTGCTTTGATCAGGTCCTGATTATATGTTTGATTAGTCAGATTCTGAATCTGGGTCTCTGTTTCAATGGAATTGGGCTCTGAAAACACTCAGCTTTTGTCTCTTCCTCTTCCTCGTCTGTTTCTCGTAACTTTTGATTTCACTTTTTTTTTTCTGGGTTTTGCTGGAATTTCCGTGTGAGATTTTATCGAATGTCTTTTGTATCTCTCAATTTCTTTCACGATCTCAAGTAGCTGAGTCTTCAGTTTGAAACTGCGATCTGAAATATCTGAGCTTTATGCTTTACCCAATCTTGTTCTTCTCGACAATGTATCTATGTATTGTATGTATCTGCTTTCGGTTAGTTTTTTTTTTTTACTTTTCGTTCTTTGATAGTCAATTTAAATGTCCATACTTTGGCAATGAAATTGTAAGCTGAATCCTAGTGTTTTTGCTTCTTGCTAATGAGTGAAACCAAGTTTCAGATTTAGATGTGTTTATAGTTTCTATGTTCTTGAGGTTTGTATAACAGTGTACTCAGTGAAACTAACATTTTTTACTCTTCTTCTGCTGCTTGATGATTTATCCAGATAAGTTGGTTGAGGTTGAGAATGGTTCTTCTGATGGATGATGATAATAACAACAATCATATGGAAGAAACAGCTCTTCTTACAGGAGATTCCTCTGATGCTGAATTTCCATGTGGAGATCCACAAGTTGAGCCTCGTGTTGGAGACGAGTTTCAGGCAGAGATTCCTCCTATGATGTCTGCATCAGAACGTGCTGCGTATCTCTCGACTCCTCTAGCTTCGGATGATTCCTCGCATTCCTTCCTACTAGGCTTACCTGTCCAAGTCATGTGGATAGAGAAACATCCGAAAGGAGATGAGAATGTTGACATGAACCAATCTTTGAAATCTCTAAGAGCCAAAAGAAGCCGTTGCTCTACTAAGACCAGAGGCGAGAGTGAGAAGAAGCAAAGAGTGAATCTTGAGGCTGTTCCTGTGACACCGTCAAGTTCTTGGGAAGACTCTGAGGTGGCTAGCTTTGTTCTTGCTCTGTATACATTCGGGAAGGACTTTACTCTGGTGAAGGAATTCATGGAGAGCAAAGGAACAGGAGATGTCATGTCGTTTTACTATGGCAAGTTCTACAATTCCGCGAAGTACCACAGTTGGTCTGATTCTCGCAAGAAGCGAAACCGAAAATGTGTTTTTGGGAGAAAGCTCTATTCAGGTTGGAGGCAACAGCAGCTGCTATCTCGTTTAATGCCTTCTATAACCGATGAGTCTCAGAAACAGATGCTAGTGAATGTGAGTCTCTTTCACATTTGAACCACTTTTGTATTTTTGTTTTGGTTATTGATCATTTACCACCAATTCGTAGGTCTCAAAGTCGTTTGCTGAAGGAAAAACCAGTCTGGAGAAGTACGTAAGCGCTTTGAAGGATCTTGTGGGTCTCAGGCTTCTTGTAGAAGCTGTGGCGATTGGTAAAGAGAAAGAAGATCTCACTGTTGTTACTTCAGTACCAATGAAGACCAAACAATGGTTCACTGTATCTTCAAAACCTTCTCCAGTCCCGGGCTTAGGTGCTTACACTTCACTCACATCTGCCGACATAATCAATCAGCTAACGGGGAATTCGCGTCTAAGCAAAGCACGTTGCAGTGATATCTTCTGGGAAGCTGTGTGGCCGCGTTTGCTAGCTAGAGGATGGCATTCAGAGCAGTGCAAGGACCGAGGCTACTTCACATCAAAGGATAACATTGTTTTCATTGTCCCTGGAGTGAAGCGGTTTTCGAGAGGGGAGCTTGTGAAAGGAGATCATTACTTTGATTCCGTCAGTGACATTCTAACGAAGGTTGCTTCCGAGCCTGAGCTTCTTGAGTTTGAAACAGGAGAAGGAGAGATGAGAGGAGCTGCAGAGAAGTCTTCTGATGAAGAAGAGTCTTCCCCGTCTCATAGTCAAAGACACCGTTACCTCAGGTCTCCATGTTCTAACCGTGGGAGTCTGCAAATGAAGTTCACTGTTGTGGACACTAGTCTGGCTGCAGGAGAAAAGCTGTGTGGTTTACGGAATCTGAATGCAGAAGCTCTAGCTTCTGAGGCAAAGACTCGTCTACCAGAGAAAAGTTATTCTGAGCTGGAAGCTTCTCTGAACAGTCGGAATGTAGAGAGGTCTCAAATGATGCATGTCGAGGCCAAGAACCAAGTGGATGATTCAATGCGGTTCACGATTGTTGATACAAGTCTAGACCACCGTGAAAAGTTATCTGGTTTTAGGAGATGGAGACATTTACCAGGCGATGCTGATTCTGGTATGAATGAGGAGGAGGAGACTTTGGAAAAGGTTAAAGATACATCAAAGAGGCTGACTAGGAATAGGTCTAACCGAGGAGCAGAAACTATTTATCATTCAGTAGATTCTGCTCCATCGTTGAAACGCAGACGGCTCAGTGCTTGCATTAAGGAGGAGAAAATCTGTTCAAGAGAAACTCCGGCGTTGGAACATTTACCAGTTGATGATGACACAGAGAGGAAGGTTTGTCTTGAATCAGACCAGTCAAGGGCATGTGATGTCCAACACCAAAACAGCCCTCATGAAGAGATGAATGAGGAAAAAGAGAGATTTGAAACCGTGTTATCGGTTGATTTTATGCACTTCAAGCCTGATCAGTCAAAAACGACTAGAACTGGAACCTCTTCTTCACTTGCTGAGATTCAAGAAACGTCAGAGATTGAACCTAATGGGTTAAATTCCATCTCCGATGTAGACAAAAGCTGTTCTCTAGTGGAGATAAGAACAGTTCATGAGCAAGAAGCAAACGGGGTCTGTTCAGTGTCAGGCTCAGACAAAAAACGCGCTTCCAGTGATCTCAAACAAGAGCAAGCAGTTGAGCTCCCTACCATTCCAGGCTCAAACATCAATAGTTCTGCTTCCAAAGATCAGGGAACTACTCAAGAACGTGTTTCATCAGAACAACAACAGCAAGACCAACAGAATAACACAGATGGTCCTAGAAGACAGAGCACAAGAAAGCGACCGTTGACCACTAGGGCACTGGAAGCTCTTGAATCCGGCTTTCTTACAAGCAAGAGGATGAAAAGCACGGCTGAACCGAGGAAACGTGAAAAAACTACAAAGAAAAAGCGGTCAGCTAAAGCGTCTAGCAGAACACAAGCTTTGTCGGACAAGAGGACTGCAGATTTAGAGCACATGGGAGAAGATGGAAGCATTTTCGCAAAGAAAGCAACAGCAGTTAAGCCCTTGGATCAAATAGAGGATTCAAAGCCTAGCTTTCTTCTTAATGAAGCAACAACTGAGAGTAAGGCTCTGGATCCAGTACAGGAGTCAAAGCCTGTGGTAACTGAATACCCTAAACTTCCACCAATTGTTTTAAAGCTTTCACTTAAGCGTAGGTGAAGAGCTTCTGAGACTTTAGTCTGAATTTTTTTTGGCCTTGACTGTGAGAGGATTGGCCTTGCTAAAGAATAAATGTGTACAGAAGTGAGATTTTTAGACTTAAGGATTTTATTCCATACCCTTTCTTTGTTGCTATTCTTATTTTTTGGGTCCAATGTGACAACGCTAGACATAACTTATCCAAGGCTGTTTTCTTCTCTTCAGATTTTTATTACCTTAGTTTTTTACCTCTCCATTTCATGAAGCTAAAGTCTGCTATCTGAATTAACTTTCGTTTAATTCCCTTGTCTATTAAGTAATGTTTATTTGAAGTAACTTTTAATATGGTCTATATCCAGAGAATTGAAGTGGAACAATTGATGGTCATGAATATGATCTATAACGCATATACACATCGATACATACAAATCCTGAGTAATAGGAGTCTAACTAAAGTCACAACAATGTTTTTATACTACTATACAAATCTTGACTGATCAAGTGCAGCTAATTTGCTGCGGCCGCTTGATCACTTTGTCCAAGTTGTGAGAGACTGCTTTGGTTAAGTTGGGATCCTCAAAACGAAGCTCTGCTCCAAATCTGTTGCAGTCATAACAATTGCACCAAAAAGATCATCATTATTGTCGGTTAAAATTCAGTTCATATTCTTTGACTTGAATTATTTTTGGCTTAAATTCATTTGACTTACTTTGGATCCAAGACCAGTTTCTGAACCTCTTTGATGGCTGAGCTAGCTGCGTATAACGATATCTTTCCAATCTGATACATAAAACCCAAACCATTTTCAAGAATTTTAGAAGCACTGAGATGGTTAATGGTTTGTTCTAAGGAAAGGCGGAATCAGAGTTTTGTTACCTCAAGAATCTGAAGTTTTGCCTCATGGTCGTTAGGCAAACTCCTGATTTCTTCAGCTAGCCTTGCTGACTCTCCAACGCTTTCAGGGCACAAGAAATCGAGCGCCACTTGAACATTCGACTGAGAAATATATACATGCGAGCAAAATTTTAGTTTCTTAGTCAAACGCAAGGGAAAAGAAAGTTCACTGCATAGAAGTATGTATTACCTGAAGATTCCTGACTTGGAACGGACATCCAGCAGGAATGAAGATAGCCTCACCACGACATTGCTCAAACGTCCATGGCTCAACTCCTTAAGAAACAATAACAAGAATATTTCCTCAGGTTTCCATGCAATAAGCGTTTGGATTCAGAACAGGGAACATAATGCAATTTTCCTTACCATACTCGTCTTTAAGTCGTCTCTTGTGGTGTTCATTTAAGAAAACTCCTTCATACAACGGGCGTGACACAAAATTGTCAGGCTTCTGGAATGTTCTCTGCAAATACTCAGCCAGCTTTGGGACGTCTTGGCGTCGAAAGACATCCCACTGGGCTCCTCCTGAACATGAAGGCGTGCAAGAAGGACCTTGATCTGCTACGTTCTCAGGATTTACAGTCAACATCATCTCATCAGATTCATTCTTCTCCATATTGACTTCACCAAGTGATAGATCATGTAACTCTCCGATCCTTACTGTTTCCTCAGGGTTAAGAAGCGACTCCTTTTCGACCATCTTCTCATCAGATTCTCCTGGACCTGAATTCGTCTCTCTCGCACTTTCGAGTTTTGTTCCTTCCGATGTGTGCACCAAGAGGTATACCTGATTAAAACAGTTCCACAACTCAAATCATTTCTACTTATTAACATGATTCATGCATGAATCCAGGAGCTGAGTAACGTACCATGTCACGCATGCTGTAGTGAATATTATTCAACGAATCACCCGGAACAGGTTCTTGGCAAGTCCCACAAGACACATAAATCTTTGGACCTTCATCATTTTGCAGCGAGTAATGAGGCAACTTGGCTGCAACGTTCAAAAGGCCTAGCCGTGGATGTATGTACTCTAGAAACGGAAATCTTCTGATAAACTCAGGTCTTTGGTAGAAAATGAACTCCTCAGAAGCACTTGGGCTCGGCCAATCCTTTAACTTCCAGTGTAACGGAGCACCAGTATCTTGGTTTCTTCCATCTCTATATGCTTTTGTGAACTCTCTAAGCGTTACATCAACCTGTAACCAAGTCCAAAACACTAATCAATCTGTGACTCCACATGTAACAAATATGAAGATACGAAAAATAAAAGAAACTCACCTCCGACCCATCCAAGCAATTTATGGCCTTCAAGTATGGATCATGTTCTTTCAGTTTCTCATCTGAAACCTCGTCTATATCTCTCCATATAGTCTCAGGATCCCATCTAGAGAAGGATGACTCATCATCAAGTACATTTTTCACAACAACAAGCCGACCTTCTCCCCATTGTTTCTCAAAGTTAGTTACTCCATCAGACTTAACCGTTTCAAGCGACGGGCTGTACACGAAGTTGTCACTGCTCTCCTCTCTCTCAGCAAACTTGCAGAATCCAGAATTACACAGCTCACTGTTCCGAAGACCAGACATCTTGCATCCATCAACCATCTCCTCTGCGTTTTTCACAAGCTTTGCAACCCAATTCATCTTGAAAATGCGTGCGAGATTCAAAGACTGCGAACCGCAGCCTCCATATTCCTTAGGAGGGCAAGGGATGCTCCCGTCACCGTTAGCTTCCCACTCAGGAAACTTATATGAAAAGTTCAGTTTCAGTTTAGGAACTCCTCCTCCTCTCTCTCTTATGACTCCGTTGGTCTCACTAATCTCTACAGAAGACTCTGCACGTAGATCTTGACAGCATCTCAGGCACAGGTCATATGAGCAATTTGAACAATGACGGTAGTAATCAACAACTGGTATCCGGCACACGTTGCTTCATCAAACAAAACTTCAATAAGAACATTAACGATAATACAAAGTGCTCAAAAGACTGAAGAAGGGCATGCAAGAGAGATATACCAGCACATCTGCTCATCTGCTTTCAATCTTGCCCTGACAAGATCAATCTTAGCTCCTGCAGCATAAAAAAAACTAGTGTTAATAACTGCCGAAAATGTTAGTAGTATTCATCAACCGTCACTGTAAGTAAAAAAACTCGTCTCACCACGAAGCCTCTTCTCTAGTTCTACTTCTGTACATTGATCAAGATGGATCTGCTTTATCACTGGAAGGACAGCTGACAATAGACGGTAAAGATACTGCAACTTGTCCAAAACCGGTATTTCTCGGATCCGTACCTGCAATTGTTTTCACAAAAATTACTATCTCATGGTCATAAACTTAAACCCCACAATAGGTAGCAATAGTTTGAATTCACACCTTTATAGTATTATCAGAACGCAGGCAGAGTTTGCAATCACACAAACCACGACACGCAGGGCAAACTTTCTCAGCTTCTTCAAGTGATATCTCCGAGTACCTTAAGATGCATGAGACAATCATTCAGTACTTCCAGAGGTTTACAGAATTCTGATAAAAGCAGAATAAAAAAGGGAAGAAAGCTCACTGTGTGGATATACAAGTGTCACAGAAGGCTCTTTCATTGCATTTGAGGCAAGAAACGATTCTATCTCCATCTTTTCTTTGGCACTGATGACAAATCTGCCCCAAAGACTCTTCAGACTCATCTGTGCTCGCTGCTGAGTATTCCTACAACAACATACAAGCCACTTAGTTTAATCATAGACGGTGTACAGATTCTCTGTCTAACCAATGAGAAAAAAAAAAAAGAATGTACCATAGGGCTCATGCTTTGGTGTGATGATCTGTTGCGTGAACTCGTCTCCATCAAAGCAGCAGACGGTAGCGTCCTATAAGATCTGTAGCTCTCTTCAAACATTCCAACATCTCCAGAAACCTCATCGTTCAAATCCACAGCAACAACACCACGTGAAGAGTAATTCCTCATCGTCGGCGTCTCGTGCGTGTAACGAGCCATGCTTTTCTCATGTCTCTTCTCTCTAACACCATCGTTCTTGGAAGCAGAGGCAAAGCCGTTGCCATAGTGCTGCTCAATGCTGGTCACAGGCATCTCGAAATCCTCCATCTTGCCTTCGGAATATGTATCTGCTTCGCCTAACAACGATGATCTCCGTTTCACTTTCTTCTGGCTTGCTCGGAAAGCAGAGTTAGCCGCACGTTTCTTGGCCTGGATGTAGTGCTTCTCACACACGGTCTTATCGGGCATGGACATTGCCGTGCATCTCCACTGTTTACCGTCGGATCTCTTGCAACGTAAATCGTCGGGAATCCCCTCGCCGTTGCCGTTGCCGTTGCCGTTGCCGGAGCCAGATCGAGTTTGCTCGGTAGCACTCATTCTTAAGGTCACTGAATCACAAATTTCATCAAGATTGGCCTGCATTGTTCAGTAAGCCAAAAACAACAGATTTTTCAAACTGTAATCAGAAATTGAAAGGGATAAAACGAAAACAAGATTGGTAGCTTCGAATTTAGCGAAGACGGTCAAGAAAATTACAATCCCTAAATCCAATTTTCTAGGAAAAAACTCGTTAAATCCTTCAAATCAACGAACACATTCGATCAACCAGAAACTAAATTGCAACAATAAGCTAAGGAGCGTGGAGAGACATAACGAGAGAGAGAGTTGCGCAACGAAACCTAAGAACAATCGGAAAAATTCAATAACGCATACGATCACTGAACAGAAAATATATCAAGGAAGGGGTCTGCAATTACATAATCTGTATATCGGTATATGTATAGAATAAGAGTGCGTACGGATTGGAAATACAGAAGGAGGAAGCTCGGAAAACGCTATTACTCAAAATCGAACGAAAGAATTGAAATATTTATCGAAGAAGAGTCTGTAAGATCGAAATTGGAAAGCCGAATTGCTTCAATTTGTATACAAGTGTATTTCTCTGTGTATCGGTTTAGAGTGAGAGAAGGAAGCGGCAAACCTGAAATTAGGGTTTAGCTCGGGAGAAATTGCAGAGGTGGTGATAGATGGGGAGAGAGAGAGCAATCATGTCCAGGATACTTGTTGTACCTCTGCGTTTTTTCTTTTCTTTTTCTGTAATTCTTTTTTTTTTTTTGAATTTGGGTTTTCCTTTTCGCCGCTGTGTAATCAAGAAGTGAACTCTTGCCATTCGGACAGAACATGAGTTCACTTGTTTTTCTTCTTCCTTAAAATTTTAATTTTCAGTTTGGTGTTTGTTTATTCAAAAGTGGGATCCCCATGGTACATGAGAGATATTACAAATCCCAAATATGGATACGAACCTTGTAAAAATTAAGGAAAATATTATTCCAAATATTTATTAAAAAAATTACGATGCCCTTATACAGAAAAAATAATAATACAACTTGCAAATTGATGTAACATACAATATAGTACAAAATACAGATCACGACATACACAGATTACATTCGCCTGAAATGTCATATATAAATCGATTTATGGTTGGTAAAGATAACAAATTTAATGATTCATTAATAAATAAGATTTATTCATCAAATTTACATCTTTTGAGGATACGTTTTTTTTTTTTTTTTGTTATATCAAGATGTTCCTGATCATCAAATTGTAATAAAAACGTGATTTTCAGTTATGTATCAATTGATTTTCGTATTGTTCTTCTGAAATATATATAGTAGAGGTTACAATTCAACTGGAATATATGCTTTTCAGAAACCTATGGAATTTGACAAACCTATCATAAATATTATTATATAAGAATTTTATGCATTTCGTTTAAGAAAAATAAGTTTCACAGAGATTTGTAAATTATATCGGAATCAAAACTTCCAAAAGATATAGCTTATATATAAAATCGTGAAGGAGAATAAAGTTTAAAAGAATGTGTATGGTGCGTCAGGACCACGCGAGGTGATGCGGAGACGAGCATATCGTTGAAATTAAAAAGATGAGGCAATCAAGAAACCGAGAACCAATGACAAATATCAGTAAACCACTTTTTGATTATATCACGCGTTGCACTTGACTTACTTAAATAAAATACAACGAAATATGCTTTGAGATTGTTCTACTTTTCAAATGATTCCTTCGTCACATCAAAATTTAGATACTGAATGCATTCATGATCCATGCATTAGCTTTCCTTATCACACACGGGTGGTTTTTTTTTTTTTTTTCACGCTTCATCACTTTTAAACGGATGTATCTGATTATCACATGGGGATATTTCACATTTACATTTCCCTTGGTTTATTTTGTTCTAGAGTCAATTTTTACATTTACTAAACTACTTATTAACAGCAAGAGCATAACTTAGGATAAGAACTTAAGAAGAACTAAATTTAGGAAAAAACGGATTAAGAAAGGAATAAGCGCGTCATTCATTTCCAAAACAATCATGTCCGTGTCTATCCCGTGTGCCTAAACCCATTTCTTCATTAAACCGACTCGAACATAAATGCATATATATGCGTCCCTACCCTTTCACTTTTCTTTTCCTCATCACAAAAAAAACATCAAATCTGAAATCTTTGCTTTAAATCAAATTTCAAGGTTTATCTTTCATCAAACAATCCGAGTAACCATGGAGTGTAGGACGTTGGATCTGACGATTTTATCCGCAGAGGATCTCAAAGACATCCAATTGATCGGCAAGCAGGACCTGTACGCCGTCGTTTCAATCAACGGCGACGCGCGGACGAAGCAGAAGACGAAGGTGGACAAAGACTGCGGCACCAAACCCAAATGGAAACACCAGATGAAGCTCACCGTCGACGACGCGGCGGCTCGTGATAATCGACTGTCTCTAGTCATCCAGATCGTCGCGGATCGCCCGATCGCCGGTGATAAACCCGTCGGAGAGGTTACTGTTCCGGTGAAGGAGCTTTTGGATCAGAACAAGACCGGCGACGAGGAGAAAACCGTCACGTACGCCGTGAGGCTTCCTAGCGGGAAGACGAAAGGATCTCTCAAATTCTCGTTCAAGTTTGGGGAGAAGTATACTTACGGTGGATCTTCGAGTGCTCCTCAAGCGGCTGGACCAGCGGCTCTGGACCACAAGACTATGGATCAGCCCGTAACCGCTTACCCGCCCGGACAAGGTGCTCCGTCTGCTGCATACCCGCCTCCTGGCGCCGGTCCTTCCGGATACCCACAACCAGGACATGATGATAAACACGGTGGTGGTGTTTACGGTTACCCGCAACCCGGTGGATATCCGCCACCCGGCGGACCTGCTGGATATCCTCCACCCGGTGGGTACCCGCCTCCCGGTGCATACCCGCAACACGGTGGATATCCGCCTCCTCAACAAGGTGGTTATCCGGGTTATCCGCCACAGGGTCCGGGTTACGGATACCAGGGATATCCGCCACAGGGTCCATACGGTTACCCGCAACAGCAAGCTTATGGTAAACCGCAGAAGCCGAAGAAGAGTGGAGGAGCAGGAATGGGGCTAGGACTTGGACTCGGAGCTGGGTTATTGGGTGGGTTGCTGGTTGGTGAAGCGATTGATGACATGTCAGATATGGGTGATATGGGTGGCGACTTTGATTTCTGATCTCCGTTTCTCTGCTATGTTTATTTTTAACTTTTCAGTTTCTTAGTTAACTCTCATCTCTAAGTTTGTTTTTACTTTTGGGTCGATCATGTGAGAGATTATGTTCTGTCTTGTCCTTCTGTGTTTAGTTTCTGGCTTTCTACTAATGAAATAAGGACATGTATTGAAGAACATCGTTATGCTATATTGTAAGGCTTTGCAAAGTATTATAACAAGCACAATATATGTTGACAAGGATGAAGTTGAAATTTGTTGCGACAGACAAAGTTTCTGAAGATATTTGTCTGAGAATAATGCGCATCACAAAAGGACCAAACAAATTGATATCACAAAAGGACTAAGGTATTAAAAGAAGCCACAATGTTGTCAAGTTCTAAAGTATTGGTCAATCATGTGAGAGATCAAGTTCTGTCTTGTCCTTCTGTGTTTAGTTTCTGGCTTTCTACTAATGAAATAAGGACATGGATTTGAACATCATTATGATATATATATTGTAAGAACGCTTTGCAAATTAGTAAAAGAAGCCAAAATGTTCTCAAGGATTTGGTACTATTAAACAGGATCAAGTTGAAATTTGTTGGGACTGACAAAGTTTCTTGAAGATATTTGTCTGAGAATAAAATGTGGGTCAAAAAAGGACCAAACACATTGATATCAGATTCACTTAACAGTATCAAAAGATTGGGCATTTCAGAACAAGTGTAAAATGAAAAACTCTCTCAGTTCCTAATTTAAATTTTTTAACACAACTTTCTTCAAATAATGAAAAAAATGAAAAAAAACACCAACATCAAATCTCGTAAGCCTAAAAACACACTCTAAACCGGTCAATAACCGACTCAAACATCCTTCAGCCACATGACTCTACAGCTCATCATGATCATCTTCACCATCCTCCTCACTCTCTCCCCCGGTTTTCTCGTAAACCGACTTAATAACCGGGTTACAAACCAACTCCACCTCCTTCAATTTCTCCTCGTAATCATCCTTCTCTGCATTCACATTCTCATCTAACCACTCCAACGCCTCCTTCAAAACCTCTTCCATCTTCTCTTTATCCTCCTCACTTATCTTCTCGGCAAGCTTCTCCTTATCGGTCAATGTACTCTTCATGTTGTACACATACGTTTCAAGCTTGTTCCTTGCATCTATCTTCTCCTTCACAATCCTGTCTTCCTCAGCAAACTCCTCTGCTTCTCTAATCATTTCATCGATCTCTTCTTGTGTCAAACGACCTTTGTCGTTACTTATTGTAATCGACTGTGACGTCTTTGCAACTTTGTCCTCGGCCTTCACCTGTAGAATCCCATTTGCATCCACTTCAAAAGTCACCTCAATCTGTGGCACACCCCTGAAATGTTGTTTTGTTTCTTGCATCGTAAGTAAAAACCAAGAACCGAACTAAAACCAAAACTGTATAAACTAACTATCCAAGATGGAATCAGATATTACCTTGGTGCAGGAAGAATTCCAGTAAGATCAAACTTTCCAAGCTCACGGTTGTCTTTAGTCAAGCTTCTCTCTCCTTCATAGACATTGATGGTCACAGTTGTTTGCTGATCCTGGTAAGTCGTGAACACCTGAGACTTCTTGGTCGGGATCGCCGTGTTCCTCGGAATAACCTTTGTCATCACGCCTCCCACCGTCTCGAGACCGAGGCTCAATGGCGCAACATCAAGGAGCAGAATATCTGTTTTCAACAAAGTTAGGTTATTACTTAAACATCGATACAAGTTTATATGCTAAACTTTTGTCACAACAAGAGTTAAAGCGATCGCTTACCTTGGGTTTCTTCTCCACCTTCACCACTTAATATCCCACCTTGGACCGCGGCGCCGTAAGCAACGGCCTCATCAGGGTTAGTCCCTTTGTTTAGTTCCTTGCCGTCGAAGAAATCTTTCAACAGCTCCTGAACTTTAGGGATACGAGTGCTTCCTCCAACGAGAACAATCTCATCGATGTCAGATTTCTTCAACCCCGCATCTTTAAGAGCCTTCTTCACCGGCTCCATCGTCCTCTTGAACAAATCCATGTTGAGTTCCTCGAATCTCGCTTTCGTCAAAGGCTCAGAGAAATCAACTCCATCGAAGAGCGACTCAATCTCAACGCGGGCTTGGTGCTGGTTGCTCAGAGCTCGCTTCGCAAGCTCACATTCGCGCCTGAGTTTACCTAACGCTTTGTGGTCCTTGCTTATGTCTCGGTTAAACTTCTTCTTGATCAGTTTGATGAAGTAGTCCATCACTCTGTGGTCAAAATCTTCTCCACCAAGATGAGTGTCTCCACTTGTGGACAAGACTTCAAAGACTCCATTGTCTATGGTAAGGATGCTAACGTCGAATGTTCCTCCACCAAGATCGTAGACCAGGATGTTTGACTCGCCACCTTTCTTGTCTAAACCATATGCTATGGCTGCTCCTGTTGGCTCGTTGATTATACGAACCACGTTAAGCCCCGCGATTGCTCCCGCGTCTTTTGTAGCTTGTCTCTGCGCATCATTGAAATACGCTGCAAAAGAGCCAATAATCAATACAAGTATAGAACCAATAGACTCAAGACAGTAAGACATTTAGGTTATTGAATAAGTACATATTTAGAAAGTGTAAATGACACAAACCTGGAACAGTGATGACAGCATCTTTTATCTTCTTTCCCAAGAAAGCTTCAGCTGTCTCCTTCATCTTGGTTAGTATCATAGCACTTATTTCCTCAGGGCTAAACACTTTGTCTTCGCCTTTAACCTTCACTTGAATGTAAGGCTTTCCATCTTTGTTCACAACCTTGTATGGCAAGAACTTGATATCCCTTTGTACATCAGGATCATCAAATCTGTAATCCAACACCCCCAAAAACATGAATAAAAGCTCAACATTATATATAGAGTAGTATAGACCAGAAACTAGGGGAATAAACACTAACTTTCTTCCAATCAGACGTTTTGGGTCGAAGACGGTTCGCTCCGGGTTCTTGGCCGCTTGATTCTTGGCAGCCTCCCCGATGAGACGTTCGGTGTCAGTGAATGCAACCCAAGATGGTGTGATTCTGTTTCCCTGATCGTTTGCTATGATTTCAACGTGTTTGTTACGGAACACACCAACACATGAATATGTAGTCCCTAGATCGATCCCTATCACCGTCCCGAGTTTCTGCTCCTCGCCTTCTATTGCCACAGTTGACAACAAAGCTGCTCGATTCATAAATATCATCAAAAGCTTTAGCACACATTCCTCAAACGTAAGTCACTCGAAATTAGTTGAATACTACGACAAAGTGATCATAAATTTAAAGGATCGATCGATCGATATGAAAAATTCATCTGAAATATATTACCTAAAGAAGCAGTCAGAAAAACCAAATACGCAAGAGCTTTATTCATCATCTTCATTGTTTAGAACTCTTCTTCGGTCACGTTTACTTAGGGTTCAGAAGAAGAATATAAAGCTCCGTATTTATATAAGCTTTCACCATGATTCGTATTCAATTTATCCAATCATTACTTGACACGTAGGCCTAAATGAACTGTTTTGTGTTGGCGCGCTCCTTACCTTTTACACACGTATAAGATCCAATAAAGAAGAGACACATGTCATTAACTTGTCAACCTACAATATTCAGTAAGTTTTTACGACTTCTTCAGATAGGAGTTATCCATTGATTATTAGGACTACCGCCATACTTTTTCCTTTCTAATCAAATTTAATAAATATGCATTTTTAAAAACAAAATCTATAATAATCTCAATAAACTGAAACGTGAACAACCAAAATTCTCATCAAAAATATTTTATTTCTGCTGTTAAGGAATTTCATGTGACGCCAAACCTAATGCATATGCAAGCAAGAGGTGAGGTGTAATTTTTTTTGGAAGAACATGACTATACCTAGTACCTATTACTGAACCACTCCATTTATTTATCATGCATATGCTTAATTATATATGGGTAAAAACACATGAAAGAACTTCGCAGTTTTCTTCTAACTACTTCCATTGTAGTATTTTATGTAAATCAAAGAATCAAAGTACAATAATTGAATTATAATTGCATTAGGAAACCAGTACGTACGTATAATGTAGTCCCAGCGAATGGAAGGCAAGCAAGAATAGATGGAGGAAGAAATGGAATCTTGGTTAGAAGCAGAGAAAACCTCCCGAAGCAAACATAATCTCGACATGCGAGACGAGAGCATCAGCACATTGAAGCCGACTCTTCGGTCGGTTGTTTCGGGAAAGCTAAAAACATTGGTTAGCTCGTTGTCGTTCGCTTCTTCACGCCGGCTTGACCGGAGTAAGTCCGGTGCTATGTTTGCTCTTAGAGGTTTGAGGTTCATAGCCAAAAACGACACCGTTGGCAGCGGTTGGGATGAAGTTGAAAAGAGATTCGATGAGTTGGCCGTTGAGGGGAAGCTCCCAAAATCAAAATTTGGACATTGCATAGGTAAACGTCTCTCTCAATATCCTTGTTAGATTCATTTTAAAATAGCATTTTAACGTGTGTTTTTTTTCGAATAAACCAAATATATTAATTAAACAGGAATGGTTGAATCGAGCGAATTTGTGAACGAGCTTTTTGAGGCGTTGGTCCGAAGGAGAGGGACTAAGTCATCGTCGATCAGCAAAACTGAATTATTCGAATTCTGGGAGCAGATCACGGGTAATAGTTTTGATACAAGGCTGCAAATCTTTTTTGATATGTAAGTACGTATTAATAATTAGTAATCGCAATTTCTTAAGTATAAGGCATTATATTAACTTGTTATATACTTATATGTAACCATGATAGTTATTTCTACTTGTTTTTCTGACTTAAGGGTGGACAAAAATTCGGACGGACGTATTACTGGAGAAGAGGTTAAAGAGGTGAAGAATAAATTAACAACCACAACTTATTAAACTGATATCAGTTTTGTTACGCTGGTAATAAAATTTGAAATGGAAGTTTTGTTTTGGCTTATTTGTGGGTTTTGTAGATAATTGTTTTAAGTGCTTCGGCTAACCAACTATCAAAGATTCAAGAAAAGGTAGAGGAATACGCTGCCTTAATCATGGAAGAACTCGATCGTGACAACCTCGGATATATCGAGGTTCGTTGTCTGTAGCTATAACATTGTGGATAACCTTTTGCACAACCCTATTCACTTCTGATTAATCATTCTATAATAGGTGGTTTTGGTTAATATATATTTGAGCTACATGGGTGGTTTTGCAGTTATACAACTTGGAAACGTTGCTTCTCCAAGTTCCTAGCCAATCGGCGAACAATCCATCGTCCGCTAACAAACGTGCCCTCAACAAAATGCTGAGCCAGAAGCTCATACCAACCAAAGAAAGGAACCCACTGAAAAGATTTGCTAGGAATATGTCATTCTTCTTCGTTGAAAATTGGAAAAGGATATGGGTGTTAACATTGTGGATATCCTTTTGCATAGCTCTCTTCACTTGGAAATTTATCCAGTATAAACGAAGAGCCGTGTTCGAGGTGATGGGCTACTGTGTTGCCGTGGCCAAAGGCAGTGCACAGACTTTGAAATTCAACATGGCTCTCATTCTCTTGCCTGTTTGTAGGAACACTATCACTTGGCTAAGGACCAAGTCCAAGCTTGGATCAGTTGTTCCATTTGATGATAACATCAATTTCCACAAGGTAACGTGACAAACAATTCTACTAAATTGTATTTCTCTATCATATCTTTTTTAGAGCCTTTTTGCATTTACCATTTTCCTGCAATCATTTGATGACAATATTATCAGTTATACTTATTCTGCTCTTGTCCATGCAGGTTATTGCGTTTGGGATCGCGATTGGAATAGGCTTACACGCCATCTCTCACTTGGCATGTGATTTTCCGCGGTTGCTTCATGCTGAGCCAGTAAAAAGGTATTTTGAAGACGAGAGGCCGGACAACTACTGGTGGTTCGTGAAAGGTACAGATGGGTGGACCGGAATCACTATGGTGATTCTAATGGCAATAGCCTACGTCTTGGCTCAATCGTGGTTTAGACGCAACCGGGCTAAGCTGCCTAAAACGTTGAAACGGTTGACCGGCTTTAATGCGTTTTGGTACTCTCACCATTTGTTTGTCATCGTTTACGTGCTTCTCATCGTGCACGGCTATTTTATTTATCTCTCCAAGAAATGGTACCAAAAAACGGTACGTAATTTTTTTTTTTTTTTTGGTTTTAAAAGAAAAAAAAATTAAATGTGGCTGCTGGGATTCGAGCCCAGGTCTCCACGGCCACAACGTGGAATTCTTACCACTAAACTACAGCCACTTTGTTGAAATGTAATTGTTTGTTACACATTAATTAATTAATCAAGAAACCATTTTGGGAAATTTGACTAATAAATCATTTCAACATTGGACAGACGTGGATGTATCTGGCTGCTCCGGTACTATTATATGCATCTGAACGATTGATTCGTGCATTTAGATCAGGTTCCAAGGCTGTAAAGATTTTAAAGGTAACTTTTTAATTTGTTGATTTGTTCGTAATACAATTCTCTTTTTTCTTTTTTTTTAAAGCAATGATGAATTTCACATTTTTACCGAAAATTTGGAATTCTCGCATTTTAGTTTTGGATAGGAATATTGTAAAAATTAAAAAGCATCCAAATCATAATTATATCCAAGACCAAACCAATCTATATTCTGAGTACATAATGTACACAACTATTTAGTTTTAAGATTCATTTTCAGGTTGCCGTATATCCAGGAAATGTACTTTCACTATACATGTCGAAGCCTAAAGGGTTCAAGTACACAAGTGGACAGTACATATATGTCAACTGTGCTGACGTCTCACCATTACAATGGTAACTAACAAATATTGAACTTTGGCCTCACATTTGAACTTCATTATTTTGGTAATTTTAACATTTTTCCAAAATTAATGACTCGTTTTACAGGCATCCGTTTTCAATTACTTCGGCTTCCGGGGACGATTATCTCAGCATTCATATCCGCACACTCGGCGACTGGACATCGCAACTCAAATCCTTATTTTCCAAGGTTATTTTTTTTTTCAAGAGTAAAATCTGAATTATAGTGTATATGTTAGACATATGCTTGATTAGCATTATACTTTGTTTTCATTAGTATACTTACAAAAATAATAGGTTTGTCAAGTTCCGTCGTCAACAAGTCAAAGTGAGCTCTTCCTAGCTGATATAGGCCAGGCCAACAACATTGCCAGGTATTTGACATGTATGATGTAATGAATGGGTAAAATATTAATTCAAATATTGAATTTTTTAACTAATCAATTTGCAGGGAAAGGTTTCCGAGGCTTTTGATCGATGGTCCATATGGTGCACCGGCACAAGATTACCGGAAATACGATGTATTGCTTCTGGTGGGTCTAGGGATCGGAGCGACCCCATTAATCAGCATAGTCAGGGATCTCCTTAACAACATCAAGAACCATAAATTATCCATCGAAGAAGGCACTAACCACAATGTCCGAAGAAAGTATGTCGCCACAAAACGAGCTTATTTCTACTGGGTAACAAGAGAGCAGGGATCTTTAGAATGGTTCAGTGAGGTCATGAACGAGGTATATAGTCAAATAACATTTTATGACTAGCGTTATATTCATGAGATTTATAACTAACGAAAAAAAATGAAATAAAAGGTAGCTGAGTATGATAGTGAGGGGATTATTGAGCTACATAATTACTGCACGAGCGTGTACGAGGAAGGAGACGCGAGGTCAGCGCTAATCACGATGTTACAGTCATTGCACCACGACAAGAGCGGTATTGACATCGTGTCAGGTACTCGGGTCCGGACCCACTTCGCTAGACCCGATTGGCGAAGTGTCTTCAAGCACGTCGCTGTGAACCACGTCAATCAGCGAGTTGGTATGTGATCATTAAAATGCACTTCCATATAGTCTAATAGTATCTTTTTAGTAATAATGGATTTTATTTTGTTTGCAGGGGTTTTCTACTGTGGTAATTCATGCATCGTAGGAGAGTTGAAGAGGTTGGCTCAAGACTTTTCAAGGAAAACTGCGACCAAGTTTGAGTTCCACAAGGAAAACTTTTGATTCCATTTCTTTTACTCATCACGTCATTAAGATTGTTAAAAACATTTAGCATTTGCATAAAACTTACCTCGCAAGTACCAAATCGTATCTTGAATAAATATGAACAAACAAACTAAACAAAACAAAACGACCAGAATTTCTTACGATATTTAATTAACCTTTGTTATCCTCTATCATCAATCCATTGTCGTCCAGCGGTTAGGATATCTGGCTTTCACCCAGGAGACCCGGGTTCGATTCCCGGCAATGGAGCTTTTTGTTTTATCTTTTAATAAAGCCTAAAAATTTACAACTGGGAAGGAGATTATTACCAACTTAAACGACCTGGTGGGTATCCAACACGCTTAAGGCAATATCTTTTTTTTTTGTTTAATTCAAATTTAAATAATGAATCCGATTGATACACTCTCAGTCTGGTCAAATTTTAGTGTAAGGCTGACCGTAGACAGAAGAAAACAGTTAAGAAGCTATTCAATATTGAAATTGGAAGCAAAAGTAAAAACAAGAGTTGAATATTGTATTTACTTTGGCTTTTCAACACAATTATACAAGATCGGATTCTCTTAATGGCCTGATTGACATATATTAAGTGCTTGGAAACAAGGCAGATCCTGATTCTTCTAATCGCATAATTCTATTCATTGTTCTCCATTGAAACCTGCAAATGAGGAGTTGAAGCAAACAGTATTATAATGTATCTAGACACCGACTTTTTTTAACCATAACAATCTCCAATAACATAAGATTTTACAGGTGATTTAGATCTAACAGAGTAATTCGGTTGTAAGGTAAGCGGTGACTAAAGAGTAATCCCTGTTCTTAAAATATTTATGCCTAGAGAGCAGTGATGAACAGTTAAGCGGGTCACTTACAGTAATTTGAGGCAAGAGATCTTGAAACTAGACTCGTTCAACACTTCTGATCCCTGCGTTCTTGTCGAATTCCTCTGAAGGAACAACATCCGCAATAATCTGTTCTTGACCACGCCAAAGAACCTGGAGAAAAAAATTGGTTTCAAGCTTTTGTTAAACTCCAACAGAGACCAAGTTATGAGATAATCCTTAACGATATACGTTTATATTCTCAAGTAACGATGACTAATTCTCCGATCAAGAAAAATAAGAAGTTGCACAGGAAACTTGGAATTTTTTTAGCGTGATAGCCATCTGCTGACACTGAGAGTGAAACTTGACCAGGAGATCTAAACGATGATCATTGTACCTCAATCTCTTAGCACGTTCATACGAAATCAACATAGCAATTTACAGTGCTCAAACTTACCCTGTCAATGACTCCAAAATCTTTAGCTTTTTGTGCATCCATGTAATATGGCCTTCTCATCACATTAGCGACAGTCTCCAAAGACTAAATAACAAGTTCAAATATTTTGTAATCAGCCAAAAAAAATCCTCCATTCAATATTACTAAGCAAAAGAAACGTTTCACACTCACATTCCCAGTGTGCTTTGATAGAAGCTCCACAAGTATATCCCTATTTATTATGACCTGCCATTGCATACGACGGAAAATGAGAGACATGAAGTTACCAAACTCAGATTCTAGAAATCTCTGCCCAATCTATTAGAGTGATAATATAGGAACAGGGAAGAAAAGAAAGTAGAGCGATTTGTTAAACCTCTTTGGCACGAATCAGGACATCACTGGCAGGCATCAAACCAGAAGAAGGCACACGAGGTTGCTGGATCATAGCTGCAACATAATTAATCAAACATTTCAGAGGCTCTGATTATCAAAGCTGAGCCGTACAGGCGACCAGAGTGCAGTCGTGGTATACCTTTGGCATGTGGCATCATAAACCGTTTACCCTTGGTTCCTGCTGATAGTAACAGACAGGCCTGACCGATGGCGGCTCCGACACATACTGTATGTACCTGCACGAGTGAGAACCAACATGCTCACATGAAAACAACTTGGAGAGAAATGAAAAAGTGCTTATCATGATAACTGATCAAGTAACCTCAGTAGTTTCCTTTAGCATGACTTATTACTTATATGTTTACATTACAGATAAAACATTACCTCATTTTTAAGTTGCATCAAAGAATCATAGATCGCAAAGCCTTCTGATTCCATTCCAACCTGATTAGTGAAAATTTTTCACTGGAGGTTAGAATCAATCAATGAGAAAAAAATGGTCCAAAACATTGACAAAGCTTTCGAAACTCACAGTCTCGCCATCATCACGAGTGGTCCCTGTAGAGTTGATGTAAATGTAGATGGGTGCCTTGGGGTCAAGCCACTGAAGATACATAAGCTCCGCGACAACTAGCTCTGTCACCGCCGGCACCAGCTGAGAGCAAAAGCAACATTAGCATATGCAATGTAATTTGAAGTATCTTTACCAAAAAAGTCCATGAGAGTAGGCAGAACTTACAGGCATGCCAATGTAAACAATTCTCCCGTCAAGAAGCATAGATGGCAAATCCGGTGGAGGAGTTCTTGGTCGGTGCTCGTTATATGCCACCGATCTTTCAACCTAATTTCAACCAGTAGATTCCGTCAACGGTTTTGAAGCAGAGAAATCAAACTTATCAAATCACACTACTGCTCTAGTCAATTTGGATTATCTCGCCGTAACAATTGCAAATTCGAGAGAGAGATGTCGAATTCTCTTTATTTCAATAGTAAGCTCATAGATATGAGCATATGCAGATTAACATTTGCACAAGCTATAATCAGAATAAACAAGTAGAATCGATCAAAAAGAGATCGGAATCGGACGAGTAATAGTTCACCTGAGCAGGAGAAGACATGAGCTGAGGGGAGTCAAAGATGTCAAGGTACGGCGGGACATCGGCGTTAACCGGGCGATTGAGAAGTTTCTCCGGCGATTTCGCGGCAACGGAAGCGAGAGTCGAGAGGAAAGGATCGTTCGGGTTCAACGGAGGCATGGGGATTTTGGCAGCAGCTTTGGCGCGAAAGGAATAGCGAAAGCTCTTCAAGGCTCTCCTCCCGGATGAATTGGAAGATAGAGAAGGAGGATGAGAAGAAAAAGAAGAAGAACGTGGGAGCAGAGAGCTCATAGATGCTTGTAAGCAAGACGCCATGGTCACAGAGCTCGCGAAAATGGACTGGCTGGAGAAGGGAAACCAGGGGATTTAGCGATGCTTAATGCTTTGGGAGAGGAGAGAAGAAACCGATTTGCGGGTTGAACCGCTGAGTTATTTTCCGGGTACCATTTCGGTTTATCGAAGGCCCAGTTTAGCAGGCTCAAGTTTTGGACTAATTGCTATCATAATAGGCCTTTTTATATTGCCAGTTCTTGTTTTCCTTTTTATAAAAAGTCAAATCTCAAATGCTTGTTTTATTTTTTTTTTTCGCTTCGGAATCAGTTAAATACTTAAATATCTGTACATTTTATTTATATATACTCTGTTTATACGAATTTATTCCGGTCGACCCCTTCTGAATCAGTTAAATAATAGTAGAAATACCGTAAAGGATGAAAACAATGACGTATATTTCTACTTGTAAAAAGTAATAAGGTGTTTTTTGTAATTATAAGAAAATAGATTCGAAAATTGTAAAACTCTAAAAACATTATAGTTTGAAATTTCTTTGGTTAGATGTGTTTTTTTTCTTGGGTTTAGCTGTGATATGTGTATAGGAAAATATTTAAAAAACATAAATTTTGCTTGTTTTTTGCTTAACTTTCTCTAAATTAACGCTATAATTTTTGTAAAATATTATATAAGAAAATTTAAACATTTTTTTATCACATAATATTTCTCTTATTTTTTATTTGGTTGTAAACTTTCTTCTTCATATCTCTCATTCTCACTTTTGTAATATTAACATTTATAAATCATATAGATAATCAACAAAAAAAATTTACCACCATCATCAGTGTCATCATCTTTGGCGGCTTCTCAGTCATCTCGGGCTGCTTTTCAGTCATCTCCACCACCTTCCCCGTTCAAGATGAGGCTGTGGAGATTCACTGTCGAGGATGACTATGTCAGGATAGCGACATAGACACCAAGACAATGAGGTTCATCAAGAACTTCAAGAGCCAACTTAACGTGGAGAAGACGAAGACGCGTATGGAGTTGTGAACTATTTATTAGAGAGTATATTTATATAGCTGACTAAAATTGGTTAGTTATTGATTTAGTTAACCCTTTAATTATTTGGTTTAGTTATTGGTTTAATCACTTAGTTTAGTTCAACAATATATAATCTTGATTTGTAAAAGACTGGACGTTGCTTCACGCGGAACTTTGTATGAACGGATTTGGTTAAAAGAACTTTTTCATGATATAAAAAAAGTAACTACCTAGTGGTTAAGATCATCATGAGCAAGATGTGGTATATCTCATTTCTTGTTGAACGAATTATAGAGTAATTTTTTATACCTGACATTTAGTTATTGAAATTCCTTAGTTATATCTGGTTACAAGACTATCTAATCATGATTTCATGTTTATTGGCTTTCAAAACCCCTCTATACGCAAGAAAAAACATATTCTTTTTACATGTTTTTATTGATCAAGTTATTTTTTTTTTTGAACCACATTGATCAAGTTATAGAAACCGATTTGCGGGTTGACCCGCTGAGTTATATTCCGGGTACCATTTCGGTTTACCCAGGCCCAGTTTTAAGAGGCTCAAGTTTTGGACTAAATTGCTATATACGCCTTGTTATAGTGCTCCAGTTCTTGTTTTCCTCTTTTGTCAGGTAATTTGTAAAATTTGCTGACATTTAATCTGCTCTACCAAGTTTAAAGATGTTTACCAAAAGCAATAATAACACGAATGAGTTATAGAATGCAAAACTTATTTTAAAACCCACACAACAACATCCGATGAACTTTAATGTGCAGCCAAGACAAGAGTTCCAGGCTTTGAAGGACACAATAACAGACCAATTCCAAGTTCACAACTAAAAACTAGAAAAGACATCTTCTTCAGCATCCCATTCGACAAGACAGATACTCCCATTCACCAGTCTTCTTTCCTCTCAATCAGACCTCACCTGTACAACAAAATTTGTAACTGATAAGACACTCCAAGATTAAGTGAAGAAAACATGATTTACACAAAGGTAGATTATTTGATAAGAGACGATGAGAGTGGAGAATATACTATTTAAGCATATACACCAGCGATAAAGAATCAAAGAATGTTCAGCTTCTAGACTTACGGGTGAAACTGGAGAATCTGATCTTGATCTTGACCGGGATCTGCAGCAAGACAAAAAAAAAAGGGTGTAAGTATGGCATCACAAAGCAATTAACTGGACTGACCATTTCCCATCTGATCATTAGCGCTGGCCTAGAAAGAACTCAAACATAGAATTCAGCAATGTCAAAAAGTTGGGGAAATCAAAGGAATCATAGTCCAAAACGCTGTGATCGGATCCTACAGCTGATACGCGCTGAGTACCAGACCAGACAGACAAACAGGAAGTTCAAGTTCATGCTAGTCCAGCTTTTGTAAAATCCAGTCCAAGAATCCATCTAGATGACCCATCAAGTCCCTAAGATCCAATCCCCAGCTCGCAGCAGTGAGCCAGATCTAGAAAACAAACAAGGGAATACAGATTGTAATCACGGTATATGGTCAAGGTCACACCTCAGGAATCCAGATTCATATCCTTTTAACAAATAGAAATAGTCTTGTCGTGTGTTCTCTAAACTATAAAACCGAAATTCAATGTTACTATGAAGGAAGGCTCTGTCTTAAGGAGTTAGAGAACACAAGGACACGAGAGATCATTTCAGAAGATGGCTTGGTATTGGTTGGAATGAGAAAACTGCAACATCTAGTTTGTTAGAGATCAAGGGAGCCGCTCTGTCAAGAGCTTGAAACATTTTAAAAAAGATGGAGGATGTAAGGAATGATAAGAAACTCTGGAGAACTCATGCGGCCACGTAAATTTTACTCATACCAGCGTTTGTACGACATAGAAAACTTCAAGATAAGATCATACAATTCAAGGGAAGACAATCAAAGGCGACCTACGAGTCCTAGTAACATCTAGCGAGGCAGGGGAAAAGAGTCGGTATGAAAGAGCTAGCTAGGGGTTACAAACAAATGAAATAACGATATAAAATTGAACACGCATACCTTGAGACAGAGCTATGTAGCGAACGAGAACGAGTAATGGACCGTGACCGGGGAGAAACGGATCTAGCAGGTGTGGCACTGCATTGAAATTTGAAAGTTAGTCAATCCTCATAGATAAGTTTAAGCAGTCAAGATCTCTCTGTTCTTTAGTTTTGTGGAAAAATAAAATTAAAACGGACCTCCTGCTCTTGCTACTATAGCTATAGCTTCGACCACGGCTCAGACTCCTGCTCCTAGAACAATATGGGCTGCGGCTCACACTCCTACTCCTTGACTCATATTCTCTCACCTGAAACAGTGAATATTAGAGATGAGTACATTATACATATCCATCAGATGATTAACAAACTCAAAGAAAGAGATATAACATACCCGTATATAAGCCCTAGAGAAAGCATTTCGAAACTCTGAGTCATCTAGTTTCCTTATCTGTTTAACAAAAATGAAGGGAACATCAAAGATCCAACACTAGCCTCAAAGAAGATAAATTCAGCTTAGCAAGCTCATAAGACAGAGAACAACTACGTTTGCAAGGATATACAACTTACCGCATACTCCATATCATCATAGTTGCTATAATCCACAACGCCAGACATGCCTACAAAAGACATATGTTATATTCTCTTTAATAAACTCAGTAACAACTGAATCATGAATCAGATCTATTCACTTTCACAAACACTAAGTTAATGAGAAGCTTAGCTCACCTCCTCGGTCATGAAAGACTTCAGAAAAGCAGACATCTCCAGCTTTCCGCATGTGATCCTAATCGCCAATATAAGTTGATTAGAAAGACAAATCCAACATGAAATAGAGAAGAACTGTATATAGTAGCCCTTACCTTAAGGTCCTGCCAGGATGCAGATGGAGGCAATCCCGTCACTAGCACTGAATGTTTACATCATAAAAATGAGTTTTCAAATACGAGATTTCATAAAACGGTAAATTAAACACACAGTTTAAGATGACAAGAGACAACAAACCACGAAAGTCGGACCGTCTTGGAGGTGCGCGGCTCCCACTGTACCTATCCACTGTTGATGAGCCTCTACGACCACTACGTGCAATCTCAACCTAAATACAACATAAAGCAATCATCTTGATACTGAACTCTGACTCAAAAACAGAGAGAAAATGAACGAAATAAATTACGAACCCGTAGTCGACACCCATCAAAATCATACCCATCCCGTCCATAAATTGCATCGTCTGCATCACGAGGATCTTCGAACTGCATCAAACACAGTCACTTGGTTAATATTATACAAAAAAATCCGGTAAGGTTCTTTAGTCTTTAGTCTTAACCAATGCGAGAATCATAAATACCTCGACAAAGGCGTAACCAGGAGGTCTCGGTGGAATCTTCAATTCGATGTCCACAATGGGTCCGTACTGTAACCAAATTCATCAAAGCAGCTCAATATTACAAGTATGAGAAAATCGGCAAATCTTAATGAATTCGATTAGATTAGAGAGAGATCAAAAGAGGATTTTCAAACCTTGTAGAAGAGATCTTCAACCTCTCTCATACGAATATCCCCAGGCAAATTTCCAACGTAGATCGTGCGATTCCATCGGCTGCTCATCTGTAATCTCAGAGCAAAAAAAAAAATATTTCACCGAAGAAAATTTAATGAAAAAATATCGAATCAGGAACTTAATTGAAGGAATTGATCCCCAATTTTTCTTTTTGAAACTCACATTCGCTGCACAGAGAGGGGAAGCAGAGAAGAGGACCGAGAAAGCTTCAGATTCTTCTGGAAATCAGACAACTACCTCGGAAGCGTTTTTCAAACGGAACTTAGAAGTTTGATCTTCTACGGCCGCGTCTAAAGTAGTTTCCTGCGTCCAACTTCCAGCCGTTCGATCCAAGTTCTTGAAAGATTGTTTTTAGCCCAAAACGTGATTTTGGGTTGGTCCAATCGAATTCGTTACCAGTCAGATTATTTTTCATTCGTTTCCTAGGTTTTTCAAAACACTGTCGTTTCTGGTCGTTTTAAAACAATATCGCCTTGCTTTTCTAGGGTTTCGTCTCTTTCCTCTACGTGACTTTTGTCTCTTTACTAATTGGTTTGCTTGGTATTCTGAGACGGTAACAAAATCTTATCTGTTGGGGTATTTTGCAACGATATGGGGAGCATCTGTGAGTTGTCTGATGATTTGCTGGTTAAGATAATATCGTTTCTTCCATTAAAAGTTGCTGTCTCGACTAGTATCTTGTCGAAACAATGGGAGTTTCTTTGGATGTGGTTACCTAAACCTAAGTATGAGCTCACTGGTCAAGGGTATGTGGAATTTATTGACAAGAATCTACAATTGCATGGAGCTCCGGTCATTGAAAGCTTGCTCATCGTATTTGGATTACTAAAGCCTGAGAAAATCAAACTATGGGTTGATATTGCGGTTTCTCGCTTCTTGCGTGAGCTAAGTATCCGCTATCTTCTCAAAAACGGCTATGCTCTCAGAAGTAGAGTATTATTATCGTTGCCTATTAGTCTGTATACATGCGTCTCGCTCATGACTTTGAAACTTGATGGCAAGAACATTGCCGTGGATGTTCCTCAAACTGTTTGTCTCCCTTCCTTGACGACGTTGGAACTTAAACGTGTGAAATACTCCAACGAAGATTCTCTTGGGCTGCTTCTATCGCATTGCCCTGTTCTTGAAGTTCTTCTTATTAAACGAAGCCATGAGAGTGACAATGTGAGAGCGTTAGTCGTTGATGTCCCATCTTTGAAGTGGTTATCTTTAAAGATAGGTGAAGAATGTTCTTCTGATGGGAGTGACAATGTGATAGTTACCCCTTCTTTGAAGTATTTCAGAATTAAGGATTGCAGAGATTCTCCCACGTATTTGCTCAAGCCTATGACAAAGCTCGAAGAGGCAGAAATTGATGTTAAGAAAGATATCGAGAAGATTCTCGAATTAATCACATTTGTCAGACGTCTTAGATTACGTGCATCATCGTTCAACAGTGTGGAAGAGGTAACCTGTTTCCATCTGTCAGCTTCGAGGTTGTCTTTTTGGTATGATTGTGTTATTTACGTTGTCGTGTCACGTGTGTGCAGTTTGTGTATCCAGCTGGTATTGTCTTCAACCAGCTTGAACATTTGAAGCTAGATGTATGCAACGACTATTGGTCCAAGTTTCTTATCTGGTTGCTCGGAAATTCTCCTAAACTGAGAGTCCTCATTCTATACGTCTATGTAAGTTTCTTCATTTATACAGGTTTCAAGTGAAAGAACTTTATGGTGTGATCTTGACTCTCTTATCTTTCTCCCTCTCGTTTTTTTTAATCGCAGTGGCGTCCAATACGTGAGAAGTATGAACTGGGGAATTGGGAAAGCAAACAGAGCTCTGTTCCTGAATGTTTTTTGAGGAGTCTAGAAACTTTTGAGTATTCAGGTTACATGGGAAAACAAGAAGAGAAAGATTTCTTGAGTTTCGTCTTTAAACACGCTTGTTGCTTGAAATTGGTTAATAAGAAAGCTCCATGATTTGTCGCATTCCATTTCGAATTTTGCTGTCCAAGAACAAATGTAGGTGACTTAACTGAACGTGGAACTTGATTTCGAACATCTCTTATTTCATTCTTATCAAGTCTATATATGTTAATTATTAATTATATATGTGCCTTGCTATTCAAGTCTCTTACTAAAGAAATCTGTAGTTCGAATGGTGATAAATTAATCACATAGAAACGTATTGGAGCTATGTTGTAACCCAAATCGCAGTGTCGGATGAACGGAAAAGCGATCTCCAAACGATGAAATTCATAGGCTTGTTGGATGCAAATTAACTAGTTGTTTTTAGCTTAGGTGTTTGGACAGAATGTCTGACTTCACTTGTCTGTTTTGTCAGTTAAGCCTTTGTCTTGTGTTCTGGTTTACAAAATCACAAAATTAGAATTGCAGTATTTAACTCGGATGTTTTCTCATTTGTTGTAAGTTGTAACCACAAAAGCATTTACGATCGTCTTTTATACTAGCTAAACAGAGATTAGTCATGCGTAGGCTGAATTGTTAACAGGCCATAAGGCCAAAAAGTAATTTATATTCAACTTTTTAACTTGTAAATATATCATAACATTTTGAAGTAGGATGAATCCTTTTAATAAAAAGGTAAATATATACCATTTCAAGTTAAATATATTTTTACACATATCCAAACTTTTTGATAACTTTTAACATCAAGTTATGACATACTTTATATTAATTAAGTAATTTAGCTGTACATTTTTCTTAGTTTTATTTATATTTAAAAATATAAATATAGGTAAAGAAATATGAATAGTCATGTATTAAGTATCTTAAAAACAATTTAATGAACTTTTTTGGTGATGTGGATAGTCTAGATGGAGAGAGCAACTCTCCTATTATATATAAGATATACTATTGACCTCTATTTATACGAATTTATCCCGGTCGACCCCTTCTGAATAAGTTAAATAATATGATAAAAGGTTTTTAGATTTTAGTATTGAAATTATTTTTTTTTTAAATTTCTCTGTTAACAATTACCAGCTGTGAGGTGAAATGTTGAAAAGAGATAGAAGAACAACTCATTTAACCGGAAAGGACCATGTAATAAATGATACAACTCATTTCTAATCTACCCGATTATATGAAAGTGGTAAAAGGATGAAAGCAATAATGTATATTTCTACTTGGTAAAAAGTAATAAGGTATTTTTTTGTAATTTTACGAAAGTAGATTCAGAAATTGTAAAACTATAAAAATATTTTAGTTTGAAATTTCTTTTACGGAAATTTTCAGTCGAAGCTCTATTGCACCTCTATTGCACCAAGGAAGCTGGGATCACCGAACAGGATTTGCTCCTTTTGGTAAGCACGCCTTCATCTACCCTCCATTTTTGTTCAATTTGTCCTTTCCTTCTTGTGGATTTTCGCCGATATTGATCGGGATTTAGTTTACTTTCTCTCTATTAAACATTTATCCTCCTCAAAACGGAACATTTCTCTTCCTTACTGAACCTGCATAAAAGAAGACGCGTATAAAGTAAAAGTTAGAGACTATATTTGTTTTTTTCTTTGGTTTAGTTATGAGATGTGTATAAAAAAATATTTAAAACATAAATTTTGCTTGTTTTTTGCTAAACTATGTCTAAATTAATGCTAAATTTTTTTGCAAAATATTATATAAGAAAATTTAAACATGTTTTTATCACATAATATTTATCTTATTTTCATTTGGTTGTAAACTTTTTTCTTCGTCTCTCTCATTCCCACTTTAGTAATATTAACATTTACAAATCACATAGATAATCAAAAATTTTGTTTTACCAAATATAATCTACAATCTTTTCCGGCGGCATGTAACAATCTTCTCGCGGATTCTCCTGCTTCCAATCGGCCATTGTCTTTTGCCGATTTTCCAAAACACAACAAGCAAGTGAGCAACACGTAGCCTTCAAAACGAGATACAAACAAACATAATAAAACAAAAAGAAAATGTACATTTAAGGGAAACAAAATAAGTTTAAACGAAAAATGAAGAAGATTTAGAACCTGAGTCGTCTTAATCCGTGCAAACTTCACCTGTTTACAAACTGTTTCCGTTAAGAAAGGTGAGGATAAAGAGAATGTCGCGCCTGAAGACAGCTCTACTACGACCTCTGTGGAAACTCGGAAACAAGATCGAGTTTTGAAGTCTCAATCGACGAATAGAAATTCTGGATTTCCCACTCCATCCAGTCGCGCATGAAGTCTCCTGAAGTCTCTTTCTCCATCCAGTCCCGCCTGAAGTCTCTTTCTCCATCCACTCCAATAAATTTAAATGCCCTATTTGCATATAAAAAGTATGTCTTTCAAAAAAAAAAATCCAAAATCACAAAACAGTAAAAATATAATAAAAACCCTTAAAACTTCATAAATAAATAAGTTCTAAATAAACAATTCCCAATTTGTAAATAGTTTGGGAAAAAGATATATAAAAAAAACTGATTTCTTATAGCTTAAATATAGCTCTCATTGGATTCTGAGCCGCAAAATTATTCATTAAACTCACATAATCGAGTTTTTCAACCATAGCTGTCTTGATCGATATCAAATCTAGGGCAAATTTTTGTGAAATTGGAATTGGATTGTGGCTTTGTGACGCAACTGTTTCACGAGATAAGAGTTTTAAGTGTTTCCTTAAACACTTACTTTAGAATGTAATAATTATTTAAAATTATACATATACTAAAAATATTTGTTAACAAATGCCCACTAAATATCAATATCTCTAAAAAAGGTTTTAAAACTTTGTATATGATATATAAACCTCTTTAAAAAAAAATAACAAAAATATGTTCTTATTAAAACTTTGTACATAATATATATACCCCTTTAAGAAAAATTGAAGTAACTAAAATATGACTTTGTTAAACTTTGTAAATGATATTTATACACCCTTTAAGAAAAAAATTAACAAAAATTTAACAATAATATGCCTTGCTTTTCTAGGGTTTCGTCTCTTTCCTCTACGTGACGACGGTAACAAAATCTTTTGCAACGATATGGGGAGCATCTGTGAGTTGTCTAATGATTTGCTGGTTAAGATAATATCGTTTCTTCCATTAAAAGTTGCTGTCTCGACTAGTATCTTGTCGAAACAATGGGAGTTTCTTTGGATGTGGTTACCTAAACCTAAGTATGAGCTCACTGGTCAAGGGTATGTGGAATTTATTGACAAGAATCTACAATTGCATGGAGCTCCGGTCATTGAAAGCTTGCTCATCGTATTTGGATTACTAAAGCCTGAGAAAATCAAACTATGGGTTGATATTGCGGTTTCTCGCTTCTTGCGTGAGCTAAGTATCCGCTATCTTCTCAAAAACGGCTATGCTCTCAGAAGTAGAGTATTATTATCGTTGCCTATTAGTCTGTATACATGCGTCTCGCTCATGACTTTGAAACTTGATGGCAAGAACATTGCCGTGGATGTTCCTCAA